TTTTAATTTTTAGTTCAATATTTTGTCAAACATATATACTTCTCATTATATAAATAAATAGAAACTTTGAAACGGAAACCCCTAATAAATATTATATCTACTGTAAATCTTTCACGCCATGCTAAAACAGTATAATTTTCTATTTTCAATCTTTTACTACAATAAGTATGCCATAAATTGGTCACTGGTTTGATCCCGAAAATCAGAAAGCATTTAGATATCATCATAAAGCCAGCACAGTAATAAATGCACTCAATAGGTACCTACTAAAAAACAACGAAATATGTACGTACAACTTTAAAGACAGATAACGAATCTGTTACCACGTACTTATACGTAACATTGTTTAAAGACTGCAATTTATTTACATACAGTGCATGTTATTAATTCAAAGAAGAAATTGCGTATGTAACGTGACCTTGTAGAGCAATGTTAGTGAGTAAGTACGTACGAGTACATACTATAAAAGCGATCATGGTCGATTCATACTCACACGCTGAGAATTCCCTTCGCTAATTATTAAACCATACAGTGCAAATTGTATTTAATCAAGCTCAATTTGGTTAGGGGTCGTTCTTGTGATTGATAGGTTTATTATTTATCAAGATCATTTATACAATAAAATGATAATTATATACAATCATTTCTAGGTTACATTAAAAAAAAACTACATCCAAATGTAAAGCCTCCTACAAAAAATAAAATCAAAAGCTTAAAAAATAATCAGCGATAATACGTGTAACGGAACGATATATTTTTGGACATTTCCTATCCAACCGCGCAGTCACGTGATTGATTTAGTAATTATTCCAAAACGACTTTTTGTATTCGCTGCTCATACTACATTTAGATTCTTAATAGTTTTCACTGTCAAGTTGTCGCCATAAAATAATGACATATTTTCAAGCACCTTCCAAAAAAGGAACTTCTCAATTCTTCTAATGGTATTTGCAATTATATTACTTGATTAAGTAGTTAAATCTGAAACAATTATCTTTGTACGTAACCAATTACATTTAGTCCTGTGTTGGTCTTATAATATTTTTACTTAAATCCAATCGATTACAAAGATTGTATCTTTGTATTCGATTGGATTTAGTCGTATGTTAGTCCCATATCAATTTTGTGACAATTAAAGCTGCCCTTTACTTTTGCACAGCAAAAAAGCCGCCTTCTGAGAAGTAAAATTGATTTATAAGCAGTCATATGATTGCTCTGACTAAATTCATTTCGTTATTTATAATAAAAAAAAAATTTAAAGAATTGTGCAAAATTATATTGATGAATGCCACTTTCTATTTTGTGTAGCAAAATGTAGAGTTAATGTAGAATACATTTTAAACTTGGAAAATCGCAGAAACCCGGATAGACGTATTACAAGGGTACAATAACCTATTAATTGTATATTTTTTAATAGATTATTTTGCACTAATGAGGTTATCTATTTATAAACTTATAAACAGACAAGCTCATTAGTAATTTTAGTATTATAATTACGTGGCCAGTCAATGGATCGGTTGACGTAACGAAGTAGGTATAATCGGATTTAAAAATTTCTAATTTAATTTATTTTTTGAAAATCTAAAGCCGCAAAAATATTTATTAGATAGGTATCAGTTAGGGAGCTATTTATTAATTTCAAAAGAATACAGATTATTGATCCATTGATTCAGCGGTTAATGAAAATTATCTTAAAAATCCACAAATCTCTTATCTGACTCGATCTTTGGGTATATTAAAAGTAAACCTACCAAATGAAGTGAAATAAATTTAAAAATAATACAAAGTAGGTAGAATAGAAAAAATATTAATCTAACTCTAAAACTATTACAATTTTTACGAGCTAAGACACAATTGTAGTTTACGTGTTGAAGAAACATTATTTTTAGAACAATGAGCATCACATGTGTAGAATTTTTTTTTTCATAGTGTATTATTTATATTTTATTTTTCTAATAAATTTTATATTTTTAAATTTCTTAAAAAAAATAAACGCTCACCCGCTTACACTTCTGAATAACTCATCAGTGATACGTACCTTCCATATGTTCCTTAAATATATCCCACAGTTATATTTCTAGGAGTTTTATTATTTTTTCGAAATCTAATTTCATTTTCGAATTATGATTATTTTCTGACCGAAACCAGACCAAAAAGCTACCGCATTTTTTAACATATATTATATTCTTTAATAAGTTTTTAAATTTTTTTACAAAATTTTTTTGCTGTTTGTTAGAAATTAAGCAATACTATCGGTAGGTATCGTAGAACTCAGTAATTGTAACCATTCGTATTCTCATTCATGAATGGTGCAAATGCTATGCATTTATTATAAATACGAAAACATGTTTACAATATTTTGCATATTAATTTATTGTGAACTAGCTCCTCTAGCTAGCTAGCTACTCTATATTAAGACTTGGCAAAATACAGGGAGGATTCTTTTGTGTTTATCAACTAAACAATCATTTGAAAGTACAAATTTTGGATAAATTTCAGTATACTGATCTTTCTTAACTTCAATGACTTGTTTTCACTTTAATCAAGGTAGTATTAGACGGAACCGTTTTTCCTATGTAGTTGGTAGTGATCAGTTAGTTGACCAATTAGTTAGTTTCTTCTTTACCTACTATTTATTACCTATTAATTTATTATATCACATGTCCAAGGGTCGAGGTTGAGTTTGTGACATCATAATTTACCTAATTTATTTACACAGATTACATCGCGCCTAAGGAGTTTCTGTTGTATAATTATTTAGTTTGATTAAATGGAAAAATTCGTAATATACTCATAATACTTGTTGTTTTTGTTGTAATATAATAGAAATAAAACAAATTCATAAAATTAATTTACAGGGTTTATTCAACGAAATCTCATTTTATGTATCTAATTAGACGAAAAAATACATTGAAATGTTAGCTATACACAATTATACCGGATCCTTGTTTTCTTATCGGTATAAAAACTATCCTATTTCTCAAATTGTCGCAAATAATATACATTTACAAATGTTATGCAAATCTGTTAAACGGTTTTGAAAATTAGCATAAATTAACATCGTAACATAGGATTTTTAAATATTAAGTTAGATCTATAAAAATCAATTAATAATTATTTATAAAATATAGAGATCTATATATAATAATTCCGTTTAAAAGTTTTATAAAGTACAAAAGTGATCACATAGGTAGACGTAACAAAATATAAATTTTTTATAATTTTTCCGTCCTACTTTGCACTATTCCTACTAACTTAGAACAATTATACAGGGCGAAATCGAAATCGTTAGCGTCCTTTTAAGGCAGTGTTCCACCAATAAAAGTGAACATTTTCATCAAAGAAACACGAGTCGAAAGTTAAATTAGTATAAGACTCATAATTTTTTGTCAATTTTTAAATGTTTAATTCACGAAAAGGCTGTTCTAATATAATCTTAGATAGATTCTTAGTCTTATGAGCGACGTAGCCCAAAGATGTAGCCTCAGTATGTAAAACAAGTATTTTACTTTTACCATCTTAGCTGTAATGGCTAAGTATAGTAAATTCTATAGAATGTTGATAGACTTTGCATTCAAAGGTCATTTTCAGGGTAATCAAGTTTCGCTACTAAGTTAAAATATGCTCTACGAATTTTTACAGTATCTATATATGGTACATAGATATAAGGCCCTTTATAAAAGATGGGCATATTTTTTTTTTAATTATGTGCTCGAATTAAAATTATATGAATAGTTACTTATAAAATACATACTAATTTAATTCTAAATATACCTGGTATTACTCTAAATATATGTAAATATACCATATATTAAGAATAGTACCTATGATCCGAATAGATATGACACACATGACAGTAATAGTTAAAATGAGATGCCATTATAAGCAAAACACAGAACCATAAGTAGGATCGGAAATATTTTTTGTCTTGCTTTGCATACGTTTTGATTTTTATATTACTCCAGTTAGTTGCCTATCAAAAGTCAAATGACAGTTGCGTATAACACGCAAGTGAATATTCGATTAAAATTAATTTATATGGATTAAAAATTATTTGTATTTTACATAATAGTATTGAAAATGTTCATTACATTTTTCAGTATATATTCGTACATTAAAACAAATTATAATGTTGTATTTTGGTTCTGAAAACTGATCCACAAGAATGCATTCCTATAAATTTTAATCACGGATTGATAAAAATCGAGTTTTTCTATACTTAGATAGATTATATTTACATTACCTGTTCAATAGCTGTCAATATTATTCAATTGTTGCGAATAAGGAGATACATTTTTTATTGGTTCAATTTTTCAATTACATATTATCTGTAAGAGATTGCCCTAGCGATAAGACCGTCTTCTGTACCTTTATGTATATATTTTAATCTGTAATTTGTTACTGTATTTCACTTGAATTGTTCAATTGTCATTTATTATGTATATTTTTATGTTTCTGATACAATAAAGAGTTAAATGAATAATAATAGTAAAATACGTCATTCTATTACTTTTTTATAATGAATACGCTCATCGCAGTTCTATGGTAATATACTTATGTAACAACCAATTTTCCCAAAGACAATAAAATAATAACTATAACAACTACAAATGTAAGTATATATATATTTTTTTGTATAAATAAGAAGGTTGTTTTATACGATTTCCGTGTGAGGCGATTACACGAAACTGTTTATAATGACGCATTAATGTTTATGTACTTACCCATTATACATGTTTATTTACGTATTACGATTACGATGAGACTGTAGATTACATAAATTATTTTATAATAATGTAATCTACAGGGCATGATTGTTCATCTCTCAAAAAATACAATGACGTATTCATACATATCATGGAAGATAATTAAATTACAAAAACGTCATGACCTATTGGACACCAAAATGACTAGTTACTCAAATCTGGTGGTATGTTTTACTTAAGCATATTAAATCATCATCATAGATAAACAATTTATTTTGTTAATTTTCTTCGCAGATTTGAAACTCCTGGAAGTGTTCGTGCGGGGTTGCCGCATGGATATGGATAGAGCGAGGACTAAACTGGAAACGTATTTTCTAGCTCGCTCCAGGCATCGAGATCTCTACGAATACAGATCTCTTAATGAACCACCGCTCAAAGAAACCTGTAAACTCATGTGAGTAAAATTTTAAATCCAATAATTACTTATAATTTTTTGAAAAAGTCTTAGATTTAATCCTTTGTCCTAATTGTAAATTTAAAAAATAAGCTCTCATTAGACGTCATATCTACTAATTCTTTGGAAAATTTCTAATCTTTCAATTACTTTAAACGTTGGTTCCTTTAATAACATTTTATGAATTTAATCTATGGGTATCTAATAAAGTGAACCATAATAATTAAAAAAAATAATCATATTGTAACTAGGGATAATAGAGTGAGACGCTAATACCATATGCAGGGGGGAAAGGGATTGTTGGTAATGGGGTCCAAATTACCTTATGCTAGTAATACACCCTGTCAGGTTGACCTCCACGCGGTTCCCCTGGAAACCATCGTGGTTAATTCTAGTGGAATTGATCACGATGGGCTAACTGACCTGCTTTCATTGTCACCTATCATTCATCATTTGTGCCCCGCCAGCGTATACCGATAGCGCAGGCTGGGTTACCATTCCATTATCACCCATTAAAAAAAACCATATGCATATTAACTTAAAAAAGATACTTACATACATAGCTATGGAAATAAACAACAGCTGCTAATAGGTAGTTGTTTTGAAAACACAAACATTAATGTCAAAATGGTTGTATATACTTAGCTATACCTGTCATGGGAATCTTTTAACAAAGAGCTTTGTACAGTGGCATGATAGACGAGTAATTTGCTCATTTTAATCTACCTATAGGTACATTTTCCCATGGCAATTGTATTGACACATCCATGTCTTGAACAGAGACGTAGTGCCACTGCCAAAAGTGACCGACGAAGGGTACCGGGTAACGATTCTACGTATCAGACCGGGGTACCCAGAATCTGCGGGAGACATCACAAATATGGTACGAGCTATTCTGCTCGTGAGTGACGCGCGCATCCATGATGAAACATTAATTGCCGGCGATGTTTTCATTTGGGAGGTATGTTAGAACCGTATGAGGTATAAATAATATTTTATTTAATATTTTTTTTATTGCAAGAGGCAAACGAGTTGACGATCCATTTGATGGGAAATGACTATCATCGCTTCTGAACATATACAATACAAAGGAAGTTGCATTTTCTTCCTCATTTCAGCAAATGTCTGTCTACCTCTGAATATGTATATTTTCTCGTAAAATTAATAAAAGGTATCCTTAAGCAGTTGTGTTTGCATGGCTGTGTTTCGGTTTAAAGGGTGGGATATGGCGTGAATTTACAGGGTACAGAGGAATAACACCAGAGTCCTCAGGAATGGCAACGCATGGGGGGTATCATGGGTGAAACAGTATACACTGTTATATCCATGGTACTGCTCATGTCTATAGGCGACGGTTACCACTTTCCATCATGTGGGCCGTCAGCTTGTTTACCATTCTAAGTTGTATAAAAAAAATGTAATATTGGACCTTGGGCCTTTATCGTCAATACGTTCACACTTTTTGAAGCTACAAAAAATATTGATGTTCTAATAAAGCTTAATGTTTATATTTTCATAGGGATTTTACCTTTTGCGTAATAAATACGTAATTAAGTTCGTCATCAGTTTAGCAATTGATTAATTAGTATTAGATTAATGGAGGATATTTATTTTTTTGCTATAATTGAATCAAATAAATTTTATAAACTCTCATTGAAACATGTAGACACGCAAAAAATACTCATTAAATTTATAATGTAATAAAACTAAACACACACAAAAACAGGGACCGAAAAATGACAAAAAAAATTTAGTCTCCCAAACTACATAAGTACGGCGTATCCGGCTGACAAATTAGTATAAGAACATCAAAATATTTTTGATTTTCGAATTTTTGATAAATGGAATTCTTAATATATTTTAAAGCATAGGATAGATCTTAATCTTATATACTGCAAATGACTTAGATATCACCTGTATTATAAAGTTAACCAAACTTTACCAACACAGTAACATTATTTTTTGACTAGGTATCCCATATCCGTGCTTCGCTCGCGGCTCGCGTGATGGCAGCAGCAAACGTGGTACGCCGTAGTATCCATCTAGCGCAGGCGGCTTACCCTCAAAGATTGAAGAGGATCCATGTTGTAGGAGCACCATCTCTCTTCGCCTCTTCACTGCATCTCATGCGTAGCTGTGTCAATGAAAAAATTCGAAGACGAGTAAGTTATTACTTCATGTTCGCATGCTTAGGTATGAGTATCTGTTTCTAAAAACGATCCTCTTTAACTTTAAATAATAGCGTTTCTAGTTGAAGTAGCTTTAATGATTTAACTCTTCTCTTATCTTGATGACGCTTTGAAAGCATTACTTTCAGCAACAAGACCGCTTCATTTCTCTCGCACCAAATTGCCTATCTTTTGTTTATAACGATACTGTTATTTTTATTTATTTATTTATTTAAATACCTGTGTGAACTGCAAATAAAGCTCTTTCTTTCTCCCAGTGATATACCTATTTTAATTTACGTTTGAATAAATTCATAACAAATATAGGTATAATATTTAGATAGATAAATTTATCTTATTTTAAAGTTGGTTATAATAATTGCAGTGCAAATTTTGAAATGAAATTTTTATCTTGTCATTAATAGGTGCATATGGTACATGCTATTTTTATTTATACCTAATCTGAATGCAATTCTAAAAGACATTACAAAATTTGAGAGAATATCATGACGACGCGGTACGAAGTGCATGTTTATAAAATTTTCCAAAGCATCAGCAATATAATTTTGTTACAGTACTACATTCATTCTCGTGAAGAGGAGTTATTAGAGCATATACCAGCCAGAGTCCTACCAGTTGAGTGGGGTGGTGAAGAGGAATCCATAGATGCACTGACGAAAAAATGGCGACATCGTGTCGATGAGCTGAGAGACTACCTTCGTAACCTGAACATAATTAATACTACCACAGCGCCGTTGCTTGACACCGACATATATGGAACAGTTGGCGCATTCAGGAAACTTGAAATTGACTAATTACCCACTCAATAATTTTACTAGAAATTTCTATGATAAATTATCCAGAAGCTTGCTGCTCTGTTGTTGATCGTTATCATTTCTCACAGCGTGTGTTATACATGTCGCAGCCTAGAATTCAGGAAGAACGCGAGTCGACGCACTTATATATATATATATATATATAAGTATTAGGTGAACATTGTTAGGAATAATTAACATACTTTAATAAGCAATAATATTTATATGAACCAGGAGCGTGATTTCTGGGCTTTCCTTATTCCAATTTTTTTTTAAGTTCAAAGTATTTACCTATCAAATAAGGCTAAAGGTCGATCAAACTGGTAATTTTACATAAGCGGTAAAGCGGCTCTAATGTGAAAATCGCAATTATCAAATTGAATGATCACGAATCGAGCGATCGCAACTAATTATTATTAGTTATTACGTTTATGTAGCAAAAAATAGCGGAAAGTTTTGTTTGGTCAATAATGTGTGTGTATATTTTATATGTAACTTAAAATGGAAAATAAAGATGACTGCTCACTAGTAGAAATCATAGACTTTATAAAAAAATATCTGTCAATTACCATTTTTCGGAAGGTGTGTTCCATATATACCCTAAGACCCACCACTAACTTCCTGCAGATATTATACCTGTAAAGTCAGCGGCGGAATCTTAGGCTAAATAGGTAGTAAAACAAAATATCTAAATTTACCTATAAAGAATATAAAATATTCGATTTCTGAATTATTTTCAAAATTAAGGGCCTTCCACTGATACTCAGTTCTACTGAAATCGGTCTATTAAATCGGTCTACTGAAATTGCTTTTAAATTTTAGGAGCACCTCAACCTTGCAAAATGGAGTCCACTCATGGAGTTACTTATGATATACAGCCAGTCTTTGATTGTGTAATTAGTACATATATAACAGTTCATGAATTAAACTTACAGCTCCTTCGAGATTAATCTTGTTGTTTGTACGGTATCTACGGTATATATATATATATATATATATATATATATATATATATATATATATATATATATATAACAGTAACGCAAACGCACCGCACGCCCTCTGAAGAAGACTTCCAAATGAAAGCCTTTTATGAAAGAATTTTATAAAATTTCTCGTTATACATATATATTGACAACTAGCTACAATAAATCGACGAGATTTGTAACGTTTATAGTGAGGAATAATTATTTTTCAACGATCGAAATTTTTTAGAATACTTTATAGTATTCGTGAAAGATAGAATAAGTAGTAATAGTAGCAAATACCTAATGTATATGATTACTTTTGTTGTAATTGTGATATATGTTGTAATTTAAGAAAGCAATATTACTTATGGATAATGTATGCTACCCATGTGAAGTGTATATTTAAATTAATTTAGTTTAAATAAATGAAAGAAATTAATCCATGTTTTTAATTGCTTCAATAATAAACGCTATGTTAGTCATATTTTTTTTAATGTGTACATATAGTTAAAAAAATAAACCAATACGGATATCAATATTTCTAATTATATCAATAAAAAAATCATTGGCAGTTTACGTACTATTCGGATAAATATTCTAGATTAGTTATTACGTTTTCATATAATTTCCCTTTTATATTAAAGTACCGCCCCCCGCCGTCTCTGTTTGCCCTATAGTTCACTGGTGGAGTACGTACATGAAGCTAAATAAACAAATTAACAAGGTGCGCAAAATATGGCTAACATATGTATCTAAATTAAAGTGGTAATTTGTAGCCATACAGGTTTATGTTTTATATTAAGTTTTATTTTTAGTATCACTTACATATACATTTAAATGAGTAATAACAACTAAACTTGTTTTTTGTCTTATAAAATATCTTGTTTTAAATCTCAGTACCGCATCGCTTTACACGTGCTATGCCAACGACACGGCGGTCTTCATTTACGTATATCATTTTTTGTTTATTATTATGATGACGTCACATTTAATATTTTCCTCTACAACAATTTTAAATTAATTAGGTAATTTAAAAACAAAAAAGAAATAAAAGACGTGTGCGTTGTATGTAACACCTAAATATCAATCTATTGGCAACGGCTAAAGGTGACGGTTAAAAGAATGCTAAAGGCGACTACATATAAAAATAAATATATGTGTTTAATATGACTATACAATTATTAGGTACATTTATAAATTATTGACATTTAGGTGAACGTAACCTAAGACATGATCACATTTCGCTAAGCATATTAAAATATAACTTGACAGTATACCACTGTACCACGCCGTTCTCATGTTTTGTCTTTAAGTAATAAATGAATGTCACCAATAGCCTGGTTCTCAGGATCTATGATACTTTGGGTTATAAAAAAACAAACAACGAATAATTGTGGGCACAACTAGTAATGTCCGGACAAACCCATTTTAGAAAAAAATGAAACTTTGAAAATATCTTCTAATATAGTTGTGAAGAGTTTCGGGGATATGACGTCACTCTGACTTATATCTTGTATAATGATGGGTTTCGTACCCTGGTTCTGTACTCTGACAAACATCGTAGCCTTTTTAAAAGACCGGCAGCACACCTGCAATGCCGTCGGTGTTGTGGGTGACCATGGGCAGCGGTAGTCATTTACCATCAGGTGAGCCGCATGCTCGTTTCCCCCCTGTGTTGTAAAAAAAAAAAAGAAAAAAAGCCTTACTGTACATACACTTCCACACAACAAGAATAATTTAATTGTTATGTATTTACTGTAATACTATAATATTTCAACCCTCAATTAATATGCTTTTTTACTCCATAGAAGCACATGGCCGCTATTAAAATAGCTATGGAATACAATAAAGATTTACATATATTTCTACTAAAGTATAACACAATATACAGATTCTATTAATGAGTTGTGAACTTATTAATGTTATATTTCCCATCCCTTATGTGGATTCATAAGGGGTTGAAAATGAACTATAATATGATATTTTCAACGTCTATATAGTAAGTTATAATTTATTATATTTATTAAACTTTAATACACCTAGATAGTGCAAATAGCAGACTTAACACCACATGACATTATCTACCAGACGACTAAAGACAGGAATAACAAAAATATAATTGACGATGCAATATGATGAGCGCATAAATAGAAAAACAAATACAATATTAAAATAAAACTGTAATTTAAAATAACATACATATACTTACATATTATCAACATTATACACACATATATTTATATATGTGTGTGTGTATATATATATATATATATATATATATATATATATATATATAAAGAATGTAGTTTATGCTTGAATGCTAATTTGCTTTGGATAGACCTAATGTTAAAGGATAAAGCATTCCAGTGCTAGATAGCCTAAACGGCGAAACAGAGAAAAAGCCAGTGAAGTGGGCAGAAATGTGAAACAGGAGATTTCAAGAAGAGCAAAGACAACGGTTTCTGACCTTTTCATGAAATTTTACTATAAAGTATATAAAGTAAGTATATAAAGATTAAAAGTACGGATTTAGTTTTTGAGTTATTTTAAAATGGTTCTCATTTAATTTTGTGTTTCCTATACGAGTATCTATACCGATACTGCAACACTTTGATGAACCTTCTTGCAATCTATAACATTTTCTCATATGTTGCTTACATACAAACTTATACACGATTTTTTTTGGAACATAGTCTTGAATATATAAATATCATAGTTTACCAATTTATTGTCTATCTATGTAATTTGATTTTTTTTTAATGCAACTTAGAATGGCAAACTAGCTGATGGCCCACATGATGAGTAGTGGTAATCGTCGCCTATAGACATGAGCAGTACCATGAACATAATGGACATGACAGAATATACTGTTTCGCTAATGTTCCCCCCCATGCGTTGCCATTCCTGAGGACTCAGGTGTTATTCCTCTATACCCTGTAAATTTATTGCCATATCCCACCCTTCAAACCGAAACACAGCCATGCAAACACAACTACTTCATATAATTAGAAGTTGTAATTTTTAAAAAGTTTACTTGTTACATGAGCGTCGGCAAAATATCAGGTAGCACGCAAAGTAGATACTTTAACTACAATTGCCACATCTAAATTCCAGGTTTGTTCAACTAAAGTCATAAAAATAATACGGTTTCTGTTTACACAAACGTTAAAACAATAGTCATATATTATATTTCTCAAAGCAGATGACGATAATGATCTGACGCAGAGCTACATAAATATTCCACTATAATCCTTGAAGTGCGTATCCAAGCGACAAATATTTAGGAAGTAGTCTAAACTCAATGTGCAATTTGACCTTAATAAATAAAATATTTGTCCCATTATTAGTGAATGTCCATGATTTTTCCTGCGTGAACTGAATAAATACTTAATGTAATTTAAGATTTCTTTTCCACAAAAACCGATCAATATTAATTTAAATAAAAAGTTTTACGGACGGTAATAATTTAGGATCAACACAACAAGATAAACATTTTTAATTTAAAAAAAAACTACTAAGACTGTACAAGATTGGAGAACATGTATAATAGCGTTATCCCGCTACTTCGCCTGTGTGTTTTATATTATGTTAAAAAAAACATTTCAATTGTGACAAAACCGGATATTTTGGTCTAAATATTAAACTACTACCATGTGGTCCCGGCATAGAATGGGCCAGCCGTTCCTTTCCCGTGGGTGTTGTAAGAGATGACTAAGGGAATTTAAAGGTCGAGGAATGGCAGCAGCGTTCCTCTTAAAAAATCACCAAAATCCTAACTGCGGTTGCAAACTCGCCTGCCACGCGTGGCAACTACTGGCAAAAGTTCTCTTATGGAGAAGACCTATACTCAGGAGTGGACAATTAAGCAGTTAGATTAAACTACTGCACCGATTTCGATAAAATTTATATGAGCTCAATCTGTAAGTATATTCTTTCAGATAAAAAAGAATTTTCCAAATCGGTTTAGAATTGTCGAAGTTATGAAGTAATAAACATAAAGAAAAATACAACCGAACTAAACCTCCTTTTTGAAATCGATTGAAAAATAAGCTTTTTGTCATAACTCGTCACAGAAACATTCAATAAAATAGTCAAGTTTTTATTTGTATTCGACATCAACGGACTGCTTATAGTTCGTCAATTATTCGTATGTTTTTATTTTCATTAAGTACTATTGAAATAGTACGTGTATTTCAAATTTCCTGATGATTGGTTGAATATTTAAAGCGCTAAAAGGTGACATACAAACAAACACACTTTCCCGTTTATAATTCTAGTAAGGATATATGTTATTTTACTTATTTAATTCCACTGTATTATTTTGTATACCTACATTTTACATGTAGTGGAATTTTATAGGAGAAAAGTAGTCATCTACGTAGTTCGCCTTCGAAGACCATCGTGGTTAATTCCTTGGCCATCATGATTATTTTTACTTGATCCTCAAGATTGAAATGATATGAATGGAAATGAATGAAACGGAGTGATAGATTCCTCTGTGATGAGACGCCAGCGTATACTGATATTAAAGTATTTCCTTAAAATGGCTATATCTACTCTCAAGCATGTCTTTCCGCATAATTCTGGAGTGAGTGCTAAACCTTCGCCTCCCCCTATCGCCCTCTTTTAAATAGGCCTATATATAGCGATTGCGCAAGTAGGGTTATAATTTCATTGTCATCCCATTAATAAAATATTTATTACTAGTAATAAGCTCAAACAATTATGAGGAGATATACCTACTTTACTCATGAATACAAAATGTAGGGGGGAAAGGGAATGTTAGTAATGAGGACTGAGAATCCCATTGCTAGCAATAAACCCAACCAGGTCGACCTCCTCGCGGTTCCCCTGGAAACTGTCATGCTTAATTCCTAATGAATTTATCATGATGGGCTAACTGGCCTGTTTTCATTCTCATCTATCACCCTTCACTGGTGCTCCGCCAGCGTATCCCGTTAGTGCAGGCGGGGTTACCATACCATTTTCACCGTGTGAATCGAATACGCAACCATCAACCACAATTGAAACAGTTGTTAAACATCAAACACAACAGTTTCAATAGGAAATTTCCATATAAACTTCAAATGCTATCATAGCTTTATTGTATTATTATTAAAATTATTAAAAATATACACTGGAACAAAAACAAACTAGTTTTTTTTTACCGCAACTCCATTCTATTTTAAGCTTGTGCCGATTAAAGATGAGCGTCATTCTAAAAAAAACTATAAGGGTCTATGCACATTTGATAACTTGATAAGGCACAGCACATTAAAATATTATGATTATTAACTCTACTGGCAAACACTCGGTTTTCAAATTGAGGATGCTGAATATACATAGTTCAACCACATTCTAAAGATGTTGTCTCAAACAAAAAAATCTACCTTTCCTTTGTTTGATATGATTAGCACATGTGATCACAATCTACATAGAGATGCTAACACATCATGTGATGCACTAACAAATAAAAATTATCAAGTCATGATATGGAACAAAAGGAAATCTATAATGGGGAGTTATAACCCCATTGCTGACAATATAGTAACATGTACTGTTAAATCGAACTCCGAGCGGCTTGCTTTGGAGGTCACTGTGGTTAATTCCTGGTGAATTCGTCACGATGAACTAATTGACCTGATTTTATTGATAACTGACTTTAAACGCATCCCTAACTTATTCCTTAATATTTAAAAACTTTCTCACTAAATACAGAAATCATATCTGGACAGATAAATAATACATGTACAGAGGAATAACACTTGAATCTTCAGTAATGGCAACGCATGGAGGGTATTATGGGCGAAACAGTATACTCTATTCTGTCCATGGTACTGCTCATATCTATAGGCAACTGTTACCACTTTACGTCAGGTGGGCCGTCAGCTTGTTTGCCATTCTAAGTTCCTAAAAAAAAAGACTTTACAAAAATTTATATGAAGGGTCAATAAAACTTATAGAAGCCAAAATAATTGTAGCATTTTTGTTGTCTGTCTATTTATCTATATATTTGTTCCAACATTATATAAAAATCACTGTACCAAATTGGCTTGCGGTTTTCATAGTTTTGACTAGTAAACGCATTAATGAAAAGACTGATTTGGCTACTTCTTTTTAATAAAGGAGTATTTGGATAGAACAATGTAGTCGATTCTAAGGCGCCATTCTCTAAACCTGTCTTTAAGATTAATATTTTAATATAATAGTACACGAAAGTACTATTTAATGCAGCATTAGAAACGAAGCTTATAATAATTTTCACTTAAATCTGTTAGAAATTTAATTAATTTTAGTTCTTAAAAATTTTACTATGAGATATCATATATATGATAATATAAAAATTTTAATTTTAGAGGTATGTTTAGAAAATTGCGCGTCAGAATCGACCCTAATATTTGTTGACGCTTAAAAGTTATCTCGCTGGCCCCCGGTTTGGGTCTTAATATATATATTTATTATATATACTATAAATTTACCTGTATTTTTCGCTAATCGATTTCAATATTTATATTTTCAATCGTGACACTTGTGTCCAACAATGAGACGTTAAAGATCATGTGGAAGATTTTTGAGGAATTAATCTTATGATTTTACAAAGGAAGATACTCATATCTGAACTAATTATGATGACTCCATTTGCAAACGATAAAGTTCTTCCCGTATTGGTTGGTAATACTAATTGCGATTGGAAATATTTCTTTTGTATAGAACCAATTTATAATTTTTATATCGCACATGGAAATAACCCGCTGTTAGCTTGAATAAAATGTGGTAACCGTTACCTGGCAAGATATTAGCTTAGGAAAGGTCAATGGCCCCACCTAATCTTTCTTCTATATGGATAATTAAATAAATACTCATACACTCGTACATAATTTCATACGTATATTTTTTTTAATCACCTACCCCATCAGGAATTAACGCTGTTGTATAAAATATCTCCATCAATAGATTGATGTATGTATTTTTAACAATTAGTAATTAACTTCGTGATTAGTTACTAATTTTTAGTTTTAAACTTTCGTGTTGTTTTTATATTTTAAATACACTATCGGTATTTAAGACGAAGAAAAATTTTTACAGGTATATGGGTACTATTTACCTGCAAAAAATTTTTATTGCGTTAAGTCCCGATAGTATATTATAGATTATAAGATATATTATTCCCGATAGACTTCGCTATCTGTATACACTGGCGAAGTACTAATGAGTGATGATAGGTGAGGATAAAAAGACAGGTTAGGTAGCCCATCGTAATGAAAATACACCTTGCCCTCTAGACCAGTAATAAGCGAATTCGTCGACAGCATCGACATCGCCAACGGGTCCGTGAGTTGGAATGAGACATCCGACATTGCTATCTCGTTCTACCTCAGAAACCCGTTAATGATATAGACTCCATTGACGAACCCGCCTGTCATTTGTCTACAGGGCCTGGCTTTCAGCACAATGGTTTCCAGGGGGACACCACGTGGAGGTAGACTACTAACACCTAACAATAGCGTATTTAAAATAATTGCTAATTGTCAAAAATACTGGTAGATACTGTACGAGTTAGATACTGTAATAGTTGCGTAAATCGAATTTGTATAAGCCAGGGTATAATTTTATCTATCGACTTGCGAAGCAATATCACTGTTAAAAACATAAAGTTTAAACTGAAAGCTTATTTACTGTCTAACTTTGCTAAAACAGCAGAATACCAGAGGGAGACTTTGTACAAAAGTTGATTGCTTGAGTACCTCTGTCCCATTCGTGTTTCTACCGTGACGTAGTTGTGCTTGCTTGCGTAGCTGTGTTTCGGATTGAAGGGTGGGATATGGCGTAAATTTACAGGGTACAGAGGAATAACACCTGAATCCTCAGGAATGACAACGCATGGGGGATATCATGGGCGAAATAGTATACTCTGTTATGTCCATGGTACTGCTCATGTCTAAAGGCGACGGTTACCACATTCCATCAAGTGGGCCGTCAGCTTGTTTGTCATTCTAAGTTCTATAAAAAAAAATTACATTTCGTCATAGTCGTAGAATACTCACGGATCTATATATCTAATATTTGTCAAATCCGTCAGCATTCTACGACTATGACGATTTAAGAACGAAATGTAAAGTATCACACACAAATCCAAAAGGTTTAAGTGATACTAAAAAATCCATAGTTTTATTTAATGTATTCTCATGCTAATTAAATAAAAAAAATTGCTCACACCTTTCAGTACGCTCTTACTATATGTGGGATATCGATACTAGCTCCAAGCTAACATCGATATCGCACTATGTCAAGCAATGTCTTCATAAAAAAATTAGCCTATTGCAAACTGTTTGCAAAGTCAGTGGTCGATTAATAAAAAAATATTTATCTAAAATAATTTTTTACTAAACTATGCGTTAACTAGGTATCATAGATTTAATATTTTAAAGGCTTATACAGCTCATGGACATTTTGACTTAATTAATTATAAAGAATTTTGAATTGATTAGTAAAATTAATAGTTTTTTATAAATACAAATAGCATTTCAACGTACAATCAATTATGTTCATATCTAAAATTAACGAAAGGTTATTTTTTCATTAAAATTCGAATAAAGTTATATGCCTACAGTAACCAATAGTACTCTGTTATATCAATGTCATATGTCATAAAAGTAAAAGGTACTAGATGTCATTGTCAAATTGTCATTGAAATGTCATTACGTGGCCGAATCTGAAATTTCTTCAATATTTTATGTTTCAATTTAAAATATTATATATAAATAAGTTTAGATAAAATCTTAGTTATTCATAAGCAGAATGAAGTCCACGTGGAGAAATTTATGGCTAGTTTCAATCCTTGCATTTATTTCATTAAATACTGCTAGCTGTTATACTATCACTGTTGATGCACACGCCGAAGAATGTTTTTTTGAAAATGTTGAAGCAGATACTAAGATGGGTAAGTTTATAAGTAAACTAAAGTCATATTGAACATATTCCACAAATATTACAATAATATTGGTACTTTAATGTTTACCTAACCTTTTCAAATAACATTAATAAGAATTATATGAATTGTGTTGACATTAATTTTTCCATTTATGTACAAAAATATTATAGTTTCTTTAAATGGGTGTATTCTATTTCTTTACCTCTTTCAGGTTTGACATTTGAAATAGCAGAAGGTGGATTCTTAGACATAGATGTTACTATCACTGGTCCAGATGGCACAGTGATCTATCGTGGTGAGCGAGAGTCATCTGGCATGTACACATTCTCAGCACCTACTTCTGGAAGATACACTTACTGCTTCAGCAACAAAATGTCCACAATGACACCAAAAGTTTGTAACTTATTTGATATCTTAAGAAAAATAATTATTTGTTACAAATATATTGCAAATAGTTTATTTATTATTATTATTTTCTGTCATAAAAGTATGAAAATAATATTTTTTATGAAAGTACTCTTATGAATCCCGATTACATGGAGTGATGGCCTCAAATGCATTGTAGGATGTTGGTGGCTCAAGACTATTCCTTATGCCAATGTATAGGGAAAGCCTATCTTCAGCAGTGGACAGATAATGGCTGATATGATGATAACTCTTGTGAACTCAATATGTCATAGCAGTAAATTAAAACTTATTGCATACATTTTGTTCTTTTATTTTGTGAGGGTAAAATCATATAATACTATAGCAAATTGTAAAAATATCTATCCAATGAAATATGAATTTATTATTAAAAAAATTGCTATTTCTTCTTATTTTGTATAATAGACATATGATAAAAAATATAAACAATTATGGCCTATTATTATCAAATTAGGTTTTATAACCCAATATGTCAACTATATTTACCTACAATTGGATATAAATTATTACAATACTTTATATATTAGTAATAATTAAAAATGATATCAGTGAGGCTTTATTGTTTTAGGTGGTAATGTTCAACTTGGAAGTAGGTGATACACCCCATAAGACTGGTGAAAAAGAAGATGATGTCAATCACAATAAGTTAGAGGACATGATCAAAGAGCTGGCCACAACATTGAAAACTGTTAAACATGAACAAGAATACATGCAGGTATTTACAGTACTAAAATAAACAACACTAATGTAGCCTATAAAAACAAAACTAAACTATATTTTTCTAATATTTAGTAAAATCCTTATTTTCCAAATTCCACATTACAAAATATCTCATTTAGTAACAATATTATCAACTTATTGAACTCTAATATACATTATATGTACATGATTAATTAAATAGAAAGAATATATTTTTCCTAACAAATATAAATTGAAAGATACAAATATTTAATATTTCCTGCAGGTGCGTGACAGAATTCATCGTTCAATAAATGAAAATACAAACTCCAGAGTAGTTTTATGGTCTATTTTTGAGGCATCGGTACTCCTTCTCATGACCCTAGGACAAGTCTACTACTTAAAAAGGTTCTTCGAAGTACAAAGAGTTGTGTAACATTTCATCACTACTCATATTTTGTATGAACTGTACTATAAGTACCAAGAAAGTTATAAAATTTTGCCTCTACAGTAAGATGCGTAGGCAAAGGAATTTTGTTTTTATTTTTTGTTTAATGAAGTATTGTTTTAAAACTTAAAAGAACTGATATCATCATTTATCGTTCATGAAGAAATACTTCTACCCATGTACTTGTGTTCATTTTATTTTACTATAAATGTACAATTTGACACATTTCAAACCATCTGTATAAATATTAAACCTACATTATTTCACTCTTATATATAATCTATTGTTTAAATTATGTTCTTTTATTTTGTAATTCTGTGCATGTTTTGTTCATCACAATCGTACGAGTATAGACATTAAAATTTTATTTTTACATCAATCTTGGCGTGCATTACATATTTATAGCTTGTAAAAAAGAGTAAGTAGTAAGGTACTTCTGATCTGATGTGTGTAATAGATGAATGACTGGTGTATGTAAGTAGTTGTTTCAGTAAATTACTTCAACATGAAGAGAAATAAATTAATAATGTTTGTATAATAATGTGTCTTATTTAATTATCCCGATCTAATATATTGAACAGTATTACAGACTAAAGTAGGTATATTTCTATGTTGTCATAAAAAAAAGCACTGATATTTGAATCATTTTTAATACACAATGGTAGGTTATAAGTCATAAGCTGATTCAATTATTGGATATTTAATACAATTTTTCTAAATTCCTTTCACCTTACTAGACCAAACATAAATCTGAACCTGACCATTGAGAAATATCTAATTGCTTCACTTTAAACTGTTAGTAGTATTTTTGATAAATAGAATTAGTCAGCAAAGTAAAAAATTAAATAATTTGAAAATTATTACTTTAAAAATGTTCTCATTAAGCAAATAGGTAGCTAGTTGGTTTACCAGAATTTTTTAAATGAAGCTAGGATTTATAAGGCACTGCATTTTAGAAAGCCTAATTATTATGCAAATAATACTGTAGTAATGTTTGTTGCATATTGTATATTTTACCAATCCTAGATAGGTAAGTATAAGGAGTGTGAATTTGTCGTTAAATTGCATACGGACCCCCTAAAAACCTTATATTATTCTATTACTTGTTACTAATATAATAAAAACGCATCTATATTCAACCTCACCTATTATTCTCTACTATCGGCGCAGCTAGTGTTACTATTCCACTATCACCTATTAAAAAGACAGGTGTAATAAAAATTCGGAATTAACAATATAATAATTTTATTGAGATTTTAACAATGATGATCACTATCTTAGGTAATTTTATTTACAATGAATCTCGGTATTTTAATTCAACTGCAAGGTTCAGCTGTAAACATTTTGCTGAATCCCCAATTACTTTAAATAGTGATTTATTACATTCAAATGCATAACTAACTAACTAACATCTGAATCATAAATTTTGACTATAATTAATAATTAAGAAACATAACAAACAATAAATATTATAACAATCATCTTTATTGCATTTTAAACAAGGAATTCAGCATCATATCGTCATAGTCGTAGAATACTGACGGATCTTTATATGTAATATTTGTCAGATCTGTCAGTATACTGTGTATGACGATATGGTCTTTTGAACCAGAATATTCATACGAAGTTGTGCATAGGAGGCAATAAAAGGCAATAAAAGGCCCATCTGAGGCAATAAACAATTTGTGTCCTCTGCATGCAAAGTCCCCTATCTAAACAAGTACTTGTGATTCCCAACAAAAAGCATTTAAAAAATAGTACAAGGTGCACTTTTAACAATATTTTTCTAGAAAATTATACGACTACTCTCAATTCCTTGGCTCTATTTTAATTACTTATTCTAAAAGTGCAACATTACATACAAACATGAATGAAAAAATCTGTGAATATTGTTTCCTTTTTTAGAAATGTTGTTGGCTATATTTTTTCAGTTCGAAACAATAAAGCACGCATTATTTTTTAACGACAAAAGTACTCATAGTGGCCAATCTCGAAAGTAGCTACCATTCTATTATTAATAACAATACTATATCTTTTTTATAAAAGTGAAAGTGTGTGTAAAGACATCCAAAAAGAAATTTCTATAGTTCAAATATTTATAGCTGGGAAAGAAAATGAAAGAGAATGCGGACGAAGCCGCGAGCACAGCTACTAGCATAACTGGTACTTGGTGAGATTCACAATAAACGAAATATACAATATTAACATTTTCCACATTGATCACTAACTGAAAACTTTTAACCTTTGCATGTAAGGCCTCTATGTGTTTGATCTAGTATATTACTAGGATGTTTATGTATTCAGATCCCTATCACCTCGTATTATAGAGATATATATTCGTATGAGATGATATATATTACGATTCCGAATGGATAACAGTGAGATCAAGCCTGCCAGTGAGAAGCGCGCTGACGACAGCGCCGGGCGGCAGTATGCGGCCCGCGCCACCTGCCGGCAGCTCCAGAAGCGCGCCCGCACCACATGCACTCAGCAACCGGCTACTGCACTGTTATACAAGACGATAATTATAAATAATTGAAGTAAGTAGAGAACAAAATATTTAAAGGAAAACACTATTATGTGTATAAAGAATTATCGAAATCAGAATTGGTAGAGATATCACAAATATCACGTGAAGTCGGTTAAAAATAAGTGTGAGTGGGCTTAAAATAGTCAACATATATATTATACCATTATGACAAAATAATATATATATATAATTAAATATATTCCTAACTAGAATAATAGGCCTATTTGACGTCGTAACATTGATTGGCTAGCGCAGTTTTATATGGATTGGTAACTTTCGCTGCGTAGAAGATACTAAGCAGAAGAATGAACGAGGTGACACCTGGTTCCCGAGAAGCGCGGCGGTGGGTAGGTCCCCTCGATCCCGGCAGCGAGTCTGCAGCGCAGCGCGAGCATACTCGGGCCGTGGGTCGAGTGTCACGGCCTCCTCGAGCCGCACGCTGACCCGCGGCCATTCCGCAACACGCCCGCAACTCACACGCAATGCGCGCACTACGAACAGCAGGCAGCACACGTATGCAGACACGGGGTTGCCTACGAAAGGACACAATTGTGGTCATTAGCGTATTGGCTGTGTGTGGCTTTGTTTTAAATAAAATACAGCCTATATTGCTTCTACAGGTGAAAGAATTTTCAAAATCTGTTAATCTATATTATTAAATTATCTAAGTGTTTTTTGAGTTTATCCATTACAAACAAAAAATAAAATCATTCCTCTTAATATTCTCCTAATATAATAATAATATCGTATTAATATTATTAATAATTTTATTTTCTGAATTCTATTCTAGTCCTTTAAAAAAGCGGATATATATTCTTTGACTTGTATACACATGAAATTTTCACTCGCATCCCGGGGGAAAAACCATACAATTCTGGGGAGACATGATATTTGCAACATTGTAGATTATAAAAAAAAAACAATCTTTGATTACTTGTTTCATACATGATGTTTGAAATTTATATATGTATTGTACTTTAAAAGTAACTGTCAAAATACAGGAATGTACAGAAAAATGCAACAAATTTTCTACAAAACATTTACCTGGTAAAGCAAATATATATTTTGTCTTCCCTTCAAACAGACATGTAGCAAATGTACTCGGTTTGCCCGGCTTCATTCGTACGCGTCCGAAATGCAATGTCGCGTTGAAGTCCTAAAATATTTATATAACAAAATTAAGCACAACATATATTTTATACTTGGTCATTTACATTCTATAATGTTATATTGTGGACTTAGAATTAATAATAATATCATCAATCATTGTGGTAATAATATCATCAAAGAGGGTTGACGTCAGGCAGGTAGCCGGTCGTAAAACTAAAAACCAAGTCTTTTTGTAATATGGACAAAATCATATTACGCCGACCCCAAATTATTGGGATAAGGGTAAGAAGATCAATCGTTGTGGAAATATGACCAACACAATTATTGGCAATTTAATAAGCGGTTTTATTATATTTGATCGCTATGGACTTGTTACTCACTTTTCCAACTCCTGAGTCTTCGATGCTTATGTGTGGACGTTAGATCTTAGCATATAACTATAAAATAACAATTTAAAGAGAAAAAACTCTTTTAAATCTACTCAAATAACCCTTCCTTTCCCATAAGTGTCTATACAACTATGGGAATTTAATAGTCGAGGAATGGGCAGCAACAACCCTTTTAAAACATCACTTAAAGCCTGACTACGGTTGCCAACCCGCCTGCCAAGCACGACAACTATTGGCAAAACCTCCCAATAGGAATAGGCCTATGTGCAGCAGTGGACAATTAACTGTTGATATGATGATGAAATAGTTTATTTTAGACTAGTTGTACCCCGCGGCTTCTCCCGCGTAAATAGGTATATAAAGTATCCTATGTGCTAAGTTAGGATATAAACCTACCTATATACCAAATTTCATTCAATTCCGTTCAATAGTATTTGCGTGAAAGAATAACAAACATGCATCCATTCTTACACTTATTACAATATAAATAGGATTGGATTTGCTAACCTTAAGTAATACTGGCTTGAGTAAATCTCGTTCGCCCATAGAGACGCCGCCGGTGCACACGATCACGTCGGCTCGTTGCATGGCGGTCGCCAACGCCGAAGCCAAGTGCGTGGGTGAGTCGCGAGCAATGCCACAATCTATGCTCTCGTATCCATGCTCCCTAATAAAATAGGCATGTGTTAAAGTTCCCAGTTCTTGTCTTTATTATATATATATTGGTTAGGCGAGATTATGCGCTTCTACAATATATTGTTCATATTAATTTATTAAATTTTATCTAATATCAAACGTAAGTTTATATTTCAAATATATCATACGATTAGTCGTAGGCAATTTTTTATGACCGTACGGTCTCGACATAAAATGGGCCATCTCTTCCTTTCCGGTGGTTGTGGTAAGACGACTAAAGGAATTTAGTGGTCAAGGGATGGGCAGCAGCGTCTCTTTTAAAACATCAAACTGCAGTTGCCAACCCGCCTGTCAAGCACGGCAACTACTGGCAAAACCCCCAAAGGAAGGACTATATTAAGCAGTAGACAGTTAAGGGCTGTACTATATAACTTATACAGAACATTGTGGGAGGAAAAGGATTGTTAGTAACTAGTAATATAATCTCTCAGGTCGACCTCCACGCGGTTCCCTCTGGAAACCATCATGGTTAATTCTTGTCGAATACATCACGGTGGGCCAACTGACCTGCATTCATTCTCACCTATCATCCTCCACTAGTGCCTCGTCAGTGTATACCACTCCATTTTCAACCATTAAAAAAAAATATACAGAACTTTTCGATTGGATATTTAGTCTGGCAATCCTACCTAAGCAGCATTCTCAGCATTGTCCTATTGGAGTCTCGTATATGCGCAGGTCGAAGTTTACCCTCCGATGGCTCTTGCAGCTCGTTTCCAGTTGATAGTAGTGCCACCTAGTTATAATAGTAAGCATTTAACACTGTTGATATTAACATTGTCAATGAAGCAGTTTAACTGATATTTTTAATTAAAAAAGAAAATTTCTCAATTCGGCTATACTTTTTGTGTTTATGTTACGGAATATCTTCACCAATTGTAACACAACTGTGATAATAATTCTTTTTAAAATTATAGGATTTACATTTTTTTTTTTTTTTTTACAACACAGGGGGCAAACGAGCATGCGGCTCACCTGATGGTAAGTGACTACCGCCGCCCATGATCACCCACAACACCAGCGGCATTGCAGGTGTGCTGCCGGCCTTTTATACATATTTATTTATTTTCATAACGTATTAAAGCTGTCCTGTTCGGAACAAAATCTTAAATTTATTAATTAAAATCATCATCAACGAAATATGTGTGAGGGGATCGTATGAAACAAATAATATACGAACCTTCGGATGCGCTTTAACAGTCACATTCTGATATCCTGCACCCGCTAACAGTCCAATTAACGCAGCATCAAGAACGTCTCCTAGAATAATACAACATATGGCTAGACTTGTATCATGAAAAAAAAAACTATCATAAAGCATACTAGTTTCAACATGAATAAAAGTTTACCTCTATTAGTTAGTACCGCGCCCATTGGTATGTCGTAGCCAACAGGCCGGACATCTTGTTCAGGTTTTGGCGCTACCATAATTTCCACTTCGAACTCAGTCTCGCCATCATCAGAAGCCGACACCAATTTCGTATCTTCTACCTGCAGAAACGTTTAGAAAATAGGAAAAATCAATCAATTAGGTCTTCTCTATGCCCGCTAGATGGTGTGTAGGAAATAGCGTGTGTTGCACTTGGCAACTCACGACAGATGGCGCTAAAAGAAACGAAGGACTCAGCGATACTTAGGATATATTTTATATGAATCCATATTCACAATATAAATATAAAAAAAGGTTTTATTACAGAATGGCTTATGCAATTTTTATCAAATTTGTCGTCGGGATTAGTATGGAATAAAATCTTAAAAATAGGTAATTAACAATACTTCAAAATGCTGTGTTATGTTTAAGTTAGTTGTAACAATCATAACAATTTGTAACCTGCACGACACAGTCGGCGCCAGCGGGCAATGCAGCACCCGTGTTAATCCTGGCACATTCACCTGGTAGCAGAGGCTCAGTGGGTGCGTCGCCCGCCGTCAGCGCAGAGCGAACCTTCCTCACACCTGCACCATCCAGACTGATACAAGCATAACCTATAACAGGTTATACAATTGGTAAATTAGTCTATTGAAAACCTGTAAAAAAAACTCAAAAATTAAGTTTTAAATAAAAAACACACTGTACTACATACATACAAATCTGTTACGCCTGTCTCCCATTAGGGTAGGCAGAAACAATGGAACGCCAAATGCTTCGATTCAAACAAACTGAACTACTCACATATAATTGACAGTCTTAATATTATTCTTTAAGTTGTTGAAGGTCTAGTAAACATTTAGGTACATTTTATCAATATCACATTAAAATAAGCCTAATATATATCTATTAAACATATAAAGTAAATACAATGACTTTTTTTATAATTTTGACACAGTTGTTGTATAAAAATTTATATAACAGGCAAACACAAAAAGTTACATGTGCAGTGACAATAATATGTGCAATGTAATCATGTTATTGATGTAAACAACAATATGCAGCAGTTACATAATTACATTGCAATAATTTCATAAGAATTGTTATATATGTCTACACTATATAACACACTAACAATATACTTCATCTATGAAGATTAAAATAAAAAATATCCTAAGTCTCTAGAATGTGGTCGATCTGTGTAGTACATTCAACAGGAATGACTAACAAACAACATGCAAATACCTTCACAAATATTACATTTATAATATTCTATAAGTTTGTTCGAACATTTTGATAACATTACAAATCCTAATACCCTCAAGTATTGATATTTTTATGAAATTTTATTCTCATTAGTTCAGTATTTTACCAATACAATCATAGATTTATAATGATAACTATTTTAGAATTAACTCTGCATAAAACAGCTAATTCAATTGTGATAAAATGACTATCTTATTGAGTTTTAATTCTCATACATCAATATAAATATATACATAATAATCCAATAATAAAAAGAATTAGTGATAATTTATATGAAGAATAAAATTATTATATTAATTACCATCTCTAATTCCTTAAGCTCATATTATTATTTGTATTTATATAAATTATTACAATAATGAAATATATAAGGTAGTATAAAATTTTACCATCTTTAACAGAAGCTGGGAATGGTGGCATTGGTTCTTTTGCATGCAGGGGCTGTGCTACAACTCTCCCTAGACCGTCTTCTATAGAAACAATTTCCAAACGTTCGGTCCATTGTGCCATTACACTATCTATTATCTTCCATGCCTCAGACATCTCTACCATTGGAAATGGTGACTCTCTTGGTCTAAATGCGACTTTTGAAACATCCACGCTACTATGGTGAGGGCAAATGTGACCAGATTGCATAGAATCATGTGTTGATTTCACTTCTACATGCTCATTTTTTATTAAAGAAATTGCATGAGATAACACTGGTCGGATTACTTCAAAGCATTCTATAACAGCTTTCTTGCTTCCTGGGAAATTAATTATTAGTGTCTTATCTCTTATACCAGCAACAGATCGTGATAACATGGCCATAGGAGTCTTTTTTAAACTTTCTAATGTTAATGCGACTGATATTGCTGGTATATCCCGATAAATCACTGCTTTTGTAGCCTCTGGTGTTACATCTCTGGAACTCAGACCCGTACCTCCGGTAGTTAAAATTAAGTCTATATTTGAATCACTAAAATATTTCAATTCTCGTTCAATAATTTCTTTCTCATCAGGAATAATAATTGTATGCAAATTTGCTTCAGGAAAAACTTCGTTGGCAAGTTGAGCGAGACAAGGCCCAGAGGTGTCATGTGAATTGTTTTTGAAACAAGTATCACTCACAGTAATCACTGCTACCGCCTTCACCATTTTCCCCCTAAAAAAATATAAAACTAATGTATTTTATTTAAACAGCAACTTATATATACATGATAAGTTCCTCTGGTATACTTATTTTACTTTTTGGCTGTACGCCTATAATTTTAAATTAAATAAGAAAAAACATTAAATTATACCTTGTAAATAGAAAATATTTTGTCACTGAATTTGAACAAACTGTGAATTCTGATATATTTATTAAAAATTTAATTATGGTTTATAACTATGCTGTTGTATTAATTTCACAAAACAGAAAAAAAATATAGTAAGTAATCACGTTGTTACGCACCGACAACTGTATTAATATGCTAGTAGTAACTAAGTGAGAGAGAAGTATAACTTGCTTGCGTGAAACTTTTATTACATCACTTTGATAGAACACTACAGTATAAAAATAACAATAAACTGATATCACGGCGCTAATGAAAACTAATTTTTTAATCTATTCTATCATCTAATTAAATATTTTTCGCGGGTTAACGATATCCAATGAGTGACATTTTAAAATGTTGACATAAGCGCAAGTTGACAAGAAATAAAATTCTTCCATTGTACTAAAGCGTAGAGGGTTAGATAGAGAAAACAACCACTTATTGTAGTAGAAACAAAGTTAGTTTGAAAGCGATCAAACTCATATAACAAAAAATTGCCTATTATATTATAGTTAGAGATATTATGATAATATTAATATATTTTTATTTTAACCGATCTGTTAGTAGAAATAAAAATAAAATCTATGTAATAACATTTCATTTATTACAACATACTTATCAATCACAAATCACATCATTATAGTAGTAGTAAACACATGCTTTTAATATACAAACATTCATGATTCATAATAAATTATCTACTTAACCTACATGAAAGAGGCAGACATCCATTATTCACAATACTAATAGGCAAATAACATTAAATATTTATTCAATTATAAAAAATTACAAATTGTGCACAGACATTATTGCGTCAAGTAACATACATCATAAAAATATTTAATAATCGAGTTTATTTATTACCTTTTTGCGCTACTTCGTACGCGTAAATATCAGAAGTAGGAAAACTATTAAAGTATAGGTACTACTACTTCTACATATATGTGTTCTAGTATCAAAATAAAACAGGCCAGATTTTAAGTTAGATCTGCAGTAACATAATTGAGAAAACTGCATTCAATTTAGTACAGTAGTTTTTACGTAATGCCGGAACAAATGTACAGACAGACAAAATTACTAAAAATAATTGTTATGGCTTCTTATCACCCCTCATATCAATTTTTAAAATATCTTCCATGCACAGATTTGATCTAGTTACAAATTTAATATATTGGTACGATTGTTCATTAGAAGTAATACAATATTTATAATATCAAGTTCGTTAAGATACTTGAGAAATGTGAGAAAGACTCTGTTTTCCGCGCTTAGCCTCTCATTTGGGTCGTTGTGCGTACTTTAAGATACTTTTGTAATGTAGTAATTAAGCACAGAGCCCGCTTTATGAAAAAAAAAAAATTACTATAGCCTGTGGGTGTCTGCAACACAAAAAACACCCGTATTTTTAACCTGAAAAAGTTTGAAGCGCTTGTGGGTTAATTCAGTTTTTTTTATACCACAAAGGTGACAAACAATCATACGGTCTCTCTGATGGTAAACGGTCACTGTAGCCTATAGACGCCTGCAATACTATGGGTATCACTTGCGCGCTGCCGACCCTGAAGAAACCTTAATATACCGTTTTTAAAGAAACCCAAAAGGTCAAAAGAAACGGGGGTAGTTGCTACCGAAATATGTTGGAGAGAGAGAGAGAGAAGGGTGGAGGGGGCTTCCAAAACTCCAATTTACACTTTACTCGGAGGTGCAAAAGATCCTTAGTAGCATCCGACAATATAAAGTATATCTATCTATATTTACAAAGGCGCAAGTGCCAAAGGCATAATGGAGTCCAATATTTTCAAGGAGGAAAGAAACTTTCACATTTTTAATATTAGTAATTAAGGATTAATAACATTTTATGTATATATCGCATAGGTCAATCAAATTATGATACATGCGTCTCGTATTTATGAACTACAGCAGCGAGGGTATCTTCAGCGAGTGGTATTTTCGCACACGCTTCAATCAGTTGTCGAAGCGGTGCGTAACGGCGGAGAGCTCGTGCATTGCCCACCACCATGAGCTTGTATTTCGCGCGGGTCACGCTTACTGCTAATCGCCGGCGGTCGTTTAGTATTTCATTTTCCTGTTATCAATATATGTAATAATACATTATTTACCTATTCGACATTGTTATTAGAACAAACTGAATCATAAGATATAGTATAGCAATTTCAAAATATTTTATTGATATAATCTTAAGTTTCTATCTGTTATAAACATTTTACCAATTTAAAGTGATATCAAGGGCTGATGAAGAACATTCCAGAAAGTTGCCTAGAAGAGATCGCTATTTAGCAATAAGGCCGTCCAGTGTTCCTTTTTTATCTTGCTTATATGTAATAAAGTTTATGTAATTAATTATTCATTTTACTCATTACTTGACGTATTTTTTATCTGTCAAAATACTAAAAAGATGTGGCTATTTCTGCATAACTAACTCCAAATATTTATCATATGTTTGTGTATGACAGTCGAATAATTCAGCATATACATATAGACAGATACTCTTTATTTTTTCTCTCGTAAATTTATATAACCAATAAAAAAACCAAGGAACTAGAATTCAAATGCTGATTTTAATTACCTTGATCTTACTGTCGTCTTGACGCATGTCGCGTCTTGTGCACGAGTATATGATGACATCCTTGTCTCTCCCTTGAAACTGGTCAACCGTGCTCGCTTCCACTGTATAACGAGTTAGTGAACGCCGCAGTAGTGCTACTTGTTCGCGATATGGCGCTATAACGCCTATATCTGCTGGTTGTACGCCACCCTGGTACAAATTGAGTTTTCTTAATGACTTTTAAAAATCTAATACTTTAACTACATATATTAAACCTACTGCAAGCACCAGTCTCTCACAAAATTGGTCTTACATATCTAATTGTACCTCAAGTTGTCACTTTATACTACCTTTTGTGAAGAGAAAATAAGCCATTCATTCATTCATATACATATGTTTGCTAAATATCAATGATATCCATTTAGCTATATAATAGTATTTCTTTCTATGGACAGATTGCTGTCCAGTAGTGCAACTAGATATGTCCAGTAACATTTGTACTACTAGGGAATATTAACAGGTCGTTATATTAATACCACTAGACTCAAAGGAGTACATTAAATCGAGGAATTGAAAAAATACAATACTTATATTTTATAATATTATAATATTAATACAAATAAAATAGCTTAGTCGCGAGTCACATAGAGAGGGAGACATTTCATGATAAGATATGAAGGAATGTCGTGCGGTTATTTACAGATATTACACAAGCGCAGCGTGTGCACATGTGGTACGTGCCAGCTTTAACCAGTTTAACCGCTTAATGAAATTATTAATTAATCACCTCTATCATGGCGTTGACGAGAGCGAGCACCACACACGCCTCATCCCTGTTGAGGCAGGGCGTGTCGGTGGGTACGGCGGCCGCAGGGGGCGGCAGGTCGAGAAACACAACGGCGCGCTCCGCACGTGTGCTACACGCTTCAACTACCCACTCGGGCATTACTGATATTTTCTATCAATAAAAAAATACATAAGTAGTCGGGAATCTTCATACAAAATACACGAATCAACTCTTCAGTTACCACTATCCACGAGGTATTGCTATTTCTAATAATTTAAAAAGTTATCTGTATCAAATTGAAAATAAATTTTATAGCAGTTTTAGGGATCAATATTTTTACTTTATTTTTTATTCATACATTTCAATATTTTTACAAATGTATATTATTGTGGAATAACAGGAAGCAGAATTAACTTACATTCATTATTTAGTTGACATGACATTGTTTAGGACATAATCGTACTTGTGATGTACAAATATATAACATGTATGGAAACAAGTATGTTTGTTTCGATCGAAGAAAACTTTAAAAGAGTTTACATAGTTTACTAAGCAATCTTTTTTAGAAAGCCTTTACGTAGATAATAGTGGTTTCAGAGAGCTAAATAAAATGTATCTTTTTAATATATTTAACACTAATTACCTGTACGTCAATAGACAGATTGGCTTGTGCTATTCTCTCGTTAGCACACTTAAGCCTATCATTATATGCAACTTTATTGGCAATATTCACAATGGCTTCATTCATTCGATACTGAAGTTGAAGAGTCGACGTTACTTCTTCTTTCATCAGTCTATGAAACAAACTTTCTTCCATACCAAGGCGCCTACAAAAAATTACGTCATATTAGTTAAGTATAATAATTTTTCTGTAATATCTATTCTATTACAAGAGAACGTTAAATTAACCGCTTTTCACCCGTCAATAAAAATGTGCCTGTTTATTATATTTTGTATGATCCATTAACAAAATTATACTAAACGCTCAATTAAACGCGAGATACCTCTAAGAAAAAGCAAAATGCCTTTAAACTAGACTAAATAAGTAATACCATATTACGATTCATATATTTTAATTCTTAAAGATACTTATGGATTAAAATAGGCACCTTAAAAAAATAGTCTTGTTGTTCTTAGATACAAAACGAATTATATAATGATTGACTGATTCTATCCAAAATATTTATCTTGAATTAGTTTTGAGCTTTAATACGTAAACAATAAAATACATAATGGAGTATATCGATGACTAACCTAGCGGCACGACTCCTCACAACTGGCGGCAACTGTTCTGGGTCCCCAACCAATACGAAGCGCTTCGCTGCAAATAGAGGCCGCAAAACCGTACACTGGACGACCTGGACATTATTTGAAGTATTAGATAAGAATCTTAAATAATAGATTCAATGATTTAGTTTCTGACTATTCAAGCTGATGGGATTCGAATACAGTGGTACCTCGATATACGAGTGTTGAGATACGAATCGCCGAGCGAACGATATTTTGATTTGAGATGAGACCAAGATTTGAGATACGAGGAATCGCACCGCTGGACACAACCCCAACATGCGAGGCGCATGTTTGTGTTATGTGCAACGTCTAACAGTCTCTCCCACCTTAGACTAGACCTCAATCTGTGTACTTGTTTCCCTCGTTTTCGAAACATTTTTGATAAGTTCGGTTCGCGTTTTTTGCTTTTTGTACATTTACAAAACATTATCACATTTATTTTTATAACCATAGGTCCGATGAAGAAGATGATATCTATTGAATTAAATTGTGATATCACAGAAAAACATGAGCAAGATGTGCAAGTTACAAATAAATGTTTATTCTTGTAAATACATTTTTCTTATTTAAAAAACAATTGACAAAAACAACTGAAGTGGTTTTTTTGGGAGCTAGAATGAATTAATGGCATTTAAATTTTTTTCAATGGGGAAAATTGCTTTGAGATACGAGCAATTTGACATACGAGCAAGGTTACGGAACGAATTAAACTCGTATGTCGAGATACAACTGTACATGTCTGTGGTATCCTCTCTATAGTCCACGTGTTTAGTCATTTGGTCATAATGATGAGCTCTCATAATAAAATTATAAGTTTTCGCATGACTGGCGTTGCTAATTTTAAAGATTACAGGTAACGGTACATGGATATGGAATATAACGTCGCCTTACAACTGTATAACTCCCAAACATATTCACGAGTAACCTATTCATGGTCATGACAACATCATTGCGTTCAACCATAATTTAGGACGTACAACAACCTGGCCCCCTATACTGTCATTAATCTAATATTAGCAATATACATAATCTTCCTAATACCTGTGTAGCCTCATCCACAATACACACGTCGAACGTGGTGCGCGAGAGCATAGCATGCGCTGCCCCTAAACAGGTCACGCCTACCACTTCCTGTGTTAAATAATAAACATTTTAAACTAAAAGATTAAAATTTATACATATTAGAAGATTAATAATTGAGTAGACTCTTAATTTTAATTTTTTAAATTATAAATAAACATAGTTTAAAAATAGTGACGTCCACTGTAAAGCTGTTGAAATCAACATATCAATTAGATATGACGATAATCAGTCAAGATATCGTTATCTTAACCTTCACCGAGGCATTGTTATATCACACAGAAAGTATCTCATGAAATACCCTCATTACATATGGAAGACGTACTCACGCAAGTACATTATGTAACTAACTTAAAATTTTGCAGATGTAAACAATAAATTGTAAGTAAAAATTACAGATATAAGGCACTTTAACGCTTAGTTATCTACGCTAATATTATAAAGAGGATTGATTTTTTATTTAAATTTTTAATTGTATAAAACAATAAAGCTAAAACACTACATTAGCTATATTATCAACTAGCAACATGTCCTGCATTTTATTATCAAAAACAAAAAAAAACATACATGTGCAGCCGTAGCGAATCACTAGTGTTTGATATTATTTAAGGCAAATATTTCTTATAACATTAACACACAGTCGAATCATAAATTAATGTTCAAACAATACTGAATAACAAATATATTTTGAAAAAATATTTTCAGAACATTTATAGCCAGTGTCACTTCGGAATAATAAAGACTTTCTAACGATACATTCAAATCTATTCAACCATTTATAAGTTATGTTGACATACATTGTGAACAAAATCTTTATACAGATTTTTTGGATAGTTGGGTAAACATTATTTTAACTTTTCTCTCAGAAAAACAAGATACCAGACGCACCAAGTCCTACACAGGGTAGATAGATTAATTACAATTATATATTATTTAACTGACAACTTTCATCAAATTGTCTATTATAAAGTTTCAACTAAATATTTTTCAATTAGCAACTTACCATAGAATTGTACAATTCCTCTAGTTGTTTCGGAGTGCGACAGTGCGCGGCGAGGCGGTGTTCGCAGCGCGAGACTTGCTGCGCCGCCACTCGCGCCTCCGGGCCCAGCCTCATCACTTTCATTTGTTCTGGCAACCTATTTTTTAAAGGACTTATGTTGGAATAATGTTTAAATTGACGGTCCATTTTTAATGGAAAATACTCTCAATTTCTACCGGTCTATAACAAATGGGTATTCGTATCTTGTAATTGTTTGTATCTATAATAAGTTTACTATTTAATCTTTTGCAGGAAACAATAAACAGTACCGTAATATATAACAGTAATATATATATATATATATATATATATATATATATATATATATATATATATATATATATATATTAATTTTCATATTTTAATAAGATTGCTTTTATGTAAAAAAAATTTCATTAATGTATCATGCAAGATTTTGTGTAAAGGCACATACGAACCTGTTTAAAACTGTATCAACAGCAGAATGTGTATGCGCAGTGACTAGAACGCGCTGCTTTAATGCCACCAACATTTGTATCAGAACGCTTATTGTTTGAGTCTTACCTAAAAAGTATAAGGAATAATTTAAAAAATATTTAAATTTATAATCCGTAATACTGTGACAACCATTTACAAGAATATTGGAAGTTATTGTTCCAGTAAGGCGAATGGGAAAATGTCACATTTTATATTTATTGTTTTTTTTTTTAATGGATGATAATGGAATGGTAACACCGTCTACGCTAACGGTATATGCTGGCGGGGCACCAGTGAAGGATGATAGGTGAGAATGAAAAAAAGGCAGGTCAGTTCACACATCATGACAAACACACTTGGAATTCATCACAATGGTTTCCAGGGGGGACCACGGGGAGGTCGACCTGGGTGGGTATATTGCTAGCAAATGGAGCTCTTAGTCACCATTACTAACAATCCCTTCCCCCCTTTAGTATATGTTTGTAGTGTGTATTAAAATAAAATGAATACGCATTTTATATAAAATTAATTTCTACTATGAAAATAGTGTTGCTCATGTCTATATCATTAATATATATATATGAATTAAATAGATAAAGACTTTGAATCATTTAAGACACACGTAAATTAGCAACTGAATTCATACAATCAAATTAATTATATAATTATGATAAATAAAACAAAATTAGCAATTAAATCTAAAATCAGTCTAGAAAGACTGACTTTAATCAGTATTTAATAATTAAAATAAGTACGACATCGTTTACCAGTTCCAGGTAATCCCTGAAGTAGTGCATAATCCGTGGCTGCAAGTGCTTTGAGCACGGCCCGTTGTTGCTGTATGTTGAGTGAGCGCATCAGTTTAGTGCCCAGCCGGCCTACCTCACGTGGCAACTTCTTTTCGAACTGTGGCTCCTCTTTGTCTATTATTAACCTATAAATAATGAAAATATTACCAATAATGCACAGTTGAATATATGACAAAAGGGACCGTATCTAAGATAAAATCGAATATGCACAACTCGTTAGAATACTCAGCTATACAGTCTGATTCTAACTTTAGAAAGTTTTCTAGCTTAAAAGCTAGCAGCTTTATAGTATCAGCAATTTGTTTGGTAACTTACAATAATGGCAAAATAGTCTTTGAATGAATGAATGAGTATACTTTATTTGCATTATACAATATAGGAAATAAACAAGACAATTTACAAACATAACGATACGATTGTATAAGTACAGTAAGGCGGTCTTATTGCTGAGAGCAATCTTTTCAAGACAACCTTAAGGTAATGGACTAATTGTTGTACAAGTAGGTATAATAGTGCTTTATAATTAAAAAAAAGCATCTTTTGCAAATTAAAAATATATAAAAATTATATACATATATACATACATATACACATACATATACACATACAAATATATACATACACATACACACGCATACATATACATACACATACATATATACATACACACATACATATACCTATCAATCAAACAAAATTATATAATCCCATGCATATATGTCAAATATGTACCCAATGCTAAGATACATATTAATAATTATAGGCACAAGGAAAACAAACTATCATAAAATAAATAATTATATAAATACATAAATAAAGAATGCCAATTTTTTAAATGAAGAAAAATCAGATAGAGAAAAGATAATCTTTCACTTGTCGTTTGAAAGAATCAATGGATTTTGTACTTCTAATAACAACAGGCAATGAATTCCATAACCTAATGCTAGAAACAGTGAAGGAATTGTGATAAAATTTAGTGGAATGAGCAGGTGTCATAAGGGAAAGGTTTTCGGAAGAACGTAATGTTAAAGTATGGGTAGAGGAGATGAATTTAAAACGTTCTTTAAGATAGGCAGGTGCACCAGGGTTAAAAAGAATATTATGTAACAAAGAGAGGGTATGTAAATCTCTTCGCCGGCGTATGGGAAGCCACTTAAGCTGAGAGCGATAGTGCGATACATGATCAAATTTGCGCAGACCAAAAACAAATCGTATGCAGAGGTTTTGAAGTCGTTCTAATTTATTTAGCATATCAATATTTAGATCTGGATAAGCGACATCTGCATAGTCAAGGATAGGGAGTAGGAGGGATTGAGCTAGGGAAATTTTAGTGGCTGTAGGTAGAAAGTTTCTAAGTCTTCGAAGCGACGCAGAAGCAGCGAACATCTTCCTGCTAACCTCGGTCACTTGGTACCTCCAAGATAGAGTGGAATCAAAGTAAATACCAAGATTCTTGACAGATTCACTAAAAGGGACACAAACACCATTACACTCCACTGAAGGTAATTTAGATATATCTAACTTGGATATGTAAGCGGGGCTACCAATAATAATCGTTTGCGTCAAAATAGTCTTTAATACCATACGATATGGTACTTACTATGTACGGTACCGAATTTTCTTTTTTTACTTTATTTAAATAAAACTATTTAATTTAGGTGGAAATTAGATTCGCTAATGCAAATAATAAAATAATAAGCATTTTTGAACAGTCATTTGTTTATGAATCGACCGCCCATTTATTTAAATCTACATTTTTATAATCTTCTTATATTAAAAACTGCAGTATTGCAAGACTTGTACGTACTCATATAGATTACCTACAAAGCTGACAAAGCACTTACTTTCTTAATCTTTGCGCGCGATCGTCATTATCCATTAATACTCCTAAATTGCTAAGATTGTTCACCACACTTGCGTATGATTCGTAAGTATCTATATGAAATAGTGTTGTTTTATTTAGACGTCGACTTAAGTCCCTGAAATAATTGATAAAATAATTATGCAATTTTCAGAAGGCATTCAAGTACTAGATTTTCCATGAACACAATTCTAGTTTTCTTAAAACACAATTTTTTAAATATATGTATAGGTTTAAGGTACCTTTCTAAAAGGATTTGCATTTCCGTCTCATTTGAAATTGTAACAGCGCCAGCGGCTATCCATGGCCGATTTTCAATGCTCACTATTGAGAAATCACCTTCTTGTGGTCCTTTTACATGCTTTTCTTCTTTATTTTCACCTGTAATAACTAATTTCTGTTTACTTTCTCATCCATACAACGCAATAAAATACCTAGCGTTACTTAGCTGCGGCCTTCTGTAAAGCGGAAACTTCGGCAGTTGAATAACTACAATTTATGAACAAGAAAATTGTCTGTTTCATAACTTTTTATAAATCATAATTAAATGTACAAGGACGAACGTTTTACCTTTTATTATAATGTTTCTTTCGAAGATATGTAAAAATCTGTCTTCAAATGCTTTTACAGATTTTAATTGTAAATTTGGTGCACATGTTCCCCGTTTCGCTCTGTAATTAAAGTGCTTTATTATTGTTAGCAACAAAATATATGCTTACGAATATAATTATTAATTGAAACTCAACGTGACAAGTACCCAATCTATGGTAGGTTGAGTACCTGTAATAATCACTCGGATTTAAAGACAATAAAAATACATTTTTAAATACTTGTTAACATTTGCAATTTTATTTTAAACTAGCTATTTTCTGCGACTTTTTCTGAATGAATCAGTACATAAAGTATCCTAAGTGCTAAGTTATAAATTAACCTACTCATGTTCTAAATTTCCTTCAAACTCGTGCAGTAGTTTTTGCGGAATGAATAACAAACATCTATTCATTTAGATGCAAAATTGATAGCAATTTTTACAAACTTTTGCATTTATAATATTACTAGGTGACTCAGCAAACGTTGTTTTACCATATACATTATTTCGACAACTATACATGAAAATTTATCGTACTACAATTATTATATTCGATCGCCATCTTGCAACCCTATTGCGGATTATAAAAATCGCGATTAAAAAACAGGAGTTGATTGTAAAAGCGTGAAAATTTGAAATTGAAGGTATTTTTCAATGAGTTAAGACTCTCAATACTACCAAAATGGAATGTGTGGTAAGACTTACCGATTTTCTGGGCTGTCCGTCCAAAGCGTATGTAGAGGAGAAGTGGTCATTTGTAATTTTTCCTCCATTTTGAGTAAAGCCGTCCAATGGAGAAAGTATTTTATGTGTTCCGCCGTCAGATGCCCTAGAGCCTGTTCGTGCAGTTTGGATAGAGGATGTTTGTCTGATACCGACGGTCCGTTGGTGTGCCTTAAACAATTATGAATTTTACATAAATACTAAATATAATGTATAAACATCTATGCGTCAAAACGAATTAGGACTTACCAGATTATCTGCAACTTCCTCTGCATAAAATTAATATGTAATTATATATAAATTCCAAATATTTTAATACTATAAAACATTTAATTACGATTGTTTTGAACTAAGCTAACTAAGTACCATAAATCAGTAAAAATAGCCAATATTCATCTAGAACCACTATAGCCCACAAACAAGAAAAAAGTCTATTATATTTTTATGTCTATTATATTTAAAGAAATAGTACAAATAATATTTATTACTTATTTTGAACATCTAGTAATATCAAAATTTACTAACCACAAGTGTAATGAACAGATGGTGAGATATGGACACTTGCTACAGGCTCCCTCATGATGGATGGGATCTGGCAACTTCTGTTGCAGAAGGAGTGATGCCTCTTCTATATCCGTTAACTGCTCTGTAACAGTACATTGTTCACCAAGCTGCCTGATAATTTAGTTGCCACCCTATCACTACGTGAATTACAAATACAAATTAAAAAGCAAGCAGCAATGTATTATTATTATTAATAATGCCAAAATTCCTGTTAATCGTAAAATATGTCTCAATTAACCCACTACCCAATATACCACGCCACAAACCATAACATACGAAATTCAACTTTATGGACATGGGTGAAAGGGATTATTATTAGCGAGGATCTAACAATCCTATTGCTAGCAATATAGAGTATATTACTAGCAATAAGGCAATTTTTTTAATGGATGAAGATTTTTATGGATGACAATGGAATAGTAACCCTGCCTGCGCTGACAGATTACACTAACGGGGGACCAATGAGAGATGACAGATGCAAATGAAAGCATATCAGTTAGCTTTAATTTTACTTGAAGAAGAACTAACCACGTTTCCACGATTAACTGCGTGGAGGTCAATAAGTTGACCTGACAGGATATACAGCTAGTAATGGGACTATAAGACTCCATTACTAACAACCCCTTTCCCCCCTAAACCTGACGTGATGGGAATCTAATAGCCCTAGCAATTGGGCGATTCTCTCTGGAAACCATCTTGATTGTTTGTTTATGAATTCATCACTATAGGCCAACTATCCTGCTTCATCCTCACCTATCATCTATCAATGGTGCCTCGCCATCAGTGGGAGTACGGTTTATGATTTAAGCAAGGTTATGATTCTATTATTATCCATTTTAAAAATAAAGTTATGAACTAAGACATCTTTTTGCAATGTGCTTCCAAATGTCAACAAGTATAATGTATACTTAGTACAATTTGTTTGTTTTAAATAAAAGTATTAAAGAATAGGTCAGTGAAACATACCAGGATCTACATCATGGGGAGAAGCAGCGAGGTTTTCCACAAGTTGGTTTCGCAACATCACCAAATCACGACGTTCCGGGTATCCGCAACTCACTTCACGGAGCTCTACCCGATCCCTATGATTATCAGGATTATATCAGGAATTCACGAATACAATTTCTATTTGTATTTTTTGAATTTGATGGAATCGTTTAAATTTAAAAATATATACAAAGTGAAATGGAAATAATTAAGGTAGTATTTTATGAATTTCCCTTAAAGTAATATAGATAAAAACGAAAAAATTAGAACCTCCATAATAAAAGGCTCAAAACATACTACAAATATATTTTAAACAGTTTTTTTTTTTTGTATGGTAAAAGTAGAACATAAGCAAGGATCTTCTCTTCTGTTTTTATTTTTTGAGGATTCCGTATTCTGCGATATGAATGTATAAGTGTTTCGAACATTATAAAATATGAAAACATAATATTAATGGATGTGTGAATACATAATGTACAAACATAACGGTGAATTACTTGAGATACAGCAGTAGTCCCCTCTGCAATGCTCGCGTGGGATCTTCGCGCTGCTGCAAGCTCAACATCATACCGTACAACACCAACTGGCCGCGGTGTTCCGCTGACACAGACGCCTTTCCACTCTTTAGCTCAAGGGGCACTATTTCCCGTTTTGCACCTACATATATTTTAAATTACATTAAAAATTCATCAAATATGGTCGACGGACAAAAGTCATCTGCAGTACCGCTCTGATCATTGTTGAATAATATAATTATTATTCAATAATGTATATATGTACAACATAATATTGAATAATTATTATACCACAATATACAGACATACCTTTTCGATCATGTATTGTAACTTGCAATGTAGCATCTATTTTCCCCTTCAAACCTAACTCTGGGCAGCACAAATTCTCTTCTATATCCAGCACCTTATCAATGTGACCATTCCACTTGTCTTTTTGTAAATGCTGAAAATTAAATCCCGTGAGGAAAAATTCAAGTGTCTCCGGAAACAATGTGTATGCATGAAACTAGTTATGAATGTGAATGAAGTAAGGGACCTTTGGCACTAGGTTGTTTACCGACCCAGCACAGAACATGGCATAAAGATTGATAGATATAAACCACATACATCTCTTTTATAATAAAAACTTCTTTCCTTTTTATTTAATTAGTATATTTGAGAAATAATTCTTGTAAGAAGCAATTTACAGTAGTACCCTGCACTTTGGTTATGTTTTGTTAAGAGAGGGACTGGCTGAAAACCAGCACTGTGCAGCTGTTCACATTGCGCTAGGACACTCACAGCATCAGCTGAGCCGGTTCCTTTTGCCTAGTATGGGACACTTTTTGTATATGTTATTTATATTTTATATTGTAATTGTATGTTTACTGGCAATAAATGTTTCTATTCTATTCTTTTTGCTACATTTACATTAGAACTAAAAGCGAAATAAAAATTATAATACACTTTAAAACTAACAATTCCTCATCAAACAATCATTCAATACAATTTACAAAGTGCTACATACTTTAGGGGGCAGCAGCACTGTATCCTAGTGTATTGACAGTTGACATAAGTATTATATTGTAAGTAGTATATTGACTATTGATTGTAAAGGCTAGCAGGGCATGTCCCTCCAAATTTTTATTTCAATGTGTGTGACTATATACAGATGTGGTGCTCTGTATGTGTTTGTGAGGAAACATCTACAGCAGTATAGCCAGAGGAATATTATATTCTTTGGTTGAAACCTTATAAATAATTTTAATTCACACATTTGGATTTTGCAGGAGCATACTGTGGTATCGTGGACAATCTATACTTATGGAGACAGTTTTATTAATTATACATATTTATATAATATCTGCCAATATAATTGTTATTTACAATATATATATAGATATATATCAAGTATACAGGTTCTATATCTTACAAGTACACATTTATGGGAATGAATTTTTGAAAAATGATAGGACTTTAATGATACCTGTGGTGTAGAAAAAACCGAGTTCCTTCCAACATATGTCTGCATAAACTCGGCCAATGGAGTTAGGTATATTTGCATATTAGAAAGAGCCTCTTCCTCACTCAAACAAGCATCATAGAGCCTTTGTATGGATTCCTTTATAATCCTGCTGGCTTGTAATTGCAGTATTTTGACATCAGTTATTTGTTGCGTAAATGCAGTTTGAACCAGCTCATGTATTAATATACCAATCGTCATCTGAAATAAACATAAAAAATTACCATTCTGATTTTTTTCTATCTATAACCTTTCTACTTCGTACGAAATTCACTAGAAATTGCCCCTTCCTCTAAGTTCTTGAGGTATTGGGTAACAAGGCAATTGTGGGTAAATAATATAGGGCATGGATTTTTTGTATATTAAATGGCTATCAAAATTGATAAAATCTATCATATAAAAATTAAAATCCTTAAGCTTATAGCTATAACTATGTCATACTGTATCAAAATAAAAAAAAAAGGATTTGGCTCTCTGTTGATGGTAAACACCAATAACGAAACTAATTACATAGATATAAGAATGAATTTAGGATTACCCTTAAATACGATTCAAAACCTAAATTATTTGGATAGGCATAATAAGGTTAGTTTGGTGTGGGTCCCTGGATATATAATAGTAATTAAAGGCAATGAAATGACATTCCGTCTTTTCATTGTTGACGAGAAGGGAATCAGAATAAAAAATGATAGGTTCTGAACCATTTTACACTTGTATCAAGTGTTAACTATACCCTGAAGGAGTAAGCAAAGATAAAACATGCAACACCTGATGTGCAAATGTAATTCATTGGCAAGTATGCATATAAGTCTAGAATAACACAGAATTTATATTATAAGGGTTGACATGCAATGGTTTAACTGATCCCATACGGGAATAAAAACTAAAATAGTATATAGAAACAAGGGAATAGTTATTGTAGTCTATTTATATTTATTTTTAAAAATAATATTTTGAATACTAACAGCAGTGTTCGCAGAATCAATACCCCTCCAACGTTCTTGAAGTATAGCTTTTCGTTTACAGAACACCCCAGCTACAACATTAGTGCTAGATATTAAGTGGTCAGGCCGCAGCACCAGCAATCCAGATGTGTTATTTATATGAAACTCATTTGTTAAGTTTCTTGTAGCTATAATACTGACGATTTCTCCAAGGCACAATGGAGTATCTAACCTGGTGAAATATATGAATACTGTTAATAACTGAAGAATTATTATCTTTCCACCAAATACCCATCATCACCATAATCACATCAGCTGTTATCTGTCAGGGGAAAGGGATTGTTAGTAATGGAGATGAAAAATCCCATTCCAAGCTATATACCCAGCCAGGTCGACCTCCTCACGGTTCTCCTTGGAAACTATCATGATTAATTCCTTGTGAATTCGTCGTGATGGGCTGGCCTGTTTTCATTCTCATCAATCACCCTTCACTGGTGCTCCGCCATTATATCCCATTAGTGCAGGCGGGGTTACCATTCCATTTTCACCCATAAAAAAAAACTGTTATCCATCCACCTGCATCCATAGACTCCCTGCAGTGCATTTGAGATCGTCATTCCATCTAGTGGGGGTAGTTCTACACTGCATTTACCCATATAGGGTTACTACTCAAGAACCTTTTTTCGTCGTTGGTTATCAGTTCAAGTACCCTTATTTAAGATTATTTTCCAAAAGGTTTGACCTCTTAAAAAGACGCAAATGTACCTTTAAACTATATGCTTAGTCAAAAGCTCTGCTCATAACCTGGTGTGAGTACCAGTCAACTCTAGGGTAGGCACACCCATCCCACCGCACTCCATAAATATACCTAGTTATTTCATGCTCAGAAATGTCTACAAACCAATTGGTTTGTAGATGCTAAAAGATTGGCATTAATCCTAAATTAAACTATTGTTATTTTAGTTATATTCAATATTGTTGTAAAAATTGGTCTTTATCAAAGTTTTCTACATACATACTTCAATAGTCCTTAGTATCTAATTCCAATAAATTCATCAAAATCTAACTGAAAGTCTGATGATCACTTACCAACTGCCTTCAATAAAACAAGTAGCTCTTTTATTAGTGGCATCCTTTAGTCTTATCTCCAAACGATCAGGGTGATGTTTCAAACTCACTACCTCACAATGCTGCATTGTACTCAAATCTAATTCATCTGCACAGATCTATTACATAATTAATTTAAAATACATGTAAAAATAAAACATCCATTTAATAAAATAATCAAAGTAAGTTAAGAAACATATATTGTAAGGATAAGAAACTATTCTGGAAGGAAGAGTTGAACAAAAAAAACCTAATACATGTAATAGTTGCAGCAACAAATACTGTTTGAAATTAAATGGTACTCTATAAGGATTACATAACAATCTTGAACAAACCTCATCATTATCGATAATCTTCCATTCATCACCAAATACGTCTTGAATGTCATGGTCATTGAAATTCAATATTCGAACAGTAGATCCACATTTTGAGGGTGACAATTTTTTCGCAGAAACTGTCTCAGTAATGAGTAGTTTTTCAACTCCAGGTGAATATTGAGCTGTAATTTCAAATAAATCATATCAGCATTTAAATCTTTTTTTTTAGATTATTAAGATCTTTCACAAAGCTAGAGCTAATAATTTACCACATAATTAAACAACATATCTAACCCGAAATTAAAAAATATACAGTATCACAATTAATTGACAATAAAAAAAATTTTACTTCTATTTAAAATACAATTAAGAATATCTAAATAAAGGTTAATTATAGTAATAGACATGCCCTAAAACAAACCTGTAGATCCTATAATAGGGCTTTTCCTTGGTGTTCTTGGTTTTATCTTTGGAGATTCAACATCTGTTGTACTAATAAATACTGAGTCTTCATAAGTACTAGCTTTATTCAAAGAGTTTTCATAATTTTTACCATCCTCTGTACATGATTTAGATATAACATTGCTATTACAAATAATGTTATTCTCAAATTTAATGGGAGTAAGAGGGGATCGATCCTGTTTAGCTTTTTCACATAATTTATCTTCAGTTTTACTAGATACCAATGTATTGTCCATTTTCTCATCTGAAGACAATTGCAATTTATTTTCTTTTTTAGGTGAATTTCTAAGCATATCCTTGTGCTTTTCAGGAGATGTTTCTATTTTAAGTTTTTTATTTGTACAACTAGACATAAATATTAAGCCATTGTGCGAGTTTTGTTTATTTGTATTATTAATTAGATAAGGATCATCGGTTATTTTTCCAAGATCTGCTGTCGACTGAAATATAGGTGAAGAAGCTTTTCTTTTAGCCGATTGCACATCCACCTCTCCATTATATTTACAACTTTGTGTTGAATCATCAGAATATTTTTCTAAATGTGAATTGTTTTTAAAATATTGCGTTATAGGTTTTTGTTTCTTTGACTGACTTGCTTTGTTTGGCTGAAAAAGAAATAAATACGAGATATGTAAGGTTAAAATAGGTAGTAGATAGGGAGTAAAATAAACATCAAATACAAACCTTTTTTAAACTTAAAGCCTTCGACATGATTTACAACAAATTTTTAAAATTTTAAACAAAATCTAATCAAATACATTTATTTACTTATATATGTAAATAACAAAGCACTTAAATAATAAAAGGTAAAGTGAAAAAATTCCCGCCATGAGATTATGAATAAATATGTGACATTTGAAGTTTTGAAATAAAATAAACACCTACCCGTCTGCGATTGCCCATCTAAAAAATTATGTGACATTGGTGATTATAATGGTTCTGTCAAAATATGAATTATTTTCTATGTCGATATTTCTTGATGGGTGTATAAATTTATTTTCTAGTTTCGTCAATATATGAGTATTGCTTCTCTTAAATAAAATAAAAAATAAGTTAGGTACCAACCATAGATTAGAGAGGCTATTGTGGAGGTTATCTCTCCCTAATCTATGGAGACAGTCTTGTCATTTTATCTCGTTTGTTTATTATTTAACTTTTAAGGTTATAACTCGTGAACTCATAGAACTGGATAAATATCTACAAATTCATCATTAATAATGTCCAAAAGACCTGAACATTTAGCACCGCCTGAACTGGTAATTTTGAAGATTACAGTATAAAAAATTCAACTTTTAACTTGTTCATTTGGTATAATTATCTTTTTATTTTCAGTTTTATAATGAAGCTGAAGCTAGAAAATACACACAAAAGTAAGTTTTTATTCTTTTTCTGAACTATAATCTAGTCAACAACTACAACCTATAGAGTGTAATAATGAAAAAAAATTAAATCCACTAATAAAATTGTCGTATTAGTGAATATTTTAGCTCAAGAATATTATATTTTTTTTTTTCTATTTTTAGCTCAAGAATATTATATTTTTTTTTTCTATTTTTAGCTCAAGAATAATAGATATCCAAGGGCAAATGACTGAAAGATGTGTTGAATTACTTTTGCTGCCAGAAGATGCTCCTTGTTTACTTTTAGATATTGGTTGTGGGTCAGGTCTGTCAGGAACAGTGCTTGAGGAAAATGGTCACATGTGGATTGGTATGGATATATCACCAGCTATGCTTGGTAATTATTTTACTACTTTTAAATGTTATGCATTAGTTGCTAATCCACAGTTTGTATCAATCAGGATTGAGCCTTTAAGTTAATATGAAATATAGCTATTTGTGTATAATTCTTATATCTCTGTTTATCTGTTTAAGTATAATTGTATTTTAATGACTGAAAAGATTTATATTTATGTATGCAAAATTATATTTATAATGCAACACATCATTTTTATATATGAATTACCTAAAGTAAATGGGAATTGTGTAGAGTTAATAAATAGAAAAACTGTCATTAAAAAAAACTAGGCACTATTTGCTCAAAAACATCTACAATTGATAGATTATTACTGAATACTCTAAACTGAAGTAAATTAATATTTTTTATAACAGTTTATAGTATTTAATATTACATGAGTCTTTTTTAAAAAGGTTTCTGTATTTTATTTATAAACATAATTGTTTCTCTATCAATTCCAGATGTAGCACTAGAACGAGAAACAGAAGGTGATTTAATTCTTGCAGACATGGGTGAAGGGGTGCCATTTAGAGCAGGCTGTTTTGATGGTGCAGTCTCTGTATCCGCTTTACAATGGTTGTTCAATGCAGACAAAAAGTCTCACAAACCTGTTAAGAGACTGTATACATTCTTTAGTACTTTATATGCTGCATTGGTAAGTTGTGCTAAATATTTAATAAATTTAATTAATGTTATACATTTAAATTAGTGTATTAATATTTTATTAACAATTTAGTCTAGGTCTGCCAGAGCTGTATTTCAATTCTATCCAGAGAATGAAAGCCAGATAGAATTACTCACTACACAGGCAATGAAAGCAGGTTTCTATGGAGGTGTAGTCATTGATTATCCTAATTCTGCAAAAGCCAAGAAATTCTTCTTGGTACTTATGACTGGTGGATCAGCACCATTGCCCAAAGCTCTAGGTACCTACTTTGTTTATATAACATTATTATAAATCTTGGTAAGGAATATACAATCATTACTTAATTTTTCTAGGTACAGAAGACATGAACGACAATTTAGAAATAAAATATGCCAGAAGAGAAGCAACAAAAAATGCACGAGGCAAACCACTAAAAAATACAAGGGCTTGGCTTTTAGAGAAAAAGGAGAGAAGACGGAAACAGGGGAAGGAAACTAAACCAGATACCAAATACACAGGCAGGAAAAGAAGTGGACGGTTTTGAATAACAGAAACTATATAATTGTAAATAATTTATTAAGTTTATAAAAAATATACCTAACTCAAATTATTTTTTAACTACATATTTCCACACAGTATCTATACCATGACCAATTGTTTCAATTGGTTTCATATTAGGTAAAGGAAATCTACATGCAATTATTACAGTACCATTACTTGTCTCTTCTAAAACTTTCTTCTCAAAATCTTTCATCATTTGTTCTACTCCAAAAATTACAATGTTTTCATATGGATTTAAATCAAAAGTCCACAAATTGCATCTGTAAAATTTGGTATTATGGTACCGAGTATTAAATAGTGCTACTATTCTAGAGTAATAAACCAGCCAAGGATTTAGTTCTACACCATCAGCTTTAAAACCTAACGTAGCAGCTGTAAATACGATTCTACCGTCGCCAGAACCCACATCTAACAATCTTCCACAACGGCCGGACAAAGCCTTTGTAACTCCAGCTAATTGTTCAGTGGTAGCAGGTACATATGGCAAACAAACTTTCCTCAGTGCCGGTGAAACAAATGGTATACAAATAACACTAACGCCGATTCCTAAACCGCCTGTGACATATATTAGTGTCTTTCCTATTGAAGAAAATTTTACAGGAACTTTGTCTTCTGTGTTTTGCAATAACTGTTCCATAATTCGTAAGTTTATATAATCAATTCAAAATCATTAATTTATGGATCTACTATATATCGGTAGGTAGATTTTAATAATTAAAAAAAAATACATAATTTATTACGGATTATGATAAAAAATAAGTAATTTTATAACATTTTTAATTAAATTATATCGAACGACAAAAAAATTTGACAGCCACAGATTAAAATGGCACCTTACCGTCTACTAGTGATGCGTGACATTACTAATCTGACTACTAATTATTCAAATGTACATACATACATACATATCTGTCACGCCTGTCTCCCATTAGGGTAGGCAGAAACAATGGAACGCCAAATGCTTCGATTCAAACAAACCTCTTTCGCTTCTTCCACATTCATCAATCTTGTCATACACGCTCGTCGGTTACGGGTACTTTTAATTTGGCCCTTCTTCAGCACGTCGCCTATTTGGTCGACATACGTCCGTCTAGAGCGGCCCCTACCGACATCTCCATTCATTCTTGCTCGATAAATCTCTTTCGTAATTCTTCTTTCATCCATCCTCTCCAAATGACCAAACCAACGCAACATTCCTTTTTCGATTTTGGTCACTACATCGACTTTCAGTCCACACTTCTCTCTAATCACACTGTTTCTTACTCTATCTTTTAAAGTAATACCACACATACTTCTCAAAGCTCTCATCTGTACAGCATTTATCTTACTTTCATGCTTCTTTGTTTTAAATTCAAATGTATAAATCTGATTATCTAAATATTTTTTTAATAATAAAGAAATAATGATTTCATTTGATTACTAATTGTATTCATCCGACTATTAATATCATTCATTAGTAGTCGTTGATGTACAAATCGACACGAATATAGCCAAGACGACCCGATCGTTGGTTTTTAATAGAAAAGAGTGTTGCCGATTTAAATTTAATAAAATCGTCGTCAGCTTTTACCAAGATGATAATGTAGCAGTAATGAATACAGAGTGAGGAATGAACTTAGTAGTAAGCAGATTCAGAGAAAGGACTTTGTTACTAATGAATTAATTTATACGATTACAGAAACTAGTATATTACTAATTTAGTAATTTATTTATATAATTAGTAATTACTCATTAATCTAATAACAAAATAATTTGAATTCGTGCGTTGCTACCGTCTATATACGGGTTTTTTTTTTTTTTTTTTTTTTTTTTTTTTTTGTGGCGTTCACCCCGATATTAGGGTATTTTGCCAAGAACAAAACGGGGAAACGATAATAGTAATAAAAATACCTAACACAAACGAATTTAGAAAGGATAAGGATTAGGTCTAGGATATTTATAGGATATGAAAGATATACTTGTACATATGAGAATATACTTATAAATATATAGGAAAAGCAATTGATGCAACTATAAATGTATTCATGTAATATAACTAAATCTTAATATTGTTATCATATATATATGAAGATAGTATTTTATAGATAATAGGATCATTGGAAGAAAGTAGAGTAAGAATAGAAGTTGGGAATGGAACACGGATGGATCGGAGATGATTAAAAAGGGAGGTGTGGTCAAATTTGGAACATGAGAAGAATATATGATTCAAGTCCGCCACTTCAGCACCGCAATTACACGACGAACTTTGTACAATACCAAGCTTGTATAAATGAGAAGGTGTGCATACGTGACCTAGACGCATACGAGTTATAATAGTTGTTGCGGTCTTTCCAAGCTTTAATTTACAAAACCATGGTTTGAAAGGAATATCGGGTTGTATAAGGCGATAAAATCTTCCTTTTATTGTACTTGTTTTTTCCCAATATTCCTTCCAGGCATACCTTAAATATATTTTTGGGAGACAAGCTAGGTCACTACAGTAATTATGATACGGATACATATCACCACAAGTTACAGCCTCTCTTGCAATAAGGTCAGCTTTGTCATTGCCGCTAATACCACTGTGTCCTGGTAACCAGGCAAAAGAAACGGAATAACCTCTCAACATGCAAAGATAAAGACTTTGTCTTATGTCACAAATAATGGGATAAACTGGTTTTGATTTAAACGGATATTTGGCTAGAGCTTGCAAAGAGCTCATAGAGTCAGTGAAAACTATTGCCTTATGTAATTTCATTAAAAGTATATATTCTACAGCTTTTAAAATACCATAACATTCCCCGGTAAAAACTGAAGACTCCGGTGGAAGTTTAATTTTTTGAACGATATTAAATTGTGAATGAAACACACCCACACCTACACAACCGCTATTGTCTGGTTTTGATGCATCAGTAAAGATGTAGTGCCATTCATTCCATTCAATGTCAGTTATAAACATAAATTTGGCATTCAATTCTGAATCATTTTTTAATAACCCAAAATCATATTTAATATTAGGAGATAAAACTAAAGATTGATATGAGCATTTATAAATGGGAAAACAGGACGATGTAAAAGTGGGAGATTCTATGGATTTATATTTTTCATAACTTTGTATTAAACATGGAGGTTTTTTATGTTTCCAATAAGATGAAGACGAAATAAAGATATGTAGTTGAGATAACTTTTGAATAAGCGGATGATCAGATAATTGTAAACAACGAAAAAAGAAGCGATCAGATAGATATTGTCTTCTTAAAACCAAAGGTGGATCACCGACTTCGAGCTGTAAAGCATTGATTGGACTTGATTTCATTGCTCCAGAGATAATCCTCAAGGCCTTTGATTGAATTAAATCCAATTTCTTAAAAGCAAATGAACTTCCTGGAGCTAACAAAAAAGTTCCATAATCAATGACACTCCTTATAAGACCATTATAAGCAAGTTTTAGTGAAACGGGATGTGCTCCCCACCAAACTCCAGCAAGGCACCTAAGAATGTTGAGGTTACGCTCACATTTCGTAGAAATATAATTACAGTGGGACAGACCTGTTAATTTATTATCTAGCACGATACCTAAAAATTTAATTTCAGTCTTTATAGGAATGTATGAGTTATCATAAAGCACCTTAATTTGTTGCGGTGATCTCATTCTTGAAAACAAAACTACACTACTCTTGGTTACAGAAAGATTAAGACCATTTGCATCTAACCACGTTTTTAACAAATCTAATGAATCAGATAATTTGGCAGAAGCAGATTCTATGGACTTCGCAATAAAATATAATAAAAGATCATCAGCATATTGTAAAATTTTGACGGATTTATCAAGGAATAATTCTAGATCGTATGTGTATATGTTAAATAAGATTGGACTGAGAACAGATCCTTGTGGAAGGCCTTTCCATACTGTTCTAGATAATTTGGTATCTTCATCTAAATTCATATATATTGTTCTTTCTGATAAAATATTAATAATGAAATTAGAAAGCATTACCGGTACATTTAGAGCTTGTAATTTAGTTTTTAAAATAGAAATTATTACATTATCATAGGCAGAATTTATATCTAAAAAGGCTGAGAGGATTGACAAATTTTGTGAGAAAGCTATATGAATATCTGAAATAAGAATGCTCACATTATCTAAGGTGCTCTTACCTTTCCTAAAACCAAACTGGTTCAGGGATAGTAAGTTATTACTTTCTAAAAACCATTCTAGACGGTTTTTCACTAAATGTTCAGCTAGCTTTAGTAAGACAGAGGAAAGTGCAACAGGACGGTATGAAGATGGTTCAGAAGGTGGTTTATGAGGCTTTAGAAATGGTATAATAATCTGAGACTTCCATGAAGTAGGTATATTTCCCGAAATAATTACGGAATTAATTATATTTAAAAAGTAAATTAATGTCGCATCGCTAGCATTTTTAAAAAAGGAATACGGTATACCGTCTTCTTCCGGTGCAGAGTCTTTAATACAAGCTAGAACACCTTTAAGTTCTACAAGAGTAAAAGGAGACTCAAGTTCGGATAATTCGTCAGAGACGGATAGAGAAATATTGTAAAGGCATTCCGGCACATAACTAGGAGCAAGGCGATCTAAAAATTTATTCGCTAAAGTTAAATCGAGTGCAGAACGTGATGTATGATCACTAAAGGCAGATCTGAATCTTTTAATATTATTCCAAACGACTGATGAATTAACTTCTGGACAGATAGAAGAACAAAATCTTCTCCAACCTTCCAATTTCTTTTTTTTCAGTAGTTTTCGAGTAGAACGTGAAACTGCGGTGTAAATTTCAAAATTTTCTGATGTCATGTAATTATTATAATTTTTTTCAGCCTCTTTACGATTTTTAATTGCTTCCGTACAATCTTTGTCCCACCAAGGTGGGGAGGGTATTTTCCCTGAAGCACTATTTTTAACAGGAAATAATAAATCAGCAACCTCCTTCATATTAATTATCAAGTCATTACAACATTGATGTTCATTTCCATGATAAACAATAGGTAACTCCGATATTTTATTATCTAAATATTGTTTGTAAATATTCCAGTCTACATTTGATAAATTATATTTAAGTCGAGGACCACTCTTTCGACTTGAGGGAATGGAAATTGGAAAAGAAAGAATGAGGGGAAAGTGATCGCTTCCGAAGGTAGAGGAATGAGGATACCACGACAGTGAAGAAGCTAAATCAGAAGAGCATATTGAAATATCAGGAGCACTAAACCCTTCATTCGGTGCAGTTCTACGTGTCGGTACATCTGAGTTAATAATACATAAGTTGTAAGTGTCAATTATCGTCAGGAGTTTTCCACCATAAAAATTAGAAGTAGAACTGCCCCACGATTGGTGCTGAGCATTAAAATCGCCCATTACGAGAAAAGGTTTAGGTAAAATTGAAAATAATTGTTCTAGTTGTGAATATATTTGGCATGTAGGATCAGGAATATATAAAGTAACAAAACAGATACCATTTATAATTATAGCAGCTGCATTAATGCCGCTATATACAGGAAGCGAAAAAGAAGAAAAAAGAAGGGAGTTTTTGACCAATATGGCAACACCGCCATATCCGTCAGCTCTATCATCACGGAGACTTGTAAAGCCTGAAATCTTAAAAGGATATCCTGGCTTTAACCAAGTCTCTTGTAGAGCTATTATAAAAGGATTATATTTATTAATCAAATAAAATAAGTCTGATTTCTTATTTGTTATGCTACGACAGTTCCACTGAATTATTTGGACTTTGTAATCCATTGTGAGAAGTTAATAATTGAGAAAATACATTGTAAATGGCATCGTTGGACGGTGATAAAGTTGTTTGTATCATTTTTGATTGCGATAACACTTTAATAAGCATGAGAATAATATCAATGATGGATTGATTATTGTCAATATTATTTGATGATAATGCACAACCATTAGAGGGAGCAGGAATATTATATTCCTTAACTATGGCTTCATGGGCAGAACGATCATATCCTTGTTGTATTTTTTGAGGAGAGCGTGGTTTAAGTGTAACTGTTTTTTTATATGATGATTGTATATGTGGTAATGATGATTTCTCTTTAAGGAAAGAAGATTGAAAATGAGATTTATTGGAAGGAGATGATGATGTTAATACATCTGAATATAGTTTAGAAGTTGGAGGATGAAATTTTGATGCTTCAGCATAAGAAACACAACTATGGGCCATTGTTTCTTTAATGGCTTTCTGACGTGCATATTCAGGACATTTTTTACTAATTGCTGAATGAGAACTATTACACAAGATACAAGAAACATTTTCCTCATCTACTTCACATTTATCACCTGTATGATTTTGCCTGCATTTATAACACCGAGGATTTGAACGACACTGCATCTTGACATGTCCGAACCTACAGCAGTTATAGCATTGGATAGTAGGGTAAATGTACAAATCTACAGTTAATGATGTGTAAAACATAAATACTCTTTTTGGCAATATTTGTCCATCAAAAGTAATAACAATGGTTTCAGTATTAATAAAACTTGGTTGTCCTTCATTAATTGTCTTTTTCTTTATTCTTCTGGTTTTTAGAATTTTCCCACAACCTATCGGTACTGATATATTTTGGATTACTTCCTCTTCTGTCCAATCTTTAGGAATACCCCTCACAATTCCCATACGGGTTACATGGAAAGAAGGTATAAATGCCTTAAAATTATGTGTTTCTAAGTGACTATTATTTAAAAATGCATTTGCATTTTCAAAATTTGAGAAAGAAAGCGATAAACGGTTTCTTCCTATTCTTTTGAGGCTACCATTCACTATATTATTTATCTTATTAGTGTGTAAAAAGCGACCAAATGCAATAGGATGTAATGTAGTGTTATCATTAGGATGTGTTTCATTTTTTTGTACATGAACGACATAAGGTGCTATATCCTCGGCATTGTACAAAGTTCTGCTTAAAGTACTGGGTGGAGAAGCAGGTTTAACAGACTCGGTATTGTTTACAACTGGTATTGATACTTGAGTTTGATTCTCATCTTCAATACATTGACAATCACTATCTTTAATTTTAGATTCAAGACCCTTGGTGTGCCTCCTTCGTTTTTTATTGCAATGTTTGCAAATGCGACGTTCACCACGTACTCGCTTACGTTTAGAACTTGCAACGCTAGAACCATCTGTGTCCATACTAGATTCACCCAATATATCAAAACTATTATTGAATGGAATAGTTATATTTGCAGACACCTGGGGGGTTGTCCCCCCAGGGTCTATAGGTGGATCCATAATGTTAATATAGGTAATTTACTTACCAATATTTACAGCAACAAACACTATTACTACAAAATATACAATTAAATATACAATCTAATACACAATATATAAAAAAGACTAATCCTTATATAAATAAAAATAAAATTAATTTAAAGAAGATCAAAAAACACTCCCGCTTTTTTAAACGTTTCCCGCGCTTTTTCTATATACGGGTTTTAAAGGGAATCTGTGCCGGGGTTGCTAGTTGCGATTTTTTATTTTGACCTAAATGCCAACTTCGAAATTGGATCGATTTACACCACGTTTAGCCACGAATCGATTATGTTATTTTATATTTAAATTATTCGAACTTGCTCTGTGTTTTATTACAATCAAATCTAATCTGTGGCTTTAAGTTTTGCCAAGTTCTGCGAAACGAAAAGGTTTTAGGTTTTGCTTTTTAATTCTTCTAGTTTATCCTTTACAATGACAGCCTTTGAGGAATTCGGTGTGCTACCCGAGTTGGGGAAAGCTATTGAAGAAATGGATTGGAATTTGCCGACTGACGTTCAAGCCGAAGCTATCCCACTCATTTTAGGTGGCGGAGATGTTCTTATGGCAGCTGAAACCGGCAGCGGAAAGACTGGTGCTTTCTGTTTACCGATATTACAGATCGTTTGGGAGACATTGAAGGATATACAGGAAGGGAAGACTGGTAGAGTAATAGCGCAAACTTCTTCTGAATGGACTATGTCATTTTTTGACCGGACTGATGCTTTGGCAGTCACCCCTGATGGGACAAGGTGCCAATCTCGTGACCAGCAGGGTTGGCACGGGTGTAGAGCTACGAAAGGTGTACATACAAAAGGAAGTTATTATTATGAAGCTACTGTTACTGATGAAGGATTGTGTCGAGTCGGCTGGTCCACACAAGCAGTATGGTTTACCTTTTTTTTTATTAGAGACTATAATATATTCTTTTAATATAATAATTTATTAAGCAATATTTTCTCGCTTGTTGGATTTACAGAATTATACATTCTGTATTTTTATACATTATACAGAATGTATAATATGTACCTATTATAAGTCTGCTCAATAATATCCTGTGTAAATGACACATAAATATATTATTTTTATTATTAAATAAAAATAATATATTTATGAATGAAGATAATAAGTTGATAATATTGATATAGTGATGTCTACTGAACATATTCCTCTAGAAGTTTTACTTTATAAAGACTACAAAATAATTTTAGAACTTATTAATGAAAAAATGTAAAGATTATCTTTATTGTGGTCATAGTTTGATTCCTTCAAGCCTTAGCTTAGTAAAGGATATTATATAAAACAAACTTGATAAATGTTTGTGTTTTAGGCAAGACTAGATCTTGGCACTGATAGGTTGGGCTTTGGTTTTGGTGGCACTGGCAAGAAGTCCAATGCAAAACAGTTTGATGACTATGGCTCTGCTTATGGCAAGAATGATGTGATTGGTATGTACTTTCTGCTATATTTCTAGTCTTAAACACTTATTTAAGTGTTTTATGACAAAAACATGTCTTTCATTTTTTTATGTCTATATAGAAGAAAGTTTGTATTATTAAAATTAAAAGTGTATAAATTAATACATTTTGATATAATAATGGTTAAATTTTTTTATTAATGGATAATAATGGAACTGTAATCCCGCCTGCACTATCAGTATACAATAGCAGGGCACCAGTGAGGGATGAATGGTGAGAATGAAAAGTCAGGTCAGTTAGCCTATCATGACAAATTCAACAATAAATTAGTCACAATGGTTTCCAGGGGAAACCGCATGGAGGTTGACCTGATGATTGATAGCAATGGGAACTAAAACCTACATTACTAACAATCCCTTGCTCCATAATGGTTAGATTTCAAATAAATATTATAACAACAACTATACAATATTTAATCACTTAGCCAAAGTTTGATACAGGGTTTATGGGACAGGTTGGCAAAAATTGAAACAGTGAATTCAGACTATTATTCTGAGTTGAAAACCAGTCGAAACTATCCAAAAAATCAAACCTTTTTCTTGTTTTTTTTTTTTTATTTTCATTTAAAATAATGTAATTTATTATTTTATGTCATAATATAAAGAAATAATAATATACCGCGACGCATGTAATAAGTGTGATAAGGTCAACACAGCGAGCAAAAACTACCTACAGAGAAGTGTCACTGACCATTCAATATCTATGTATCCAGCGTCATCTGGATAGTAAAATTTTAAATAGATTGATATGATGTCAAATCTAAGAATCCGTAATTATATGGCTGTAGTGCATTTCCAGTGGGAAAATAATCTGCCATCTGATCCCAACCATTCATCTGAATTAGCTGTTTGTTTTGGCCAACCTATCCTTTCCACCCTTTATAGGCAATCTTTTAAATGAATTGTAGGAACACCATTTATGTTTTAATCATAAATAGAAATTCAAATATAACCATTACCTCATAATTTTCAGGTTGTCTATTAAATTTGAATCAAGGTGAAATCAGATACACTAAGAATGGAGAAGATCTAGGAGTAGCATTCAAACTTGATCAATCACGAAAATCAGACTGTTACTTCCCTGCAGTTGTACTCAAAAATGCTGAGATGAGTTTTAATTTTGGTGCTATGCCTTTTAAAGTATGTTTTATTTTTGTTGTAATCATTGAATATTATTAATTAATCTTTAAAAATATTACAATTAGTCTAAAGTAATGTTATGTAAACAAAATACTAGCACTGTTGCAGTAACATAAACTGTACTCAGGACCAATTGACTCTTATTTTCAGGGCCTTTCTCTTTATAATTTTTTGTAGTATTATCTACAATGTTATATTATTATATAACAGATATGTATGTATGTATATTATTAACAGCAATATTTTTCTTAAATAACAATTTTTGCTATTTGTAGTTTTCACCACCAAAGGATTATGTGGCAGTCAATCAAGCACCCAAAGAATTTGTGAAGAACAATGTAGTGTCAGCTACTGCTATTGCAGAGAGCAAACCTGTTAATAATGCACCACAAGCCATTATAATTGAGGTAACTATTTAATTTTTTAACATTGAATTTTATTACAAGAATTACAAAGCATGAAGATAAAATTACAGTCAAATGATGTTATTTTCTATATTGAGTTATGTTGCTATTGTTTTGTTAGGAATAGGTTTAGGATCAATATACACATTTATCAAGAAGCTCTGTATATAACTATAAATTAGAAAGAATTATTCTATATTGCCTATAATTATAGATTTGAATTATTTTTGTAGTAAAACTATGTATATTCATTGGACTAGAAATATTTTTAAATATTTAATATTATTTTTCATCATATCTGTCAGATTTACGTTTAAGGTTACATTAATTATTTAATGTATCCAGGATGAAAACAGAAAGAGTACCACTCCTATATAAATAGTTACAATAATGCTATTTATTTCAGCCATCTCGTGAATTAGCAGAACAAACATGCACACAAATAACAAAATTTAGGAAATACTTAGAGAACCCTAGAGTACGAGAACTTCTTGTAGTGGGTGGGATTAATGTCAAAGACCAAATCAACCAACTTAATGCAGGAGTGGACATCGTAGTGGGGACACCAGGCCGTCTTGAAGATCTTATCCAAGGAGGTACTATAAAATTTTGCATATTTACTTAAGTATTTATAGATTTCTTTTTGCATGTTCAACCCTTATCCTGTATTGATTTAGGGCTATAAGGAGTGCTTGGCACTAGAACAAGAAAATCAGAGATTTTTGCAATCAGGTGAATATGGGCTTGTGAAATCTTTTTTCATTATGGATTTTGTTTTAAAAAATTGTTTAACATGATATACAAATATTTTCTAATAGAATAGACACATACTTATCATACTAAGAAAGAGTTGACTCTCACACTATACCATTTAGTCACATAGTAATGCAATTAGGTAAAAAATAGATAAAAGGGTTCATTGTCAATATTCAGCTAATTAATAAATAAGTTATAATTTATTTATTAATTATTATAAATAATTAATAATAAGACAAAGGAAATGCTTAATGGATATTTTGCATTCCACCACAATTTAGAAAACACTGTAATTTCTCTCTCATAGTTTGAAATGGTTGCAAATAAATTTTATTTTACTTTGTTAAGTGCAATAACAATCTCGGCCAGATGACAAGCTAAGGAAATGGGAAATTTATTAATAAATCATATTTTTCAGGTTATTTAGCATTGACACACTGTCGATTTTTTGTACTGGATGAAGCTGACGGCCTGCTAAAAGCGGGCTACGGCGAGCTGATTGAACGACTCCACCGCCAAATTCCAAAGATAACGTCCGACGGCCGCCGACTACAGATGGTAGTCTGTTCCGCGACTCTTCACGCCTTTGAAGTGAAAAAAATGGCGGTATGTTATCTTACATATTTTTTGGAGAGTTGTGAAAATTTTATGTTTGGCCTCAATCAATAATAGTCATTAGATAAGCCTAATAATGCCTCATGACCAAACAAAAAATGTCTATAAATTTTATGATTTCAATTTATAATTAAGTCTTTAATGCAAATAATAAAATGCGGCTTTAATAAACTTAATAATTATTTTATTACTTACTATGTCGAGGAGTTTTTTTTTTTTTTGTTAGACAAAAAATGGACTTCAATCGTGACAAATGTGTGGGATTTTGATTAAATTTCTATGGGACCAATTTGTAAGTATATCCTTTCATATGAAAAAGAATTTTCCAAATTGGTTTAGAACTGATGGAGTTATGAGGAAGCAAACAAAAAAATACAACCAAATCTTCTTTTTAAGTGTATTGAAAGTACTACTAGTATTTTGTATTCTTTCATTGATTGCAAATTGTATTGATTTTATAGGAGAAACTAATGCATTTCCCCACGTGGGTGGATCTGAAGGGCGAAGATGCTGTTCCTGAGACAGTACATCATGTCGTCGCGTTGATCGATCCCCAGAAGGATCGCCTTTGGGAGACATTGCGAAAGTAATTTTTTCTATTAAAATTGTTACTAATAGCAATCTTTTTAATAGCATACACAATATATATTGCTCATAGTAATTAATTATATGTTTGTAATGTATGAATATATTAAGTATTAGTTTATATTTCTTTAATTCTTCAATGTTCCGCCTATCAATTGGGGTTCTCTACCAGTCAACCATCGGTTGAACCCCATCCGGTGTTAAGTATGTCAAATGTACATATATTCACACATTATATTAAAGTTTAAATAAAGAAGTAATAAATTTGTCGTAATTAATTTAAAATTTTAATTTAATGACCTGTGTAATCGAGTGACATTTAGTCTGCGGACAAAATTTTCACTGGAATTAATTGCCGATATAAATTTTATTCCGACTATTACAGAACCACTTAAACTGCGTGATGCAATGCACATTTCATAAAGATACGGTTTCATAAAGGTAATTTTTGACAATTGACAAAATGTCTAGCTAGAATGTGCAGGTTTTAAGAGATAGAAATCCTGTAATATAATTGTTCAGTTCAATTACATATGTTTTTTTCTTCATATACACAGGCACGTGCAAACCGACAGCGTGCACGCCAATGACAACATTCGCAGTGGAAACACGACGCCAGAAACATTGTCAGAAGCTGTGAAAATATTGAAGGGAGAGTATTGCCTCCGTGCCATTAAGGAACACAAAATGGACAGGTAACTTACAAAATAATTCAAATATAATGATTATAAAAAGACTATAAAAATATTTGTAAACTTATGTTAAATTTTAACAATATCTATATGTAATTGTATATATATACGCACATATATACATTGTTTATATATATATATATATATATAAACAATGTATATGAAAAAAAAATACACAAGAAAATACATTTAAATATAAGTCACAATAATGTACATACAGGTAACATATACGAGCATATATACATTACACTTATGCAAAAAGACAATAACTCAGTATGCCTGCTCAAGGAGCATATCACTGATTTTGAGTTACTACTTAAGGACATTGTAAGCGAGGACACATACAACTAAAACCGTCGCGTTTGTTTGTAAATTATGTATATAATAATATAGATAATAAAGTAAAACTAATAATATATTGAAAAAAATTGTTAAATAACATTATAGTAAATATTAGCCTAGTCGAAACAAGAAGCTGAAACGGGCTAGTAAACCTTAATAGCAGATAAGATTTCCTATGCTGATATTTTAGTGTATAGTAATGCATTTTTAAATTTCAATATGAAACTTTAATCTTTTTTTACTCGGTTGCGTAGTTTCAGACGTTATTAACCATTATGTAGACTTAGTATATCGTGCTATATATTTTATAATCTAAGCTGTTGGCTATCCCCTGTGTGCATTTGAAACTAGTACGTACAGCTAAGATGTGAATACAAGTCATGTTGGAGACATGACTTGATTCAACGCTAATTTTTCAAATTAATATTTAACAATAATGTTCACAGAGCGATTATATTCTGCCGGACAAAATTGGACTGTGACAACATGGAGCGTTACTTAAAATCGTACGGCAACGAGTTTACCTGCGTGTGTCTGCACGGTGACCGTAAGCCGGCCGAACGGAAGGCGAACCTCGAAAAATTCAAGCAGGGTCAAGTGAAGTTCCTTATCTGCACAGACGTTGCTGCTAGGGGCATCGATATATCTGGATTGCCTTTTAGTAAGTTCTTTGATATCCTTGGTAATATTATATGTAAATCTTAAAGTGAGTTAGTTGTTACCTCTTGAAGCATTAACGGCTTAACTAATTACTATAAAATTAGATATATATCAGATGGAGAAAAATATAGCCTACTAAAGAATCTCAGTCAGTGAATATATCCCAATCATATGCACGAAGTTTCTGGTAAAAACATTTAACTTTTTTTATACTGCAATGATGGCAAAAAAGTATACTGCCCATCTGATAGTAAATGGGATTACCATAGCTCCTATAGTACCTATGGATATTTGTAACACCAGGGATGTCACGCGCACATTGCCGACTACATAATGTTACAGGAAATGGTTTTGATATAAATCATAAAAAAATATTACCTGATATGTAATGCTTGACAATATTTTTCCCCTCTTTACAGTGATCAATGTAACTCTGCCTGATGAGAAATCGAATTACGTGCACAGAATCGGTCGTGTCGGTCGTGCTGAACGTATGGGTCTCGCCATCAGTCTAGTGTCCACAGTACCAGAGAAGGTAAATGTATTCTATAATAAGTTTCTTCTTAATGGACCATAATGCAATGGTAACCACGTTTATGGTATCAATTAAGTATAATATGCACTCATTATTTTTAATTATACTTTTGCCCGCTATTTCGAACGCGGTAATTTCTGAAGAAGGAACATCAATGAAAGAAACTTCTTCATGATAAAGATTTTAAGTTAGACTTTCAGAAACACATCTGTGAAAACTGCATCTAATTTGGTGTAGTAATTTAGTGTGATGCCGGTACAAACATACAGACAAATAAAATTTCTAAAATTATCGTTTTGACTTTTACTAACCTTATTAAGATCCCTCATATATTTTTTCTTTAATATCTTCCATGTACAGACATTCGTGAGTGCAGTGTAAACAGTGTATTTTAATAGCTGGTTCATATTTTTCATTATTATTTTTATACTTACAGGTATGGTACCACGGTGAATGGTGTTCATCGCGAGGCCGCAACTGCTGGAACACTAATTTGATTGACGATAGGCCCAAAGGCTGCTGTATGTGGTACAATGAGCCACAGGTAAATTTATAACAAAAAAAAAATCTAAGCTTAAATCTATTTTTGAAACATGCAAAACGCTGTCGCATTACTTTAGTAAGTCTATTAAAATAGACTTTTTTAATAGGTAAAAATACAAAGTTTAATTAAAATTATCACACACTTCAACTACTAAAATAAAAAAAATCATTAACTCTCACTCAATGCAATTGGTATATTTATATTAATTATGAAAGTACAACAACCCTCTTTTATTACTTTATTATTTTTTCTACTAAGGTTTTTTTTTAATGCGACTTCAAGCGGCCGACAAGCTGACAGCCTTTCCTATTAAAATAGATTATATAACTATTTTGACACCACTGTTTTCGTTTCGGATAAATGTTCAATTTTATAAATAGTATCAGTGGGTTTCCATAGGTATATCTTATCCAATTAATTCTCTATAGTATTTTAATGCTATTTATCTTCGCCACTATAGTGTTTTTAATATTTCAACAGTATTTAGCGGACATTGAGGATCACTTGAATATCACTATTCAACAAGTAGAAAGTGACTTAAAAGTCCCCTGTAATGAATTTGATGGAAAAGTTGTTTATGGACAGAAGAGGAAACAAGTCGGAACTGGATATCAGGTATGTGTTAATACTGGCAAAATATGATTTAACAACAATTTTTGGCTAATTTTAATAGCTTAGTATATTAGCTGATATATATTGCTGTGACAGAGGAACGGACAAAGCACCACCAAATTCCTTGAAAATCTTAAATATTTGTATTAAACAATAATTTTCTTATTCATAAAAACGTCAAACGATCCATGAGAGATAAATCTATCATAGGCAAAACAGAACCTAAAAAGGAAATCATAAATCTATTTTAGCAATTGAACTGTTTTGTCTCTTGCTTTTGTGCTAAATTCCTAATTTGAAAGTGACAAAACAGTGTAATAGTTAAAGTAGGTAATATCTAAAGTGAATGTACAAAAGCTTATAAATAATAATAATAAAACTTTCCTAGGTTTTAGTTTTTATGAATAAGGGGAAAATATTTATTTCTATTTGAGAATGAAATGCAAGGTATTACCAAAATTGTTTTTTTTTTTTTTCAGGATCATGTATCTCAAATGGCTCCAGTAGTGCGCTCATTGAAAGAGTTGGAATCTCAAGCCCAGCTATACTATTTCAAAATGCATCATAATGTTACTATTGCGTAGATGTTCATGATTGCGCAAATGTCATCATCTTACCTCCCTCCTTATACTTCGTACTGTATTTGAAAATGCTTACTAATTATTTAATGTAATAACTTAATAAATATTTAATATTCTTTATTAGTTTTTTTTTTTTTTATTTTATTAAAGAATGAATAAAATATATTTAAACTTTATTTGCTATTGCACAACCTACTAATCTTATTATTGAGAGATTAAATGGAATTTGATACATAAGTAGATCATAATTGACATAAATTAACAAATAGGGCATTTTTATTTAAATTTATGTGGCAACAGCTAGTATTGAGATTGATTATATTTGGACGGCGGAATAAATTTAGATCAAATTTTCATATTTAACGTCATTCAGGTGAGCAAAACCGCGGGACAGTTAAACTAAAAATTAAATTGTGTCTGTATGACGTCATCGATTTTCTATTAATATAACGATGAATACGACAAATCCATTTCGACGTATAATGAGAATGGAATGTTTTTTTAATGGGTGAAAATGAATTGTAACCCTGCGCTATCAGTATACGCTGACGGGGCACCAGTGAGGGATGATAGGTGAGGATGAAAGTAGGTTAGTTGGCCCATCGTAAAGAATTCAAATATTTCAAATGGAATGGAAATGTATCAGTTAGACCCCGTTACTAACAATCCCTTTCCCCCCTACAACGGAATCATGTAAATATTCAAACAAATGTTCAAAGTTCATTGATTATATTTCACTCAATTTTTATTCTACTGATTATTTATTATTGAGGGCAGTGCGTGGCAGCCCGCCATTTGGAAATAAATTATTAAGTCTCATAACACCGCTATGTAGGAAAATAGCCATTAAAATACTGTATTACAAATATTTACGATCGACTGCGGCACATTGTTATTTTACAATAATGTATGAAGTATAAAGACATACTGTATGGTAATTTTACAAAAATATTGTTCTGGACTACATATTAAAAAAACTAAATTTTCTAGTACAATATCAAATAAAAAAAAACGTACACTAAAGTTTAACAGAACTAAAATAAATAATCTTTCTAATAAATTCTCTAGCAAAATTTCATTCAATATTATTTCATGGAAAGTTTAATATATTAATACAGATCGTATTCATAAAACTGTGTTATATATATGTAGTTAATGTGCTCGCTTTGGTCAATCGACTCAAAACGGTTTACAATCTCAAATAAAGTTAACTATCTTACTCTAAAATAATAATTATCACTTGTAAGCCCTCATTCACACGGTCTTTTTAATCACGTCACGAGTACCTACTTATAAAGAATTAGACACAATATTAAAATATTTATGCGAACTTATTTAACTAATATAATTGTAAGTAAACTATGACTGTACATGGGAGATGATATTAAAAAAAACTGATACAGATCTTAAAAAGGATAATAAATGTCAAAACAATATTTTTTATTAGAAAGTCTGTGTTTGTTCCGGTATAACGCAAAAACTACCGCACCAAATTTGATGTAGTTTTTGATATTTTTATACAGTAATATAACTAGTCTATTTGTTTACTTTTCCCTATTTCTGAAAGTCACGTGTACAAAGTAACGGACAAAATCTAGTGCTCTATAAGAGAAAACTAGCATTGCAAATTTTACCATGAAGGTTTCTTCCTTTCCTGTGGGTGTCGTAAAAGGCGACTAAGGGAACATAATGATTGAGGGATAGGCAGCAGTGTCCTTCTTAAAACATCTCTAAAAGCCTAACTTCGGTTGGCAACCCGCCTGCCAAGCTTGGTAACTATTGGCAAAACTCCCCATAAGGAAAAGCTTTTGTTCAACAGTGGACGGTTAAAGGCCGAAATGATGATGATGAATTCATTCACGTAAAAAATATTTACGCGAATATGCCAAATAATTTACAATGGTACAAAAGTCTATAGAAAATAACCATGCTGTAAAAATTTTGAAATGTTTGCGTCCAGTGAAATTCGTGGTACTCGGAGTAAAATAACACTCGTGTGAATAAAGGCTTACTAATAACTAAACACGTAAATAATCAATGATATTGGTTCGCGTGACCCTTACATTTCTTTTTAATTATTATTATTACTCTAATGCTGTCATCCAAAGGATAATGTCATTTTTACCACAATAAGAACTGACGATAGAAATACATCTAATTTCTATCTTCAATTAACAATACCAAGTAGATGAAGCCTCAAAAAATATTTATTAAATAAGATTTTAATTGTTATAACTAGAAAATCCTATGACTGAATATTAAATAGGTACATAAACAAGTTAATACAGGAGAATTGAGAATCTCTTCCTCTTTAAAGTCACTCATAACAAGTAGGCATTATTCGGGATAAAGTTGAAACTTAGATTAAACAAAGTTTAATTAATCGCTTTGATCGAATATCTACTTAGTATTGTTGTTTCTATTAAGAAGTCTTTATTACGAAAAAATAATTTACAATAAATGAGAAAGTTTTTCAAATTGAAACACGCCAAATTCAGTATGTCATTTACCCAAACCCGTCAATTAAATTATTCTATATTATTATTTTAATATAACGTCATTAAAATAATAAACAAAAGTAAAATCAATACTAATTATTATTATTTCGAAACAAAATGCAAACTTATAGCATATGTATCTTGACGTACAAAAAACCCATGACATAATTAAACGATTAAAGAACGACATTGAAGATATAGCGCATTCAACCAAATTGTGCACATTTCATAAGTCATTTGATATTAACGAAACATTGTTCCAAATTATGAAAAAACAACATTTAGACACGTCTAGATTATATTTTCAGTGAGTATTCGACTCCAGCAATATTTTATCCTTACAATAACTTATTCATTTTTATTGGTAGCACTTCTGAATGTTAATTTTGTATGGGATTATGGATCTTGGGTTTTTTGTATATCTTTGATATGAATATATTAAATCTATTCAAGTTAAATTAATGTTGGAGATTTGGGTTAGATATTTGTACTTATGTACACGCAATAAACACGATATAGATATATGCCATGTAATTGAATTAGATTTTAGTGATGAAACAAAACATACAACAATGGAAATAACTATTATAGATTTAATTAGGTTAGGAAATCACGAAGAATTTTATATTAAAATACATTAATATTACAGGAATAGGAACTACATAAGCAATACTACATATTTAGCGAAATAATGTTGCTGGATTCTATAAAGTGGCATAGGTAAGTATCGAAGAAATAGATTATAATTAAAATAGTGAAATTATTTAAATTGATTTCATACTACTATGGTGGCAAAAAAGCTTTGGACACGACTCATATATGATTACCGTAGTTATATTGAGTACCAGGCTTTCTTAAGAATGTTCATGACAAAGTATGGTAACGTAGCAATTATCTGTCAGTTTTCAATATTTGTATATATTTTTATTATTAATAATCAGTATATTAATTACTTAAAAAGTTCTCTGCCAGCGAATTAAAACTTTAATCATGTAATAATATAATTAAGCTGTTATTATTAAATATTTGGTTTTAATGGTAAAAAAAAAGTATTTGAAAAATTCCGAAACAAAATATGAAGTAGGCGCAAATTATTAGTGGTACATTTATATGAAATGTATTCTATGATTAACGTAATAGTTCCCTATCAGATCACTTTTTAAATAATCAATCTTGGTGATTAATGAAAATTGACAAATAATTGTGACATTAACTAAGTGTAGCCAAGCTAAAGTTATGAAATAGGGCTCATAATACATTACCTAATCAATTAAATCAGAAAAAATCAAACTAATCAGAACATGTACAATGTATAACAATTGATGCATATCGCTAGATAAATGTATATAAATTAAAAATTTCATTATGTTACTTTCACATTTCATTATTAAAAAATATGTGAGAAAACGACAGAGATGCCATCCAATACGGATAAATCATTGTATTCTCCAACGCATTTAATAGAAAACCATTGAATCCAGCTACATTAAACTACATTAAGTAAAAATTTAAAAATCAAGTGCACGATCGGTACAATTATAACATTAATGTTACGCACTAGAGGGTCATCAGCCATGCAGTTACATTATTTATTTACTGAAACATTACACAATTAGAACTTATTTCTTAATTAAATTTTGAACTTGCCATATCTATGAGTAATAATAATAAATTCTCCTATCAAAATTATGCATTAACTAGTTGTTTACTTGTCTTCTCTGTGGATCTGTGGATGTATTTATAAATTTATTACGTAAACGCAACATTATTTACATAATATAAACCATGACTGACGCCTTCATAAATATTATATTAATTTATAACGTCAATTATAATTAATAATTACTCTTTTGGTGAACACTGCTAATCCCACCAGCTGCATTAGCTTACACTAGTATATATTATACTAATATACAAAAACGTTCTTAACAATTAAAATTCACTCTACTTTGAAATGTATCAAATTTTCATTTGTAGTATGTACTCGACCTAATCATTACGGGCCAGTACAGATGAGAGCCAAGTTTTGAAGTACATCAAAATGGAACACCTATACGTTTTCATACATTGTACAAACTCACGCGCCTAAGTTCCCGGAGATATCCTTTGTTTGCCCACACACTTTATAGGATTCATCATAGCAAAATATAGGATTGTTTGCATTATTTGTCAATTTTCAAAAATTATTTTTTTTTATTTCTGAATAATTATATTATTTATTTAGTGCTCTTATATTAGATGAATCTTAAATTGGAATTTCGTATTTTGATGTAAAAAAAATCTCATTAGCAAAATAAGTGGATGCAAAATTCTCGAGTTTCAAATTTATGTGAAAAATATTCTAAGATTGTCCAAAGTTAATGTATAATATATTGTAAGGCATACATTTACGTTATGCACAATACATAATTGAATTATTTGTCTTTAATAATGAATTATCATTGTTATTATTAGGTCGTAAACACACTACATTGTTCTAACAGTATTTCCTGGGATGCAGTCTATCACACATACGCTTATAGCCACTAATACAAGTCTCTGTGGACTCAAATGAAATGAATATTCAATACATATGCTAGGGCTCCAACAATCCAATACATATCATCCATAAAAAATATTTTTGGACGTATTAACCATTATAATTATTTTAGAAAGTTTGTAGTATTTATGCCCACCATTATTAATGTAATGTATTTTAAAATACCTTATTTATTTTTAGAAAATCTATAGAGCTACACACGAAATATATAATATTTTTGGCAATCCCTTGTTTCTGCCTCGATGGGAGACAGGTGTGACATATATATGTGTATAAGATTGATACTGTAAAGGATTTTTTTTAAATAAAAAGTGTTGCCCTGCATTTTGCATATTATGAATAAATAAATGATATTTTATATGAATGATAAATATTAATATATAGTGTCCGATTTGATCTAACTTCGGTGGGCAGTTTTTAGTCATTTTGATATATCTACGTCATTACGGCACGAGTATAATTATCATAGTTTTCATTAACACAATATTATTTTTCTTGTAATATTAAAAATTACAATCAGGCTTAAAGATACAAAATAAAATACATAAATATTATGTTGTTAACACGATGAGCAAATGTTACAACCTCGCGTCTTTCAAAATTACCTAAAATATATACTTAAATAATAAATACAAACTATTCGAGTTAATATCCTTACTAGGATTTGTCAATGGACTATTGTTATAGTTTTTGTTCACTTTTCAATGTCAATAAGATGTCCCATTAATACTATAAGAATATTTTCATACCCCTATATAGAGACAAATGAGATGTTTCAATCGTTTTTGGGTGCACCAAGATCATCAATATATTAGTCGAATAGATGGTCGTACTTCTTTATGGTTGTACATTCTTTGTACCATGTGATCAGCGTCTTTGACTTAGCCTTTAAGTTTATTTAACGGCCTTTTATTGTGCTTTGTATTATGATTACATCAAGCATATTTATATATCTTATTTCTCAGAATATTCTGATAAAATATTTTGTCTTTTCACATTAAATTGTATTAAAACTAACATTGTTTTAAAAACAATTGCTTCATCTCCTCGCTTTGGTCTCAACCAGTAATAATCTGATATTTATAATGATATTTATGATTATTAATAGTGATTTAACAGCAACAATGTACATAAGTTTATTACCAATAAACAGTGTTTTTAAAGGCTCATTATAAAAATCAAATTAAAACTTTTTCTTTTCACATTCGTATACCAATTTTTAGATATATGACTCACCAAGATAGTATTAAAATTCGTTATAATACTTGCCAGAATGGACTCATCAAGAAAGACCACAAAATAAAGACTTATATGTCGTATTATTTCAATCAGAAACCGCTTTGGTGAACGATATAAGTACAGCCACAAGCAAAAATATTAAATTATTTCCATTTTTTATTTTCCATATATATATATGGAAAATAAAAAAAGCGCTTAATATAGTATGTGACTGTACTAGACGTTTACCTCATTATTCTAATGAGGTAAACATTCTAGTTTTTACCTTATTAGGTTGTAATGAGGTAAAAACTAGAATGTTAATTGCTTTTATTACCTTATTTATTTATTTCGTCCAACAACTCTCACCCATTATAAGTGGCATAAGGCAGTATTTTCATTTAATGAACCATCCACCCTGTTTACATATCATACCTATATAGTGTTAGGCCACATGTCTCACTACTTAACAGTACACAATAAATGTCCAACCTCAAACAAAAATCATTTATAACAAACTTCATAGTAACTAAAACTAAATTAATAAATAATTATTATAAGTCTGATTGAGATGTTTGTAAGCGTACCTGAAACAATACATAAAAGTAATAACTTATTACATGTTGTCTCCCTTAGTTTCTCATAAATATTAAAATACTCACGAGAATTAAATCCACTCTAGTACACATACATACTACATGTCTAGATTTCCCTTATGGAAAAGTTATTGTTAATAATGGGGATTAGCAAACCCATAGTTAGCATTTTTTAGGTCAATATCGACATGGTTCCCTCTGGAAACCACTTTTATTGATATATTGTTGAATTTGTCACAATAAGCCAACTGACCTGCTTCATCCTTACCTATCATCACTTACTGGTGCTCCGTCAGTGTATACCGATAACGCAGACGGGATTACCATTCTACTATCATCCATTTAAAAAAAAAACTCCTTCCCTTTTCCTCTGTATATAATACGCGAGACCATGACATTTATAAAATTACTTTTTAATATACATTCGTAGAATAATTTCTTGATGTGTCTAGTGCTTAGATGTTTAACTCCCCTTTCTCCTTTTCGATGAATGCAATAATAGAAACGAGATATTTCATTGCTTTTTTTTTATACAACTTAAAATGGCAAACAAGCTGACGGCCCACCTGATGGAAAGTGGTAACCGTCGCCTATAGACATGAGCAGTACCATGGACATAACATAACTGTTTCGAAAATTATTGGCAAAGATCAAATTGGAAATCATGTTTACTCCTGAATTAAAGATTTTCGTAAATATCACTGATAGTTTAGACAGTGATACTGCTATAATCCAAATTTAGATTATCCTTGGACATAGTCATCCATATATTTCCATATTTTTACAACACAGAAAGGCTTTATTAAGAGGCTTTATTTTTAAATATTTTTAATTATTAATTGAAAGAGTAAATAGCAATATTAACCCAGGTCAGAGCGCGAGCCATGGGTGATGTTGTAGTGATTCTTTAGAGCGATCACCATAATCATAGGTGAGCTCTTCGCCGGGGATGATGTCATGCGCAGCCAGTAACACGAGTCGGGGTCCATCCACCCAGACTGCTTTTGTTAGGAGGTTTCCATTACGTGAGTGATTGACGAGACGCCCCAGTCGCCCGGATTCCGCTGTTGCATCGATACTGAAAAGAAAAAAGAAAATAATAAAAATTTGGAAATTCTTGTTATATATTTTTTAACACATCTTTTGTCTATTGTTTGTTCATCAGAGTACTTTGTACTTTGAAGTAAAGAACGAGAATTATTTTACATAAACATATTAATATTTATGTGGAATAGTATCCCTTCACAGCTAATGATGTATGAAAGAATGTGAATGAACGTTGACAAAGGTAATTTAAAATCTAAATACGGGACATGGGATATGTATATTATGTTGTACTAATTACAAAATTCTTTTTCTTTCTCTTTTAATTTTATGAGCTCCATTTTTAATTTTGACATTTAATAAAAACATCTATGAAATTTATACTCAGTAAAAGAAATATACACACTGCTAATTATATTTGAATTATCACGTTTATACCTTAAAGATAAAAAAATAGACATAATTATGTAATGTCATAATGTCAATGTTATAAAACTACCAGAAGTAAACTCACCAATACTGCTGATCTCCATGCCTAAAGTAATACATATAGCAGCCGGCGTTTGGGTCTTGGGCATACATGTGCTCACGCTCGCGGGCTTCCGCAACGCCGACCAGCTCGCCCGCGTACTCTACCACAAATTGTCCACGCCCGAACGGTCGCGTCGCGATCACGCCGCGTCCCTTTCCATCGAAGTACGCCACCTGTTCATTTATAAGGTTCATTGCTCTTTGATATTTAAGAATCTCCATTAATAAATTATGCATACTTTTTTTCTATTAAGTCCTTCACATGATTATGGTAACAAATTGATGAACAATAACTTAATTTACTAATATCTATGTTTTAATTATGTTTATCATCTATTCTTATAATGCAATATAACATTAAATTTATTATGCTTTTTTATTCTTTATATTTTGAATCTCCATAATGTTAAATAAAACAATAGTGTTCACTTACTTGTAAACCATCCTCTCTCTGTTCTCTCACAGCCCTCTCTAGATCCCTCATTTTTTCAGCCATAACACATTTGGAAGTTTTCCTTACGCTACGCCTAACTGGAAAGTATTCTGTCAACTTGTGATTATTGTTTCCATTTGCAACATTAGATTCTGCTTTAACAGTCTTTTCAATGGGTGGGGGGGAATGAGGAGGCTCCTCTTTAGGACTTTTGAGCTCTTCTTTAAAATATTCAGTCAGTTTATGACTTTCAGCAGTGCGGGCGGCAGCACGCGCCGCCCGGGATCTCGCCGTGTGTCCGTTTGTCATATTTGTAATACCGTTACTAGTTTTTAACGGCTTTGATTTCAATTCAACCTTCTTCAATGTCTCTTGCTTTATTTTAACGTTTTCAGTCTTTGGAGTTGTTACATTTATTATCCTAAAAATAAATTATAATACTGATAAAATATGCCACTTTATCTTACCAACAAAACAAACAATTATGTTAGAATATGCAATACAATTTAGCCTATAGCAAAAACCTATTAATGTTCTTTATTAAAGTTTAAAACAATTTTATAGTGGGTTGGACATAAGAGAATAATAAGTAGGGTGTTTAATGTTTGTGCCTTGAAATTCAGTGAAAGCATTCCTAAGTTTCACCTAGGCTCATGAAAAGAAATATGACTAATTTTTTCTACTTTCCATACTATAATGATTATTATGATTCATATAAATAATTTAAAAAAATATTATATTGCCTCATATATTTCTCAAGAAAAGTTTCATCAAAACTTCATAAACAAGCTTTGTATACAGTTTTTATTTACATACTAAATTGCTTAATCTAATTAGCATATAAAATAATAAAGCATAGATATTTAATTATAAATAAATATATAATAAATTGAATAATATACAGTAAACTTTTAAAAATGAAGTAATATTGTAAGTATATTATGTAAAATGATCTACTACATCTTATAATTTTGATTCATATATATATATATATATCATCTATTACAGATTAACAAATATTTACATATAAATTGTTTCATACAGTATATATATATATATATATAGCCTCAGTTACCTGCGCTTTCTATAGTTGCGCGTAGGTCTGGCAGGCTCTTCCTCACACAGTTCAATGCGGTGTGGAGTCTTCACACCCTCTTGGCCTGCCATGAAGCTATTGGCTGAAACCAGATTTTACCATAATATTGAATTATATTGATAAAAAAAAACTTTACACTTGCTAGACTAGCAAAAAATATAGATCATTCTGGGAGATAACACATTATATTATGGTATGAATTATTCCCAAAGAGGGTTGACGTCAGGCAATTGGCCGATCGTAAAACTAAAAAACCAATCTTTTTGTAATATGGATAAAATCACATTACGCCGACCCCAAATGATTGGGATAAGGGTAGGAAGATAATGAATATGGTATGAATTATTTATATTTATTCTAAATTGACTTACTGTTTCTTACTTCATTAGCATAAAAATATTATTATTGGGTATTTTAAACCATGAACAATTAATCTGTAAATATTACATATATATATAAGAAAAAGATTTAAAATATATATTATTTTATATAGTAATAACAGATACCAATACCAGTCAATATAAATTTTAGGTATTAAAATATCAAACAAATAGTTTTAATTTCTTTGGAAAAATAGAATAGCATAACTGAGTATTTTCTAATTATTGATGAGCAATCATAAGCAAACATATGCAACGCGGTCTTTAGGCTCATATTAATATTGAAAATATTCACAAAAGATACCGCGAAGTCGCAAACAAAGAATCGTGTTAATCAACAGTTACGACACTATAAATGTAGATTATACTAACCTCGAACCATTTCAACTTGAACTTGTTATTCACTAGATTAAGATTACAGGAGAACACCATCGAAAAAACAAAATAAGACACAAAGCCAGGCTCAAATTACCAATGTTTGGTAATAGACCTTGTCATATTAGGATCGCAGCAAATATCATGTGATTCGTTGCGTTGTTGTCAGGAACCCAACATGTTTTGTTCTTTAGATACCTTAGAAAAGAATAAAATGACTGGCTAATGCATTGATTACAAAGTAAAAAGTTAAAAAACAGCAAAAATATACTTAAATATCCAGAAATGTCATGAGTGATTGATAATGACATAAAATGGACGCTTTACTTTTTTTTTTATTTCTTCTATCATTGCCATTGGTGGTAAAATTTAAATATCAACCAATGAATTTGACTCAATTCTTAGCATAGATAAAAGAGCTATAGCAGCAAATATTACAGTAGTAACATCGGAGTTAATTCTTAGGGCCGTTTCTGTAAGGGTATATAAAATAAGTATAATATCCATGTTTAAAATTAAAATAAAATTATTGTGGCCTATTACTGGCTATCATAATACGCCTTTTATATTTTTATATTGATTTTCTATTGTTCTTTTGTTTTTACAATTCTATCATTAGTCTTTATGTTTTCCTACCGATGAAGACGTGATAAAAGAGAACTACAATATTAAGCATTTTTATTATCAACCTGTTTCTCTTAATTAGTTTAAAATCATAGCAAAATCTTTATTAAAAGGACCAATATGAACTTTCTCCTCACTCTATTCCGAAATCTTTCATAAAATCTCAACTAACTCCATCGATTGTTTTGAATGGATGGATTTCGATCTTTATACATAGTCTCTGTAATCTATGGTTTTAATTAAAAAAAATGCAATCTAGAAAATTGATGATTTTTAAATTTTAGTTTGTTATTGTATTCATTAACACCTGTTTGTGTAATTATGAATTTCATAAAATGTTGTTACATATGGAATGAAGTTTTAATTGAACAATGTGATCGATTACCCGCTGTTTATGGGCGGGTTTGTAAATATTTAAATGTCTTAAATATTATTATCACAAATATTATCTTCAGTCTTTCTGGATTTGCGAACTTCTTTTTACTTTACTGACTTCAGTTATTACATTTACATGCGTTATATAAATTCTATAATTTAAAAAAAGAAAAGAATTATTATTTTAAAAGAATAACAATTTACAGGCTTCTTTAATACACGATCTTTTGGTGGCTTACAACCTCCACAAAAATATCAAAATAGTGAAGTCTTCACCAGCTACATATGATGATCTTAGAAAATTCCATTCAGAATTATATCTGGACCATTTGAAGAGTTTTTCTGTTGTAGATGATGATTATATATCAACCCCACAAGATGAAGAATATGGCATTGGTAATTTCTGATCTTTATTTAATTGTACAGAATTTTTTAACGGCTTGTTCTATCTACTGCCGTGTGATTTTGGGAACCTACTTGGTACTTCAATTGCATCATTGTAAAACTTTAGCATACTGGGCAAAGGTTACTTTTGGTCGTGTAGATAAATTTGTAGAGAAAACTAATAAAATGTAACATAACTATAACCCTATAAAATAACTAGAATTATATCAAGTCACTTAGTTTTTCTCTGTAAAAAATGTGTTGAAACAATTTTGGTATTATTAAATACTAGATTTTACAGGGTTTTGCTTGTGTTGATTTTGTTCAACAATTCTGGTTGTTGGTATAGGTAGAGATAAAATAGTTAAAAGAAACCTACCCCCTTTACAGAATAGTTTGAAAAAAGAAACATGTATACTTTAATTATGAATTATAAACAATAATTCTGCAGAGTTTGTAGCAAATCAGATGATGCAATAAGTTTCATACAAAAATTTTCTCTCCCTCACCCCACCCTCTGTTTTACGCAAGAAAAAGTAGCCTGTATTATTACATAAATGTATTTATTTATTATACACTTTATTGTACCATTTATAAAATAATAAATACAGTTATTTTAATATGAAGTCATACTAAAGCTGGCTTTATCCCTAAGCAATCTTCTCTAGGGAACCTATGGGTAGAGGACATGCATATATATATGCCTTCTTCAAAATATTAAAATTAGTTTTATTTTTACAGGTTATGACTGTCCACCAGTATCTAACATGTTTGATTTGGTGTCCAACTTAGCAGGTGGTTCTATAACAGCAGCAAAGTGTTTATTGCTAGGCATTACAAATGTTGCCATTAACTGGTGTGGTGGTTGGCATCATGCACAGAGGTAAAAGAAGAATAATAAAAAGAAAAAGAATATTTTCCTGATATCTTCTCTGTATGATGAAAGAGAGGTTACAATGTTTTAGTACTCCTTTTCATATTAATATAAGTGGTGACTAAGAGAACAAATTAGGCAAAGGAAACCTCTACATTTTTTGTTTTATTTGCTGATCCAAAATAATTATAAATTTTCATGACTCTTTATGTTTATCCATAATAATTAGCATTGACTTATCCACTTAATATAATAAAGATTATTTTTCTCTTAATTTCTAGTCCTTTCTATTATTTCCAAGTAAGTCTTATCAAAAAAAAATTGTTTATTATTTATAAAACCAAATTATATTTAAAGTAGTTACATACTATAGGCAATATTGCACACATAAATAATATCAATATTACTTACAATTAGGCAAATACGTTATACTGTTTTCGAAAGTCCTGACCAATCATCTTAAATGCAAACTCGACGACTTCCAGCCACCCGAATAAGCTGGCTTCAAAAGAAATTTTACATTTCTGATGCTGCTATTAGGTAGTAAGACAAAAAAAGCAAAAATTCTATTTTAAATACACATGACTATTTTCTACAATATTTAACTTAAAATTATGCATTCTACATAATTAAATTTTAGAACTGTACAAAAAAATTTTTAATATTGATGAATTACAAAAAAATGTATTAAGTTTTATCTTTTGTTAAGAGTTTTGCATTTCTGCCCCAATGATTTAAAATCGCAATATTGATCTGATAATTTTTATGCAGGTTTGGTGCTGAAGGATTTTGCTATGTCAATGATATTGTATTAGCTATTGAAACATTGAAATTAAAATTTTCTAAAATATTATACATTGATTTGGATATACACCATGGTATGTCACAATTTATATACATATTTTTTAATTATAAAACTTTTTTTATAAAGAAGGAAGTTTTCCAAATAAATGTATATGTACACTAGCCTTCGTTTAAATGAAAATTTATTCATGAAACAGCATGGCGTGAAATTATGGTGGCCTCAATCTATAGATATCCACAGTTGAATCCTTTAAGTTCCTTTAAATAATTTAATCAAACCATAGAAATTAAATTTAGTTGTATTTTATATTAATTATAAATTTCAAATAAATCTACCTGCAACAAATGTTACAGTCATGCACAATGTAATGTAAAGTTTTACACCCAACAAAAATTATTTCGGAGAATATCAGCAATTTGGTGAGAGTTTTTATTTTCATTAGCTAATAATTTTATATTTTTATAATCTACTTTTTTATTCATAGGTAATGGCGTGCAGGATGCATACAACTTAAGTAAATCAGTGTTTACACTATCATTTCATAAGTATGAGCCTGGATTTTATCCTGGCACTGGTAGCCTTGAAGATATAGGCACATTAGCTGGCAAGGGATACACATGCAACTTTCCACTCCATGCATGTTATTCTGATGACACTTTGGAATATGTCTTCCAGGCGTTTGTATTTTATTTCTTTATCTTTTAGTTAATTTTATTACAAACCAATTTTATTTTACTAAAAACTTTTGACAGTCTATGCAATTTTTTGATAATGGAAAATATTGTTTAAACCAATATTTTGCTATGTATTTATACCCTAGGCGGCTGCTCTCCTAACTCCCTACTAATAAGGGTCAATTGGCAATTATTGAAAAATTAATTCACCTTTTACATAGATTTGAATTAAATCCTAATTATTAGGGAAAGGGATTGTTAGTAATGAGGATTGTCAGCCAAATTGCCAGCAATTTTCCATATCAGGTCGACCTTCACACGATCTCTCTGGAAAACCATCTTGGTTAGGTCATGACGATAGGCCAATTAACTTGGTTTCGTTCTCATATATTATTGGTACTCTGCTAGTCCAAGCGGGCTTATCATCCCATTTTTATTCATTTAAAAATCTAGAATTCCATTTTTTTTATTAGAGAACTGTTATATAAGAGGTAAATAAAGCGCTCATTCAACAGTTGTGACAAATCTATTATATTTGTTGTAGGGTGTTTCCGGCAGTATATTCTCAGTTTGCTCCAGACTCGATAGTGGTACAGTGTGGTGCGGATGCGTTGGCACGCGACCCGAACGGTGGGGCTGCGCTTACAGCACGCGCCTACTGCACATGCGTCAAAATGGTGCTCGACAAAAGAAAACCTACGTTGCTTTTAGGCGGAGGTTGTTTTAAAGAAAATGGTTTATTTGATCCTATAGTATTTTAACACAATAAAATTTTTACACATTTAAGTCTAGATATTGTGTAATCTACAATAAATTAGTAAGATAGATTCATCGTAACATAATAGGTATATTTTTTTTATGCAAATTGGAAAGATATAGGAGCTGGCAGCCCACCATTAGTAAGCATTGTATGTAAATATGAACAGGACCATGGTATCTTACATGCATTTTGAGTAATTTACATTATAGTAGTAATTTAATTGCTTTAAAACCGAGCATCCATACAAACATAGCTACTTGGCAGTAGAAACACAAGTGAGAGTGAAGTATCCAAAGTTACATTGCATGTAATGTTTTATGAACCACCATAAACTAACTTAAATACATTAGAAAATTAGTTCATATTATATATTTTTTTGTCTAATAGTTAGCTGGTAGAGAATGCCGTAAGGCATTAATCTCGCCACTTGTACAAAATTTTATTATGCAAAAAAGAAGTGCTAATAAATTGAAATTTTAAGTTTAGGCATAGATTTACCTCTAATATGCAAATAGAATCAAATATCTACAAATGAGAAATAAGTATCTCTTATTAAAATTTGTCCTCCTCATTATACCTATATGATTTAGTTAAAAAAAGATTTATTCTTGAATTTTAATCTACATATTTTTTTTTTATTTCCATATAAGGAGGGTACAACCACGCTAACACTGCACGTCTATGGTCGTCCATCACTGCTCTTGTTGCTGGAGTAGAATTAGATGATAATATTCCAGAACACAACAATTGGATAAGATATGGACCGGATTATATGTTGCATATAGAACCAACACTAGCTAGGGATCTTAACCAAGTGACTTATTTAGACGCCTGCATCGATACTATAAAAGGTATACTAGAAACCACCACTGCCACTCCAGATAAGTGGCAAATGAATTTTTTGACCGAAACGGTATCACCACTAAGTGAATAAGAAAGAACGAGACAGTAACATCCGTTTTTTTTTTCACATATGCATGATAAGTTCCTTTGCCATTTATCTATAGTGGCTAATCACGAATTAAGGGATCTCTTAGATAAGTAACAATATATTCTTAATAAATGGCCGTGTGGTTCCGGCATACAATAGGCCACCCTATCCTTTCCCGTGGGTGTCGTAAGAATCGACTAAAGGAGTACTAAAAGTCGCACAAAACTCGTTGCATATTGGTATTTAATTTTTACTTCTACAATGTTTGTACAATTCTGATGTTAATCTTGTTGAGTAATTTATATTTATAAGACGAATTACTTTTGAATATATGTAGGTATATGTTTACCAATTTTAGTATTTACTATATACATAGATTTTATTCACTTACAGATAATTTAAAAAAATACTTAGAAAACAATAGAACAGAGAAACCAAGACTAGAAACAAAAACTGGTAATAACCATACAGATGTCTCTATGCATGGCAAATTACAAGATGCCAATATAAAACATAGAATAATTTCCAAATCTGCTTCATCAAACAGTAATGATACTGAGTCAAAAATGTTTAATAAAGGAAATGAAGCAAAACGTTTAAATTATAATGATGTGTATGATTTTGTTGAATAACAGTAAAGGAAAATGAAATATTGAATGATTTTTATTTTTTGAAAATAAATAAATTCTTATTCGTTCATGAAATTGTGATTAAAGTCCTATATTAATTTAATTCATATGAAAATTATTTACTTATATCTGCTTTAGACTTTGATAAATGTTCTGTTCAATAGTCGTAGTTTCATATGAGTAATAATGTTTGCTTTTCTTGTTAGTACAGATTCTGTCATAATAGATTGTGGGCACAGAATAATCCCTGTGAGACATTTTTAAAAAAAACCTTATTAAAAATCCGTTTAGATGCATTATAATATACAATGCATATTGAAATTAATTTTGACAACTAGTGTATAAAAATAAGTACTCAGATAAGTTGAAAAAAAATATATTTAAAATTCTCTCACTGAACTATCAAAACACAGTATGTTACAAAATACATTAATTTATAGTGGAAAATGAAATAGGAAACTTGGGCATAAATAGACAGTTAAAGTTATCCATTTATTATTTTCTAGAAAGACTTGTTAATTTATTTTCGTGAAATTAAGCCGTTTAAATTATGCATATTGCATACGGAAAAATTAATAGCTTTCGCAGACAGTTTTCTTAACAGAGGTCAAAGCTACAGAGATGCTCATCACAGAATCATGTGAGTACAAATACAATTTTGTGTTCTATTTTCACGACCAAAAAGACATTAGGAATTGTTCCTCACCTGTGGTCTTACATTGTATAGGTACACGAACATCTTCAGTGGCATATTTTTTTTTGTTTACTTACATTGCTATATTTTTTTCTTAGATTCAAACAACTTCATGTATAGTCTATTTATTAGGAAATTTTTTTGCCCACCCTAATAGTAATTACTCCATAATTGAAACTGTATTGTTACAATTAATGAATTATACAGAATTTTCACTGATAAATTTCATATGTAAAAATAATAGAGATCTCGATAGAAAATTGTTCAGTCCTATTTCTTAATCATTAAATACTGTTAAAATTCAATTACAGAAAAATTATTGTTAGGGTCAAATTCCTCAGTGACAAGACTAGTAGACAAAGCAACATTCTATAATACTCAAATAATATGTAAAATGTATGCTCAAGTTTATATCTTTTAAGGCAGATAATATTTAATTCTAAATATTCTTTACTATCTCACTGAAGGTAGTAAGTAGTATTATATACATAATAGTAATTAACAACCTAATAAGCAATAACCCAGCTGAAAAACTTCAAAACACAGCATTTCACATTTTATTTAATACATCTAATACATCCATCCATCTCTGCCTATCCCAAATTAATAAAAGACGTAAAGAATTAAAGATCCGTATACAGATCTAGTACTATCTCATTAAATCATGCAGCTATTTATTATTGTACAAGTAATATAATATTATTGCAAGCAAAGGGTGATTGAAAATTAATAACTTTTATCAGTGATAAAGTATAATGATTAAAAGTACAGTAACAGTTTAAAAGTTAGCCAAGTATGAAAAGTATCTGTTTCATTTCCTAGTCAGGAAATTAAACAGTTAACTTTTTTATCTATATTGAAAAATAAATGCAGAATATTTAAATTAGCATTTGTTCAGAGTGCAACACCATATTAGGTATAACAAAAAACATTTATATGTAATAAGCAATTTTTATAATATTGTGAACTGTTGTTGTAAATCCAGAGCATACAAAGATTTTTTTCAAATAAGTAGTACTATTTAATCTGTAGGCCGTTTTTCACTGTTTTTCTTAGTAAACTCCTCTGCATTCTTTGTGAATTTCTTTCGATCCTTGAGGAATTCCTCAGCAAGATCTGCGCGCAAAGGATGTTCAGGTTCTGGATCATTGACAAGAGCCACTAATGCTTGAATTACTGAAATTAATAATAAGATATTTTAACAATCATAATTTCTGTTTTATATTAATACATGTATGATATTTATATCAATAAGGAAAGTTATAGATTAAGCAATGTAGCAAATTACACAAATCTATTTTATTGTAAGACCCTACAGATTTTAGTACACATCCTAGTTTTACTAAACCATTAATTACTACAAACAAGCAAACATAATTAATAGAAAAATAAAAATATTAACATTTTATGCATAATTGTTTTGATAAAAAAATGTTATATTTATTTACTAAATACTTGGCACATTTTATATATACCAGGTCACTCAGAAAGTCTGCGAGAAAGAGTTTTTATGTATGTGAGACTGGCCAGTTATAATTTATTTAAAAATATGATTAGGTACTTATAAGTAAAAATAGATACGTTTTAAATTTAAAACTTCCCTTCACATTTTTTTACGCCTACCAAAATAAAGCGACCTACACTCGCGAGCAATTAAATCGACTTAACCCTTGACGGCGCACATATGCATTGATTTTACTAAACCGACAAATGTCATTATAAAAATGATATGTCATTCAAAAGCTGAAGAATTATGCTCTCATTTAACATCAATACCCTAAAAAAACTTGAGCGCTGATTTAATTACGCATTTTAATTGGGCGTCAGGGAAAATTTTCTTCATAAGGTTTCCACGAGTTGCGCTACCTGCCCCCGATATAAAACCCGCCCACACCCGGTTTACCTTATCAGTCGTTTATCACAAGTTGACCGGTATACATCTTAATAAATTGTATTCCTTGTTTTCGTGAATACCACACCAGAAGAAGCCGCTCAAGTTGTTGCCTTGTTGCAACAAGGGTTAAGCCAGCGAGTAGTCGCTGCCTAGTTCCACTTAAACCAGTTTGCTGTATCCGAGTATACAGACGCTTGAAGGAAGCCAACTTGACGCTAAAAAGGCCTGCGACGGGCCTCAAATTTACTGCAGGCCACCGACAAGTGCACCTTCAATTTGTTCGAGAGCATCTCAATTGGAGCGTTGCGCATTGACGGTCGGTACTGTTTACTGATGAGTCCAGAATGTGTCTACATGGCAGTGACAGGAGAGGCCGAGTTTACAGGCGTCCGGGGGAACGATTTTCCCAATGCTGTTATGTTGAAACAGTGGCGTATGGCGGCGGTTCCTGCATGATGTGGGCTGGTATTTCCTTAGAGGGAAAAACTGAGCTGTTTTCGTGCCTGGGGGCGGCCGAGGAGGCGGGCTAACAGCTGATCGGTACATCACCAACATCCTACTCGATCATGTTGTGCCCTACGCAGGGTTTGTCGGCAAAGACTTCGTGTCAATGCACGACAATGCCCGCTGTCACACGGCACGAGTCGCTCGGCAGTTTCTTAAAGAGGTCGAATTGCGCACGATGGACTGGCATGCGCTCAGCCTGGATATGAATCCCATCGAGCACTTATGGGACTAGCTTAAAAGCTCTTCTTTTAAGCTCGTCCCATAAGAATCCAGTTGCTTTAAGCGTAGACGAGCTAAAGACAGCATTGTTAGAGGAGTGGGACGGCATTCCTCAAGAATATGTCAAAAAATTGATAAGATCAATGAAAAACAGACTGCAGGCTGTAATAAGGGCTAGAGGGGCTCAAATTAAAGCTGACATCTTAAGCTTTCGAATGCCATATCATTTTTATAATTGACATTTGTCGTTTTAGTAAAATCAACCCATATGTGCGCCGTCAAGGGTTAAGTCGATTTGGTTGCTCGCGAGTGTAGAAGCGGGGGGAAGATTTTGATCGCGAGCTTTAATTTGACTGGCTAGTTGGTGTCAATTCCTTTACGAAACCAAAGAAGCATTAACGCCGAATGGTATACTACCAAATGCTTGGCAGAAGTTTTCTCTGTTGTGAGCAACAAGCGACCAAACACAGGGCTCCGCGGGCTACTGCTCCACTATGTTAATGCGCCCGCCTACATCGCAATCAAAACGAGGGACTTCCTAGACAGCACACCAGTCAAACTCCTGGGTCACTCTCCTTACAGCCCTGACCTAGCACCATGTGACTTCTTATTCCTAAAAAGAATCAACTCAAAGGGATACAATTTTCGTCACCGGATGATGCGCTCTCAGCGTTCGAGCAGGTTATAAACGAGGTGTCTGGTGTGAACGGACCGTAAAAAATGTTTCGAGAACTGGTTCAGACGCATGAAACTTTGTATAGAGGCTGGTGGAGAGTACTTTGAAAACAATCCAAAATGGCTGATATTGCCAACATATATAACAGACATGTGTACCAACATAACAAAAAAAAAATCCGAAAGTCGAACATACGTAACTCACAAAATTTGAAAATAACGGTTATTTTTTTTATCAGACCTCATATATTTACCTATAGAAATTTTTTTTTAATGTTGCAAAACTTTCTGAGTGTCCCACATGTATATATATATATATATATATATATATATATATATATATATATATATATATATATATAACAGATTAAGTATACATTATTCTTAGTCCAAATCAATGTCATTATGACTATATTGATATATTGATCAACATTTGTTAAAAGTTACCTGTAAAGCAGCACATTATTATACTGAGCTAGAACTTTTATAGTGATATTAAATAGCAAAATATATCTTGCAATGAGTTTTATATAAATGCATTTATGTATATTTTGAAAATGTCTAAGATAAAATAAAAAAATACCTTGATCAGTCTTGGTGGCAGGTTTCCAATTCTCAGCACTTATGATGGGCAGGCATACTTGACCTTTTTCATCAATATTTGGATGGTAGATTTTAGTTTTGAAACTAATTTTTGGAGGTTTAAATGGATACTCTGCTGGAAAGTTGATTTCAATACGAAATGCACCTTTGTTATAAGGTGGATTATCCTGCATGGGTAAAAATACATTTTTTAATACAAGAAATATAAATTCCTATTTTGTATATTTGTTACATGGAAGGTATGGAAATGAAGAAATTAATAGAATTGGGTACTTTTACTAAATGTGTATACTAGCTAACTGAAATATCAATTCTGACTATGTAAATTTTTTAAAATAATTATTCATATTTCTGAATGATTATTTTAAAGTGATCCAATATGTCAAATCTGGAACAAGTTTCATTTACAACAACCACAATAAAACTTTGATGTCACTTCATTATTTTGCTTTTATAGTGTTCATATATTTTGTTGAATCTGGTTTAATAATGAATTAATATAAAGAAATTGCTTTATAACAATTTGCTATAAGTCTTTTAAAATTGGTTATTTATGCAAACAGAAAACATTTATTTGGTATTTCACAAAGGAATACAAAATAGAAAAAATATCAACAAGTTAACGTTATATGTACTACCTACAGTGAATACCAAATGGGACTTTCACTCAGCACATATTGTAGTATTTGACAATATCACAGTGAACAGAATATAATAAAATATGATAAAGAAATGATGTGACTCTTTCATTTAAAACCTTATTTTTAACAATTAAATCTAAAGGTAAAATTAATTTAGTAGTATGTTATCTTTCAATATGTATAATAGGGTGTCCTTTATTTTTCAAAGTTTTTATTTTTTAATGCATAGGTCTTAGTTTTGTTCATATGTTCCTAAAACACTCGAAAATACATTTTTATCTCATTTGGAGAACGATAACCCATGCCGACTTGTTCATATAAGTAACGCCGAACTAGCGGCGCGCACCCGTCGTATTTGCCATTTGTTCACAGTAACTCTTGTGATTAATGTATTGTTTTTATGTTAAAAAAAATGGCAGTGGAATTCCACTGCCATTTTTTTGAGGTTGAGGATTGAGGAATTGTTGATATTTTATAATCAAGAACTGCAAAAATCCATTGTATGTGATGATTATCGGGAACTAATTCAATAATCTATTGTTTTCTTAGGAGGAGATAATGAGAAAAATATTAAAATAAGACCTCCTGGAGCAATGCATCAAGCCAGGTGGATGGCTACAGCCATTTACTCTTGGAAAATATGTTTGTTGCAATCTCAATTCAAAATTAGCACCAAAGATAAAAGAGCCCTTTAAGATATTTGTTTATTCATTGCAGTTATATATGTAAAACCAGGGCTTGGATGTAGTCTGGCAATCAAGGCCCCAAATCAAGATTTGCGCTTTTTAAAAAGTCTTAAGGAATATGAAACTATTAATAGAGATCTCCAAAGCTTCCCTGAGCATGTTTAGTCAACATCTTTGGTATTTGTCAGAAGAAATGGCTGTTTTATCACTCTTTGATGATGAAGTAGATGAACAAACTAAGACGAATATTGTAGCAAACTTACAAAGAGATAGTTCATATGATTCTGTAAAAAGATACATTCCATCGAAAGAAGATATGTCTGATTATTTGTATGAACTATGTAAAACTTATGCAAGATTTCCATGGTTTAGTCACTACAAAGGAAGAACAAAAACATTTTTTGCTGCACTGTGTACAAGAGCATAGAAATCTGTATCCAGACTGTAAAAGAGACCCTTAAAAGAAAATATCCTTGATGATTTGTTATGTTCATTTGATTAATAAATACTATTTTTTAACTTTCTCTTCGATTGTTATTATTAAACATTTTATTTCATTTTATTACACATACACAACGATAAGTGTTAAAGATAGTTAAAGACAATTATTTTTAAAATATTCAAGGCTCTGTCAGCACGGGTTATAGTTGACATATAAAGATAAAATTTTGTATTTGATTTATATGAAATTTGTTTTCACCCATATAAAGGACACCCTAATGTATAACCATTATATTATTTCATGTGCATTTATATACATATTTTAACTTTTAATACAAGTTTTGTAAATATTGGTAGCTAAGAGTTGTAAATAATAATTTTATATCATAGTATGGATTATTTCCTCCAAACTTTCTGTAAAAAAAACAAGCAGAAATTATAGACATGTTATTATACTTACTGGGACAATAAGACCCTGCCACGTGAGGATATTGGACTCATCAACCTGAATGTCTCTAAATGATTTTAATCCTGACTGTCTAATATCATTTAATTCCTGTAAGATAATATTATGTTAAATAAATAATTCAATGAGAAAATATATATAATATATAAATATCCTTATATTTATAGATAAATTACATACTTTAAAATACTTATAGCATAATTTACATATAGAATAGAAATACATTAAAATTCAGGTATTCATCATCTTCCTACCCTTATCCCAATCATTTGGGGTCGGCGTAATATGGTTTTATCCATATTACAAAAAGATTTGGGTTTTAGTAATATGGTAATAAAATTCAGGTATTAAATGGAGATATTTATAAGAAGGTAGCGATAATAAAAATTTCGTAGGTACATGCATGAGTCACACTAAAGTGTGTGAAAATAATAATTATTTTGCTTGATTCATGATATTTGTCTTTGAGTTATTTACTTAATGTTCATGACAATAGATTCTTATAAGTATGGATTTTGAATAAAATAGAAATATAATTTGTAACTGTAACTAGGCCAACGAAATTGGAATACACAACTACTGCACTCATTGCATATAAAACAACAATTGAAATAAACTAAAAGTGGTATTATATTTTGGACAATTGTAAATTTCAGAATCTTTCTAAAAATTATAATGGACGTAAGTTTTTTAAGAACACAAAAGTGAAATACAGTTTCACCTTCTGTAGTCGTCTGGTTGCAGCCATTGTATTAATTTTATGTTAAAACTTTAACGAGATACTGATTAATAACTTTTATTATGAATTATATTATATATAGGTCCTCACTACAAACATAATTATGCTGCACAATCGACAATATTATAAATCGAGTGAAAAATGTCTATTATAAGTGTAACTAAATTGACGACCATTAAGAAAATCCGATTACTGCGTTATATTACTCCAAATGTACAGTCCATTTTTTTATGTCAATAATAAATTACAACAGTACTGATAATTAATACTATCTTGATCATATTTTCACTGATAATATTACAGTTTTAATTAGTTAATTGTGTGTCTTATTTATTTATAAAAAGCTCAAAGCAAATTAAGTTTACATTTATTAACATGCAATAATAAAACGTCGAACACCTTCACCGTAAATTAGTTTGGTCGGGAAAAGCGCGGGAAACGTTTAAAATAGCGGGAGTGTTTTTGATCTTCTTTAAATTAATTTTATTTTTAATTATATAAGGATTAGTCTTATTTGTATATTGTGTATTAGATTGTATATATAATTATATATTTTGTAGTAATAGTGTTTGTTGCTGTAAATATTGATAAGTAAATTACCTATATTAACTAGACATTATGGATCCACCTATAGACAACCCCCCAGGTGTCTGCAAATATAACTATCCCATTTAATATTAGTTTTGATATATTGGGTGACACAGATGGTTCTAGCGTTGCAAGTTCTAAACGTAAGTGAGTACGTGGCGAACGTCGCATTTGCAAACATTGCAATAAAAAACGAAGGAGGCACACCAAGGGTCTTGAATCTAAAATTAAAGATAGTGATTGTCAATGTATTGAGGATGAGAATCAAACTCAAGTATCAATACCAGTTGTAAATAATACCGAGTCTGTTAAACCTGCTTCTCCACCCAGTACTTTAAATAGAACTTTGTACAATGCTGAGGATATAGCACCTTATGTCGTTCATGTACAAAAAAATTAAACACATCCTAATGACAACACTACATTAAATCCTATTGCATTTGGTCGCTTTTTACACACTAATAAGATAAATAATATAGCGAATGGTAGCCTCAAAAGAATAGGAAGAAACCGTTTACCGCTTTCTTTCTCAAATTTTGAAAATGCAAATGCATTTTTAAATAATAGTATCTTAGAGACGCATAATTTTAAGGCATTTATACCTTCTTTCCATGTAACCCGTATGGGAATTGTGAGGGGTATTCCTAAAGAATGGACAGAAGAGGAAGTAATCCAAAATATATCAGTACCTATAGGTTGTGGGAGAATTCTAAAAACCAGAAGAATAAAGAAAAAGACCATTAATGAAGGATAACCAAGTTTTATTAATACTGAAACCATTGTTATTACTTTTGATGGACAAATATTACCAAAAAGAGTATTTATGTTTTACACATCATTAACTGTAGATTTGTACATTTACCCCACTATCCAATGCTATAACTGCTGTAGGTTCGGACATGTCAAGATGCAGTGTCGTTCAAATCCTTAGTGTTATAAATACAGGCAAAATCATACAGGTGATAAATGTGAAGTAGATGAGGAAAATGTTTCTTGTATCTTGTGTAATGGTTCTCATTGAGCAGTTAGTAAGAAATGTCCTGAATATGCACGTCAGAAAGCCATTAAAGGAACAATGGCCCACAGTTGTGTTTCTTATGCTGAAGCATTAAAATTTCATCCTCCAACTTCTAAACTATATTCAGATGTATTAACATCATCACCTCCGTCCAATAAATCTCATTTTCAATCTTCTTTCCTTAAAAAAAATCATCATTACCACATATTCAATCATCATATAAAAAAACAGTTACACTTAAACCACGCTCTCCTCAAAAAGCACAACAAGGATATGATCGTTCTGCTCATGAAGCCATAGTTAAGGAATATAATATTCCTGCTCCCTCTAATGGTTGTGCATTATCATCAAACAATATTGAAAATAATCAATCCATCATTGATATTATTCTCATGCTTATTAAAGTGTTATCGCAATCGAAATTGATACAAAAAACTTGACCACCGTCCAACGATGCCATTTACAATGTATTTTCTCAATTATTAACTTCTCACAATGGATTACAAAGTACAAATAATACAATGGAACTGTTGTAGCATAACAAACAAGAAATCAGACTTATTTTATTTGATTAATAAATATAATCCTTTTATAATAGCTCTCCAAGAGACTTGGTTAAGGCCAGGATATCCTTTTAGGATTTCAAGCTTTACAAGTCTTAGTGATGATAGAGCTGACGGATATGGCGGTGTCGCCATATTGGTCAAAAACTCCCTTAATTTTTCTTCTTTTTCGCTTCCTGTATATAGCGGTATTAATGCAGCTGCTATAGTTATAAATGGTATCTGTTTTGTTACTTTATATATTCCTGATCCTACATGACAAATATATTCACAACTAGAACAATTATTTTCAATTTTACCTAAACCTTTTCTTATAATGAGCGATTTTAATGCTCAGCACCAATCGTGGGGCCGTTGTACTTCTAATTTTTATGGTGGAAAACTCCTGACGATAATTGACACTTACAACTTATGTATTATTAACTCAGATGTACCGACACGTAGAACTGCACCGAATGAAGGGTTTAGTGCTCCTGATATTTCAATATGCTCTTCTGATTTAGCTTCTTCACTGTCGTGGTATCCTCATTCCTCTACCTTCGGAAGCGATCACTTTCCCCTCATTCTTTCTTTTCCAATTTCCATTCCCTCAAGTCGAAAGAGTGGTCCTCGACTTAAATATAATTTATCAAATGTAGACTGGAATATTTACAAACAATATTTAGATAATAAAATATCGGAGTTACCTATTGTTTATCATGGAAATGAACATCAATGTTGTAATGACTTGATAATTAATATGAAGGAGGTTGCTGATTTATTATTTCCTGTTAAAAATAGTGCTTCGGAAGCGATCACTTTCCCCTCATTCTTTCTTTTCTACCTAGACGGTATACCGTATTCCTTTTTTAAAAATGCTAGCGATGCTACATTAATTTACTTTTTAAATATAAATAATTCTGTAATTATTTCGGGAAATATACCTACTTCATGGAAGTCTCAGATTATTATACAATTTTTAAAGCCTCATAAACCACCTTCTGACCCATTTTCATACCGTCCTGTTGCACTTTCCTCTGTCTTACTAAAGCTAGCTGAACATTTAGTGAAGAACTGTCTAGAATGGTTTTTAGAAAGTAATAACTTACTATCCCCTAACCAGTTTGGTTTTAGGAAAGGTAAGAGCACTTTAGATAATGTGAGCATTCTTATTTCAGATATTCATATAGTTTTCTCACAAAATTTGTCAATCCTCTCAGCCTTTTTAGATATAAATTCTGCCTATGATAATGTAATAATTTCTATTTTAAAAACTAAATTACAAGCTCTAAATGTACCGGTAATGCTTTCTAATTTCATAATTAATATTTTATCAGAAAGAACAATACATATGGATCTAGATGAAGATACCAAATTATCTAGAACAGTATGGAAAGGCCTTCCTCAAGGGTCTGCTCTCAGTCCAATTTTATTCATCGTATGTGTATATGCATACGATTTAGAATCATTCCTTGATAAATCCATCAAAATTTTACAATATGCTGATGATCTTTTATTATATTTTATTGCGAAGTCTATAATCTGATTCTATAATCTGCTTCTGCCAAATTATCTGATTCATTAGATTTGTTAAAAACGTGATTAGATGCAAATGGTCTTAATCTTTCCGTAACCAAGAGTAGTGTAGTTTTGTTTACAAGAATGAGATCACCGCAACAAATTAAGGTGCTTTATGATAACTCATACATTCCTATAAAGACTTAAAATAAAATTTTTAGGTATCGTGCTAAATAATAAATTAACGTAGTCTGTCCTACTGTAATTATATTTCCACGAAATGTGAGTGTAACTTCAACATTCTTAGGTGCCTTGCTGGAATGTGGTGGGGAGCACATCCCGTTTCACTAAAACTTGCTTATAATGGTCTTATAAGGAATGTCATTGATTATGGAACTTTTTTGTTAGCTCTAGGAAGTTCATATGCTTTTAAGAAATTGGATTTAATTCAATCAAAGGCCTTGAGGATTATCTCTGGAGTAATGAAATCAAGTCCAATCATTGCTTTACAGTTCGAAGTCGGTGATCCACCTTTAGTTTTAAGAAGACAATATCTATCTGATCGCTTCTTTTTTCGTTGTTTACAATTATCTGATCATCCGCTTATTTAAAAGTTATCTCAACTACATATCTTTATTTCGTCTTCATCTTATTGGAACCATAAAAAACCTCTATGTTTAATAAAAAGTTATCAGAAATATAAATCCATAGAATCCCCCACTTTTACATCTTCCTATTTTCCCATTTATAAATGTTCATATCAATCTTTAGTTTTATCTCCTAATATTAAATATGATTTTGGATTATCAAAAAATGATTCAGAATTGAATACCAAATTTATGTTTATAACTGACATTGAATGGAGTGAATGGCACTACATCTTTACTGATGCATCAAAACCAGACAATAGTGGTTGTGTAGGTGTGGGTGTGTTTCATTCACAATTTAATATCGTTCACAAAATTAAACTTCCACCGGAATCTTTAGTTTTTACCGGGGAATGTTATGGTATTTTAAAAGCTGTTGAATATATACTTGTAATGAAATTACAAAAGACAATAGTTTTCACCGAATCTATGAGCTCTTTGCAAGCTCTAGCCAAATATCCGTTTAAATCAAAACCAGTTTATCCCATTATTTGTGACAAACAAGACAAAGTTTTTATTTTTGCATGTTGAGAAGGTATTCCGTTTCTTTTGCCTGGTTACCAGGACAAAGTGGTATTAGCAGCAATGACAAAGCTGACCTTATTGCAGGAGAGGCTGTGAGTTGTGGTGATATGTATCCGTATCATAATTACTGTAGTGACCTAGCTTGTCTTTAAAAAATATATTTAAGGTATGCCTGGAAGGAATATTGGAAAAAAACCAGTACAATAAAAGGAAAATTTTATCGCCATATACAACTCGATATTCCTTTTAAACCATGGTTTTATAAATTAAAGCTTGGAAAGACCGCAACTACTATTTTAACTCGTATGCGTCTAGGTCACGTATGCACACCTTCTCATTTATACAAGCTTGGTTTATGTACAAAGTTCGTCATGTAATTGCGCTGCTGAAGTGGCGGACTTGAGTCATATATTTTTCTCATGTTCTAAATTTGACCATACCTTCCTTTTTAATCATCTCCGATCCATCCGTGTTCCATTCCCAACTTCTATTCTTACTCTACTTTCTTCCAATGATCCTATTATCTATAAAATACTATCATCATATATATATGATAACAATATTAATATTTAGTTATATTATATGAATACATTTATAGTTGCATCAATTGCTTTTCCTATATATTTATAAGTATCTTCTCATATGTACAAGTATATCCTTCATATCTTATACCTAATCCTTATCCTTTCTAAATTCGTGTGTTGGGTATTTTTATTACTACTGTCGTTTCCCTGTTTTGTTCTTGGCAAAATACCCTAATATCGGGGTGAACACCACAAAAGAAAACTAAAAAAAAATTAAATGTTACTAAGATAAAGAAAGAAACTTATTAAAAAGTATCCGAAAATATTTTTTGAATATTTAGATCACGCTTACACTGCTGAACGAAATCGAATGAAATTTAGTACACGGATAGGTTATGTCCAATTTAATATATAGGATACTTTATATACAGATTAGCTTTTACTTGTGACTACGTCCGTGTGATTAGAATAAGTAGCTTATATCTTATATCCTTCTCTATTCCATATAATACATGTATATCAAATTTGATAGTGATTGGTGAAGCTGCTAAAAGTAACAAACAAACTCACCTTCACTCAACTTTTTCCCACGAGTGCCAGATATATCAAACCCGGTCCAGGCTTTGGTCATTTCGGCTTTTGGTTTCATTCCATAATATAAGTAGTGTACCAAATTGCAGTCTTGGATTTTGAAAAAAAAAAAAAAATTGTCTGTCTATAAACAAAGTCTCAAACCTTAAATTATATCTCAAACCAAATAATTTTTTATCGGACTTGAATCGTAAAAATAAATTTATTTTTATAATAGGTCAATGTTTATTATGGTGCTCTACTTCATTACACAATTGTAAAATTTTATATAATATCGAGGTCTTAGTAATGAAAACTATAAAAAATGTGATAAAATTTTGTTTATTATACCGAGTTAATGAAAATAACAAATATTACAATATTGAATAGGTAATATTTTTACACTTGTGTCTATGTGATAAAAAAAGACTGTTGAATTATTAAATAATAAACGAAAACATTGGATTACTACATAAGTATATATTGATACTTGTTATTGATTTTATGTAGGTAGGTATGCAAAAGTATTACATGAACTGTATTCCTGTTAAATTAATTTGCGCTGTGAATTGCAACGTTGTGTTTAATCGTCATGTCCGCGCTCGTCGTCGCGGCGGCGGTTGCGCGTGCGCCGGTTCCAGCCTTCCCGCGGCCGCTCGCGCTGTCGACCCTCGCCGCGACCAGCGCCTCCACGTTGGAAGAACGAGCCCTGCTTCTCAAATATCCGCTCGTTTGAATCCACTAAATTGCCAACCTAGTAAAAAAGTACATAGTTTTATAATAATTTAAGAGAACTAAAATTATACTACCATTTAATATGAAGTATTCCATGCTTTCATTAATTTAGAGCAAATGAAATATTATAATTAAGAAAATAAAGTTACATATCTGAAATTATAAAGATATAAATTAGATAGTAATGGTAGTTTTTTTAATATTGACATTAAAAAAATTACCTTATCAGCAAGTTGCAGTGCCAGTGCTTGCATTCTAGTTGGTTCAGATCGGTGTAGTATCGCGCATTCGCTCGGATCATCCAGTGAAGCCAGAAGCTCCTCATTGATGATCATTTTGGACACGAGCGAGTGTACACGTTGACGAGGCAATTCGAACATATCGGCGAGTGATCGGAGCGATAGAGAAGCGTACACGTGTGCATACGTGAACAAATAAGTGCGTAACGACTCCTCACGTATCAGCCGACCGAGCATTGCGCGAACATTGTCCGCACCAACCATGAGGTCCCATACCTGTATTCATAAAAAATGTTTTAAATGTAGTTAAAATTAAATACAAACATGTGCCATGTATAAAACGGTAATGTAAAGTTTACCTTGGCGTTCATTTTTTCGTTAACAATAAAGTTTAGGCATGCTCGCCAGTCGCCACGACGCATTGCTCTAGCTGCTGCCACAGCGTGTTCGCGCATAGACTCCGGCGGACCTACCAGTGCCTGTCTTTCACTAGCACGTAAATTTTGGTAGAATGTCTTACTAATCATACGACGTCGAGCATCAAACTCGTGAGCCGCCATATATGGGATTTCAATTAGCATCGCAGACACCAAGTACACACATTCAAGTAACTCCAAGTTTATGTGCATATGGAAGGGCATTTGACGTTGTTTCTCAATCTTTTCCTGTTCCTTGGACCGTTCATGTTGACGCTGCGGTAGTAACCCTTGTGCAAGTAATTCTTTGGGCTTTCCTGTCATCATTAACTCTGCGAGACATCCATGAGCTTCCTTCACATTCCCACGGCGGAATGCGCAAAGACCTAAATTCGCCATGGTACGATTATACAATATCTGAGTACTTGGATCAGAATGTTGTACAGTTTCTTGAAGATGCGACATAAGAAGGAGATCGCGAGCTTGGAACCAATTGTCATGTAAAGCATGATGATAAATATGAGACAGTATAGCACGAGTCCTCAATCTATCAGTTTCATCATGAGCATAGATATATTTGCAAAGACGTTCCATTTTTTTAATAGTAGTTTCTTCTCCTGGAGGCAAATCTTTTTTTACAGAACGTTGATCGAACTTATAATACAAGTGATCGATTTTGCGTAAGTAAGCACGGCATATTTCTTGGGGTGTTCCATCTCGTTCTACCACTTGACAAACTCTGTCAATAAGAGTAGAAACGCGAACTTCATCTTTAAGTCTCTCTACATATTCATTAGAATGGGGATCACACTCTTTTAATAACTTCGTAAATTCGTCATCAAGACGCTCCAAAGCCGTTAACAAACAACCCCTAACGCGATAAGGCGCAGTGACAAGTTGTTCGTTTTCTTCAGTGATCGCCTCACTGAGCTGCATATCCTCATGACTCGAAAGGATAGTGACCATCTGATCAACATTTTCTACAAGCCTTGACCAGTATTCTGGTTTCATAGCATCGGAAACTTTAGGGTTGTAGTCGAACAGCGCGGCTACTGTGGCAGCGCGGAGTTTCAATTGAAGGGCATCACCTAGATTATGTTGTTGAGCAACAGTCCGTAGCTCGTGTAACAATTCCAGTTGTGCACGACGATCAGTACGTTTTCGACCACGAGCTGCGCTAATTTCGCCTAGTTTCTTTACTACGAGAGCAGCATCAATATCGCTATCCTAAAATACATAAAGAATGATAATATAAAATTTTCATAATTGTGTAAATATAACTCCCCCCAACATATATAAAAACAACCCCTACCCTCTCCCATAGGAGCTTATGTTCAGCAGTGGGCAGTTAACAGCTGATATGATGATGAAATTCTAATAAATGTGTAAATTTAGGATTAAATAACTAAACATCTTTACTTACAAAGATGTCTGGCAGCTACCAAAGTTGATTGTTTTTTATAGAAAATCCACCACCAATAGTGGTGAGTCATTAGCTTGTTTATCATTTTCAGTTGCATAAAAAAGGCATGTTAATTAATTACGCTCAAATTTATCCACTGTATTGTTAGCTTACCTTAGCAAACATTTTGGGTTTGTCAGATGTTGCGGCACCCTTTCTAACAGTCTCCCATTCACCACCATCATCAGCTTGATCTTTCTTACTAGTTTTCCCAGCTCTACCTTGTCTCTCTTCACGCCGTTTGGCTCTTCGTTTATCACGTTCCTCATCCTCATCTCTTTCTGTATTTCTTTTGAGAAAACGTTCACGGATGGTAGCTGCGCCACGTTCTTCATAGTCAGAACTAGAGCTCGATTCTGAAGAGCTTGAACCCCAATCCATAGAATCTGAAGATTCATCGTCTTGTGGTGGAGCTCGTCGTGGTATTTCAGGTGATCGACGAGCTTTAACCTTTTCCTTAACTTTGTCTTCATCATCATCAGACTCATCAGAAGATGAAGTATCTGAAATAGTGAATGGTTCAAGCACTTTTGAATTATTATTTTTATATTCTTCCTATATTGAAAATATTATCAGCTAAGAAAAATGAGCAAGATACTCAAGTGTTATTTTCAAAGAATAGCTTATGAATTTTTCAAGTATAATTTTGTGTGAATACAAACTATTAATAGCATAAAATCAAAATATTAAACATGTAAAATAAATCTTACTAAAAATACATCAGTTGGTTATAGTGTCTGGAGTAGAGTAGTCTCTATAAGTAGCACCCATGTAGTTTGATGGAATAATCTGCCACTATTTTATGCTACATGACAATTATAGTATATATAATAAAGCAATGAGAAATCAATAGAAACTGAATAAACGTGAAAAAACGATGTGTTTTAGTTTTTCTATTGATATAAAATTTATTTTGCAATCAATACATATAATAAAATCGTAACTAGTCGCTGTCTGTACATGGAAGATATATATAAAACTATTATAGGGCGGCTTTATAAATGCAATAGAACCCAAAACAATGATGACTGTATTTTTATGCACGCTAATTTCAAAAACAGTTCAACGGATTTGAATGCGGTTTTCACTAATGTATTGTACAAAACGCTATGGGAAACAGCTAGTAGATATATATATATATATATATATATATATATATATATATATATATATATATATATATATTTTAAATTTGGCATATCTAAATGAAAGGTTAAAATTTTCTCTTGCAACAACCAATCTAATGGGATTTGAGTATGAGTATACTTTATTTGCATTGTACAATATAGGAAATAAACAAGACAATTTACAAACATAACGATACAATTGTATAAGTACAGTAAGGCGGTCTTATTGCTGAGAGCAATCTTTTCAAGACAACCTTAAGGTAATGGACTAATTGTTGTACAAGTAGGTATAATAGTGCTTTATAATTAAAAAAGCATCTTTTGAATTTGAATTGTTTACTAGAAATACTATCACATCAACTTATTTTTAAGTAATTTAAAAATTCATATTTTTGTAAAAAATATTATATACTATTAGTAACTAAATATTAAGTAATTAGTAATAGTATTAATATTTTTATTATAATCTATAATGTATATATATGTAATAGAAAATGCTGCAGTACAGGAAAGTACTATTTAAATTTACCTTTACGCTCCTCATCATCATCAGGCAGATCCGGATCTTCTCGGAATTTAGTAATTTCAGATTCAAAGTCCTTGGTATATTTCCTTAGCTTTTGTCTCAAGGAGGTAAGAGCTTTACTATTGCCTTTAGACAAGGCCTTCCGCCCATCACGGTCAGCCCAAGCTCCCACAACCCAATCATCTAATTCTACAAGTGCCCTAATAAAAAAGCGGGGAGCAATTCCATTCTCTTCTTTTTGTACCACTGGTGCAGCCCGAGTATAAGCTCTTTGCAGTTCTTCAAACGAAGCTAAGGCTGAAGTGAAGTCCTTGATTTTGCGGTGGTTGCGTAAAGAGTGAATAATACCTTCCAATTCTTCATACCGCTTTTCTTTCATGGAACGCACAACACGTTTAGTTTCTTCTTCATCATCACTGAACTGTAGGAAAATATTAATTTATTTACATACTAAATAATATGTGAATATTTTTTTCATCATTATTGTTAGTAGGGCAACAGCTTAAAAATAAAAAAAATCAAGTCAAGGATTAGAACTTGAATTACGGAATAAAATCAGTTTTCAATTTCAGTTTCTTGTGCCCTGATAATTTTGTAGAATTGAGTCTATTTTAATGTTTATTTTAATTTCCATAATTATACCATAAAATACACATTGATTTTATGGAATTTAGTTATAAATATTTTTTGTTACAGTATTATAGGACTACAGATTTTAATACTAGAAATAAATCTTACTTTAAAAAAATTGTTTGAAGTATTTAAGATCCTCTACCTTAAAAGACACACCAGGCAATCTGATAGGACTATTATCCAAGGAAATCAAACTCAAGCAGGACAAAACAATGCTTATATTATAGGTGTGATGGGTGAAACTGAAAACTGGAAGTGCTTGGTATCAAGATAGTGTTTGATATTTTTGTATAGTGCACATTTGTATAGTGTATTTTTGTATTCTTCTATATCACAAAATAGAATACCCAGAGGATAAGATATTAGGAAATATGCTGCGACAAGAGCACTACTACAAGCAAGTGATGCTTAGGCCATTACTAATTTGTCACATTTTGGCCATTACTAAGTTGCATTGGAATAATCCAGTTTATGTTGGCTCTCTTAGTGCCTAAAATGGAAGGTTGCACAACACACGTGGTTTAAGCTAAATTGTCTAATGCACTGTACAGTGTGCAATAATGATAATAAAAAAAATATAAATATCTTTTTTAATTATTAATAAATTCACTAGGTAATTATATAATATTATTTTTAATTTTGATTATATTACAATATATTTATTACAAGACTAATGTACTATGTGGAACCTGTTGAAGTTTTTTATTTGAATATTAAGTATTTTAAGATTATACTGACATTATAAAATAAAACTAAATTCTATTATTTGATCTCTAACCTCTAAATTTGACTAAACTTGATTAAACTAACTTTGTTGAGTTTGACTAATTTGGGTCCAATTTAGCTCAAATGGACTTAAATTAGCCAAATTTAATTTTTTATAAATATATGTAGAAAATACCCAGACTTATACAGTCATACTTATAACTACAATTATTTTTATTGTGCTATGATCAAATGCCCGATTATCAGAAAATGAGGTGATGTGAAAACTGCTAGATTATAAAGTTTTTACAACAGTTTTTTTTAATTAACTTTTTAAAACAATTTAAAAAAAATTCTTATAAGACACTAGCTATCTTCAATGGTTTTGCCTTATGAATCAGTATATAAATTATCTTATGTATTAAGTTGGAATATAACTAAATTTCATTAAAATCTGTTCAGCTATTTAAGTGTGACTGAATAACAAACATAATGCAATGAATACTGCATGATTGAGTATAAACATTTGCTATAGTAGGTATGTGATCAAGCTGTATTAATGGCTTTTATAAAAAGGGTAGTTATTAAAATTCTTCATTTTTTGACTTGATGATTCATAAAATAGGTTACATTTGGATTATGATGAAAAATATATCTTTTTTATTTATTTAGCACTCTTGTAACAATTTACACATTTGTCCATACATGAAAAGAGCTTTTCTTCTGGTTGTTCTGTGTCTACACAGCTAAATACAATGCCAATAATAATGTTTATTATTGGCATCTATGTTCCACAAAAAAAAACATAAATCTTGACTTTAGCCTTTCCAGCAAGATATTTTATAACATACAAAAAATATATGCAAAATAAGAATTCCCTTGAAAATTTAATCATTTCTGGTTTGGATTATTTGTCAATTTTTAAGATCAAGTTTCAAAAGTGTGTTTTGAAGTTCTGAAGTTTTATAGGAATAAAGTATTTAGATACTTCAAAAGTAAAACAAAGTAATTGCAATGTTTATAGTGGTAGATTCATTTACTGGTTAATTTATTAACATTATAATTTGCTATAAGGAAATTTTTTAATAGTAATTCAGAAACCTTGTTTATGTCTGAAAATTAGATAAGTGGCTAGCTTTAAAGGCAGTTTAATTTATTTAGTAATTGAAGATTTTTATACAAAAGTACTTAATAAAATTTTTGATGGAATGAACCAAATTAATTCAATATTAAAATATATTAAGCACTGGTAATGTTGACATATCTTTCACTTTAAGAAGTCTAATACAGTGAAAACTCTATATAGCGAAATTGAAGGGATTGGGTATTTTATAAGTTTAATTATAAGTAAATTATAATAAAATATAAGTTTTTGTTAAACATAGAGTAAAAACAAATATAATTTTATGAATAAATACATTTTAATTTTGATTAAATTAAGTAAAAAATAATTACATAACAAAATTATAATCAGTTATCTTTGATTGTCATTTTTTATTATGTCAGTATTTTAATTGTATCTTTCATTGTATTTTATTCATATCTTAATATAGTGGGATTATCTTCATTAAATAAAAATAATTATTCTTAAAAGAATAAAATATAATTTACAACTCTGTGACAGTAATTGTGTTTGAAAGTCAGTGAAACTAATGTTTATCGGGTTCTAAATAATGATGTATTGTTTCGCTATTGAGAGTAGTTGCAATGCTATAGTGTTACAATACAAGAATAACAATATAAACTGAATATAAAATAAATTGGCAATTTCTACATTTTAAGGAGTTTTTCGTTAAATAGAAGTTTTATGTGTTATTTCTAACCGTATAGACAGGTGCTTGAGTGCGGACGATCGGCTCCTCATCAGTGCAGCTCTCGGATTCGGAGTCAGTACCGGTAGCGAAGAATCGACTCATGATGACAGTCTATTTATCTTTAAAAATAAATATTTTTTAGTGCTTAGTTAATATTAAACTGTTTTTCAAATAGATTCTTAAAGAAATGATTAATACGTTGCTTGGTAAGGTAAAGTTAGGTTAGTGTTAAGTCACTAATAAAAAATATTATAGATTACCTTTCGTAGGTATAATTTTCTTTCAAAATATATTTAACAATGAATGAATTTGTTATTATCTTCATGAAAATATTGTAATTGATGTTATTGAAAAACGTGAACGTAATCTCACCCACGACACGACAACGAAAAGAAAGCTTTTTTTAATCTAATCCTACACTATGTCAAATGTCAGTCATGTGTCATTATTTTAAAAATTATTTAGATGATCGCCTATGAAACTGTAATTATCATATATGTCATCATCTTTCTACTCTTATCCAAATTGTTATTTGTGATCGGCATTATCAAGTTTTCTCTTCCATTCTTCTCTATTTATATTCATATTAAGAGTGAGGCGTATTTATCATAACAGATATAAATCACAAGTATTCGACGATAACAGTTGTATTTACGATGTCATTATATTTGTTAAAAAATATCATTTATAAATCACCATACTCAAGTTATTCAACCGCTATCAACAATCAACATTTTCAGTATTCGATAGCCGGTCACTAACATAGCTTGAAATAACAGAACAGCCAATAAAAATGAAACAACAATTCTTGTCTTTGTCTTTTGTACAATTTTGTCATAAGCTAAAACGAGACACACCTAGTATTTATTTAAAATAAACCAAAATTATAGTAAGTCGTTTCATAAGAAGAAATCTTTGAAAAGCGAATTCTTAATTAGATCGTGTTATCTGTTATTTCATTGATTAATCACATGACACGGAAAACTTATTAAAGGTTACGTATTAAATTTATTTATTTACATTACAATTTAGGAAAATATTATTAAAATAATGTACATTGTGTAAGTGTGTGTAGGATACGTCGGTTGTATAACCTTATAATGTAATTAATGTTGTAATATTCATAACCAGAGCAAATTGTATAATAGTGCCAACACCATGGGGTGAGAACACTGGTGATCTGTAACACAGGTTTATTCTACTTCAGACACCAGTTCTTCACAATATATTAACTTATTTAACCTTCAAAAATGAATATATTAGAATGTTATAGATGTACAACTGGTATTGTGAGGGGGGAAAGAGATTGTTAGTAATGGAAACTGAGAATCACATTCCTAGTAAATTACCCAATTAGGTCGACCTCCACGCGGTTCTCCCTGGAAACTATCATGGTTAATTCCTGATGAATTCATCATGATGGGCTGACTGGCCTGCTTTTATTCTCATCTATCACCTTTCACTGGTGCTCCGCCAACGTATCCCATTAGCGCAGGCGGGGTTATTATTCCGTTTTCACCTATAAAAAAAACTTTTACAAAATTCACATCTCCCCTCTTAAGGAGAGGAGATGGCAACTAACCCCCGGCAGAAGCATAGTCGGCTCGGGTTCAGGGCCCCAGGGAGAGAAACCGGCGTACAATGCGGGCAGAACTAAAAGCACCGCTTTCTGCATCTTTTCCGGGAGTGAGCCGCCTCGAAATTCCAACCGTCTGAGATGTTGTTCCAGACTGGTTGGGATAAGACCGTTCACCGACAAAATGATTGGAATGATTTTGGTGGACGTCACCCCCCACATTTCGGTTACCTCGTGAACGAGGTCGAGATATTTTATCTTTTCTCGGTTTCGGCTTTCATGAGGTTCTCGTCATGCGGTATGGTGACATCTATCAAAAACACCCTCGAGAGTGCCCGGATCGGGCCATCACCACGATATCAGGTTTGTTCGCGAGAACTGTCCTGTTCGTGATGATGGATCGGCCCCAGTAGAGCCTGACGCTTACGCGTCACTTTATTTAAGCCCGGTGGGCCGAGTTGGCGCTATTGTAAATAGCGCCGGCTAATGGAACATTTTGTGGGAAAATGTAATAAGTGTAAATTCACGTCGTGGACTGTGCAGGGCCGGTTTAACCGTCGCCCTGCGTGGGGCCAGCTAGGAGATCTCGCGGTAATGCGCGCGTAGCGTCCGGTGGACGCGCATGTAATGGGGCAAGGTCCCTAAGGTATGGGTGGACGCTATTATCCGCTCGGCTGAACATAGCGCATGCCAGCCGGCGGACAAATTCGTCCACGCTAGGGACCGCGAGATCTCGGGCTATTACGTCATTTTTGACGTATCTATTAGCATCTGTGCGCGCGCGGCCTTTGCCTGTCTGACCGCGCGTGTAACTTGCGCGGTCATATGCAACGACCGGTCTATCTCGACCCCTAGGTAGCGCACTGTGCGCTCCCATGCTATGGGTAAACCACGGAGGTAGAGAGGCGGCGGGTATCGTGTCCTGCAACGAGTGGCGAGCGCCACCGTCTTTCCCAGATTGACGGTGGTGCGCCACTTATCGAGCCACTCGGGCAGGAGGTTCAGCAGCCGAAATTCTCCAGTAAAGTACTGAGTGACTACCAAAAAAAGCGGAAACTAATTCATTCAATGATTGACATTGAATGAATCAGTTTCTGCTTACTTCAATCAAATTTCTATCAATGCAGTCATCAGTCAGATAGATTGAGTTCTCTGATTCTTATTACATTTACTGCTTTATATACGATTTTTCTTTCATCTATGTTTCACTTATTTTACAATTCTTTAATTATATTATTATGTTCTTTGCAATAAAAAAACACAGAAATTTATAGATGGAGTTTAATAACTTAATATTGCCTATAACGAAAAATATCTGTCGAACTTGTCTTGGAGAATTAGTGGATTCAGACACAAACATGTTCATGAATATACAAGATTTAATTGAACACGATATGAATAAGATAAAATTGATTGATATTCTGGTATTTCTTAATTGCCTAGAGGTAAGACTGAAATTGTAAAATTTACATAAACACTATACAACTACTTACTGTAATTCAAGTATTTAAATTTTGACGCGTTCCTTGGAATCCCAAGCATCTTTAAACACACTGATATTATCTTCTGTAATATTTTGTTTTAATTGTGGAATTAATGTGGTACTGGTATAAAATGGGCCACTTCCTTTCCTGTAGGTGTCGTAAGAGGCGACTAATAGAATTTTGATAGAAAAGGTATGGGCAACAGGACCCCTCTTAAAAGAACATCAAAGCCTAGTTGCGATTGCCAACTCGCATGCCAAGTGTGGCGACTTCTAGTAAAACCCCTTCAATAGGGAGACAGCTGATATGATAATGATGATGGAATCCATTGTATCATCATAGTCATAGAATACTGACAGATCTGACAAATATTACATATAAAGATCCGTCAGTATTCAACGACTATGACGGTATATCCACATATAATAAGATACAAAATTTAGCATTTTTAGAATTTAGAATAAAAATTTAGATTTACAAAAATTATGTTAATTAATATCTTTTCAGAATAATGATGAAGAAAATTGGCCACAAGGAATGTGTGCTTCATGTGTTTTGACAGCTTTACATGCTTATAATTTTAAGCTTAACTGTTTAAAAGCTAATACAACTCTGACACAGTTATTTAGCATCCAATCACCTACAAATTTACAAAGGTCTGATATTGATTCTATTGATATTAATGTGGTATACCAGGATCATGAATATGATGCACCACTCTTCAGTAATCATCCAACATTAGATTTTGAGCCCACAATAAGTACTAACAAGGAATTGACTCCTTTGCCTCCAGTAACAGAAATTACAGCAACAGAACACCCTCCAAGAAAGGAAGGGGATAAAAGATATATTTGTAATATATGTTCCAAGTCATTCACCAGAATATATGGTTTGCGTTATCATATGACTAAGCATAGTGATATTCGCAAATATTTGTGTTCCAAATGTGGCAAGAGGTTTCATACTTCCAGTGGTCTACAACAGCATTCCATTTCTCATAAGGATGTTGCCCAATTTAAATGTGGATTTTGTAATAAGACTTACAAATCACGTCAATCATTGAAAGAACATTTTCGTGTGGCACATTCTAGCAACCGTAAACTTTTTGTATGTGTCACATGTGGAAAGAGTTTTACAGCAAAGTCAACTTTAATGATGCATATAAAAAGCCATAATGGAGAAAAACAGTTTGCTTGCCCTAATTGTCCAAAAACATATACAAGAGCATCATATTTAAGGGCACATAGTTTGATTCATACTGGTCAAGAGAGACCAAAGCCATTTTTGTGTCAACAGAGTGGCTGTGAAAGGAGATTTTCAACTAAGCATTCTTTGCTGGTGCATATTGCACATACACATACCACTGAGAGACCTCATAAATGTAATATATGTTTTAAAGGTTTTGCTACTACATCAGGCCTGAAGATACACAGAGAATCACATAGCAATAAGGAGCTAAATTGTAGCAGATGTGGGAAGAACTTTGCCAATAAGAGATTATTACAGAAGCACAGCAAGGGACATGATGTAGATACTGATGATATGATATTGGAGACAGTAGTAGATGATGTTTTCTTTGATTAATGTGTTTGTTATTTCTATTTAATGTGATTTCTTTAGATGTTAAGTTAAACTTTTTTTTAAGAATGTTTATAGTCACAATCCCACCATGTTAAGTAAGAATTAAATAAATTTTTAGATATTGTATCAGGCATTATATTATTTACATAAATTATACATAATAAAAGTATGTCATGGCTTATTACAGTAAACAAGGGTTGTGCAATTTGTAATAGGTGGGAAGCATAGAACTGATTTTTTCATCTCGGAGCAGAATATTCTCAACTGTACTGTGAGTGCAGGGATTAATTATAAGTAATTGGTACTTATAATTTGGTATAATTAAAGCACAGATTTGTACTTTAATCTGTGTTTGTAATTGTTTATGTCTCTGCATATAGGAATTTAGCATAATTAACTTTTTAATTGATTGATTTTGTGTGTTCCGTTACCTACTTAAAATTTCATAATTTTCTTACTGGGTTGTCAATTTAGTCATAACATATATAAGCAACCTATAAATTATACCGTTATCTCCAGTTTGGTTTTATTAATTTTATAAAATTCCTTGCAGTTCTCAAAAAAATATTGTATTAAACTAGAAAAACCATTACTGTAATTCCTAATTCGTATGAAGTAGACAGAAGTTTGTATCAGATAGATCATTGATTAAGGATAGCTAAAGGCCGTTTTGGTGAATATACTGATACTTCTTGGAATAATTGGGTTTGTTTTTTTTTTTTTTATCACAGGTTTATTGTATTATAGATAGATAATCAGTTATTGGTGCAGATTTAAAACTTACACAAGACATTAAGAAAAATAAGAGCTGTGTATTATTTCATTATGGACTGATATAGGCATATGACATATATTCTAAGCAGATAAAATGAAACACAAAGCAAACAAAATTAAAAATGAAGTTTATTTTCCTTATATATATTTGCCTAATACTTTATAATTACTCCTAGACGTATATCTTACTTTTATGGAATAAAATAAAAATATATAGCATGCATATGTATTACATCAGCCTAAGCATTGTCCACTGCTTAATATTGATCTAACTGAATTCTTCACACATGTTTTGTGTTTAATGCATAATTTTGAGTTTATTAGTTATTTGAGAAGACCTACTGCCATGAGGGGGGGAGGGGGGGTGTTGGTGGACTACTAACAATATATCCTGTCAGGCATTATTTCACATGTTAATTCCTAGTCAGTTTGTTATGATAGGCCAATTAACATGACTTCATTCTTATCATCCCTCATTAATGCTTAATAGGCTACCATTCCACTCTCATTCATTAGTTTGAACAGTGTTTAAGTAAGATTTTATACATGTATGCTTATAACATCTTTCATTTGCAACTTTGTGGTATCAATTGAGTAGGCATTCAAATTACATGATAAGCTTATTACACTCATGTATTTATATTATAGATAAGGTTCATTAATATGAGTACATTATGAATAATTCAAAATCTGTTGTTTAAAAACATAAAATTAATAACAATAAAAAATGTATTCATTAACAGATAATAATAATAATTTTTATTTTTTTAGATATTTCTGATCAGATTAAAGTTTTTTTTTTAACTTTTGATGTTTAACTAAGAACATAACTTTAATCTTTTAAATTTAAAATAAAATTTAATAGTAACATTTAATACTACTTATATAACTACAGACTTGCATAAAACATATTTTGGAATTTCTGTTTATATAGCGGATAGAAACTAATTTTGAAGGAAACTGTCTTAATAATAATAGCACAGATATTCTATGTTTGCTTATTATTTAGAAAATTCTTATAGAGGCCACAAATGCGGTCCATTCCAGTGTTTATACAAAGTTGTTTAAAGAGTAAACAATAGTGATTAAATTTTAACAAAAATATATGTATTTAAATAAGATAATAATGGAAATTTTTACTAGTCAATGTACTAATTAACTATTTACCAAGTATTTTGTTCATTTGTTTGTTTTGTTTACCAATTTTAATGTCTGTCCCTTCAACCTTGTCATGTATTGTATCTATGAGTTTATTTTGATTTTCAATCTCCTCTCCTAAAGCAGTTCCCAGTCCCTTGAGTCTTGATATAGCATGGACCATCTCATCTAAATTTGCATCAAGCATTTCATTTACACGTCGACTATTTGGAACTGGTTGATCACTTTGCTGGTCCAAACCTCGTAACCGTACTGATGGATGTGTGTCAAAGCGAGTATCACCAACTGGTTGAAGTTTGTCAACAGTGTCAGTTAGATGACTGCCACTAGGGCCACCCTGGACGCTGCTTGAATCTGGCGACATTTGACTTCGTGGAGGGGTTTTATCAGTCTTCCCAGAGATATAGTTTTTGAGTCCATAGAAAACTGATTTTATACCATTGAGATGTCTTTGACTGTCATTCAAGTCAGCATTGATTTTGTCAAGTTTTCTATTGGTGTTCTGCAATTGTTCGCGTTGTCGTGTTAATTCTTCAGCTGTTGCAATTCCAATTTGTTCTGATTCACGTAGTAGGCCAATACTTCGGGAGGATGAATCGAGAGTACGTTGTTCTATTTCCTGTTGACGCTGTATCATAGCTTGTCGTTGTCGTTCTAATTCTGCTATGTGACTGCCGTAGGGTGTTGTTGGCTTGGGTTGGGGAGGAGGTATTCTATTTCTTGAATAGCTATTAACGAAAGTTTCGTCGTCAACATCGTCCTCGAATAAATTATTAGGGTTAATGTATTTGTGTCCAGCCATATTATATACGTAAAAGTTGAACGTTTACCGTAAGAGTACAAAACAGTCTTATCCTCAATCTGGAAACAAAGAATAACTAGGAAAAAATTACTGTTTAGAAATGGTAAATAACACTTTTGTGACAATGAATAATCGTAATGAAGAATGACTGAGACAAGGAATAAAATAGGGTCGTTTATCTTTGTCTGAAACTTAAGTGACTGACAGTCTGATATTGACTGATTGCACAGATTAAATAAAAATTATCAAAATTACAGATTATAAAGAGAACTTCGTTGCATTATTTAGTTATAATGTAAATGTTTGAGTTTACGGAGTCATGCATGCATTCATTGTTGTTTTTATATATATATACAGATAGATTCAGAAGTCATTATTTTAAGATTACTCACCTAGGTAGATTTTGTCTTGATTTCAAATTCAAACTAAAACAGCCAGGCCAGCCTTCTGGTGACCAGAAGGCTGGCCTATACCACAGATAATATAATACTATACTATACTTTGGTCAATGCATTTCCATCGCTATTCAGCGTGAAAATGCAGCAAGTATCCTAAGCACCCTACCAGATGGCAGTGATCTCAAAGTAATTTCTTATCTTTATATATATATATATATATATATATATATATTATTTTTAATTACTTATCTCTAATTATATATCTAATACTCAATAACTGAAACATAATGTCAATGAAATATTTACAAGTGTCAAATTTTGGATTTGACAGTTAACAGTACGGAATAGTTGACAGTTGCTGTCAGTAATTGTCAATACACCGTTATTATTATATGCATTTTTATCTTTTCCCGTCTTCTTTTTCTATTATCATTTATTATTATTATTATTGCTTAAGAAAAAAGTATTTGTACTAAGCGAATATCAATATATATGTATATATTTGTGTAATTCACTGAAATAATTTTGTGGCTAAAACAACTTAGTGTTTTCATGATGATGGCAGGAAAAGGTATAACAGGTACTTATTCAATTGTTGTGTTTATTATCCGTGTGATTGTTTTGTTCACTTTACTATTAATTAATTCTTTTTAAACAAAAAACAAACAAATAAACTACATAGTTTTTTTGAACTATTCCATATATTAAGAAATTTATGAAGTTATAACTAATTGTGATTAAAGTACATGTTCTAAAATTTAAATTTACAAACAATAATATCTTTAAGGAACCTACGTCGGTGTAGAGGGAAAGGATTGTTAATAATGGGGATTAGCGACCCTTTGCTAGCACTGTAGCCTGTCTAGTCTGGAAGTCATCATGGTTAATTCTAGGTGAATTTGTCATGATGGGCTAACTGATCAGTTTTCATCTTCATCTCTCTTCCCTCACTGTTGCATCACCAGTGTATATAGATAGCATAGGCAGTGTTATAATTCCATTTGCAGCTATTAAAAAAAGGTCTTGTATTAGGACCTTCTGTATGGTACTAATACAAGTCTCCTAATATTGTAAATCCCACCTATCAATGAAATTAAGGTTGTGTTTGATAATGTACCAAATTAAAAGTTGTTTATTTATCTACTTGTTGTTTATGCAGACATTGATAAAAGACATTTGAACATGTTGAATGTTTTTTTCTTAATGGTTGATAATGAAATGGTAACCCTGCCAGTGCTATCGGTATACACTGGTAGGGATGGAGGAAGGAGAGATGATAGATGTAGATAAAGCAGTTCAGTTAGCCCAATGTGACAAATCTAACAATAAATCAATAATGATGGTTTTCAAGGGGAACCATGAAGAAGTTGATCAGACAGGGTATATTGCTAGCCATTGGGTCTACTAATCCCTATTACTAATAACGACATGTTAAATGTTGATGGTGTAGTGTGCTAGAGGTATATGATATGAATATCTTTTGTTTCCATTCACAGTAATGCCTGAAACTGAGGATCAGAATAGAATAAGATTTCAAGTTGAGCTTGAATTTGTACAATGCTTGGCCAATCCCAATTACATACATTGTGAGTAAGCAACTTTGTGTCTAATAATTTTACATAGAGTGTCTTATGTTAATCTTAAAGTTTTACTCGTTTTGAATACATATTTTGTAAAAGACACAATTCATAAAAAATATTTATATTTTATAAATGTAAATAAAAAGTGATTATAAATAAACAGTTATCCGAACCGATACGACAACATAACCTTCAAGAAAAGAGCATATTCCTTTTTAAAAGGCTGGCAGCACACCTGCAATGCCGTAGGTGTTGTGGGTGACCATGGGCGGCGGTAGTCACTTACCATCAGGTGAGCCGCATGCTCATTTGCCCCCTGTGTTGTAAAAAAAAAAAAAAAACAGTTTTGAACAATATTTTTTTACTAACTGAATAATTTCAATTTTATGTATTTTCAGTTCTAGCACAACGTGGTTATCTAAAGGAACAGACTTTTGTGAACTATATACGCTACTTACAGTACTGGCGTGAACCAGAGTACGCACGGTATCTTAAGTATCCTATGTGTTTACATTTTCTAGAGTTGTTACAGCACGAAGCTTTTAGAAGAGAATGTGTTTCAGCACAGGTTTGTTTGTTTTATTATTTATGTAATATTATCTGAATATTATCCAGAACCAAGCGACTACAAATATCTTATACCGTGGGATATTGTTAAGGTAGGATAGGATAGGATTATAGGATCATATAGGACCTATGAAATGATGGAATAAGATAGGGGGAAGCACAAAAGATCCCGATGGGTCGATGTGCAAGGGCTTAACTGACCCCATATGCAAAATAAGATCTGAATATTCCCCTTTCCATCCTAATTTTAATAAGTGATTATAAATATTATTTACACACATTAATTATGACATGTAGGTATTACAATAAAAGTTACATGCTAGAATTTTGTTGTAACAAAAATAAAAATATATTTTCATATATAGTTTTTAAATGAATAATTTAATATTTGTAGCATTAGTAATATTCAAATATTCCATGGAAAACAATTTACAATTATTTTTTATAACTTAGTACACATTTGTATTACTTCCTCAAATTTTTAATTATATTTTATAACCTGACGGGTATATTACCTATGCAAAATTTGTAATTATTTGCCATGTCAATATTTATTAACTTAATAAATATATAATATTTAATTTTAGGTATGCAAGTTCATGGACGACCAGGCAATCTTACTATGGCAGCATTACACGCGACGGCGTACGCGCACGCTGCAGCCGCCGGACGCGCCTGCGCCCCCAGCGCCTCCCGCGCCACCCGCTCAGTTACCCTCGCGGCACCAATCATAAAGTCAATATTTTGTAAAACATGAGACAAGTTGATGTTGATCTGGTACTGCCAATATATAAAATTTTGAATCGATACAGTATTGTCCTAGTGACAGTGTTGTTTTGAATATTATTGTTGTATATTTTAATTCAGTGTGTTACTGGTATTAAGGATTATTAGTCACAGGGATTAGGAGCACTATTGTTAAATGCCCTGTTAGGGGTTACTCACACTTATTCAGCTCCATTCGCGTTTCGCTGAACGATTTTGGTCACACTTAACAGCTCTGCTTCTATCAGCCGCGTAAAGCGTCGTAAGAATGAGAAAAGCCGTCATAGCGTACTATCTCCGCTGAAACGATAAGCTATTGCATACGACGTTGAATATGCTGCATTTCGTAAAAATAAAATAATTGTAATTACTATAAAATACGTCTGCACTCTTTAATCCTTGCGTATATAATGATTACGCAATAATAAATCAAATCAATGCAGAAAAAATACAGGTCGCAACTTGTCGACAAGGAGTCGCAAAACATCCCTGCAAAGAGCTGTTCCGCCGCGTTCAACATAGAGCTGAATAAACTGAATAAGTGTGAGTAGTCTCTTAGGCTGATCTCTATGTGGCTCCCCTGGAAACCATTATGATTATTTAATGAATTTGTCATGATGAGCTAATTGATCCGTTTTCATCCTCATCAATCATCCCTTACTATTATTGCCCTGTCAGAGTTTACCGATAGTGTATGGCAGGTGAGATTTCAAAGTCATCCATTAAAAAATCAGATTTGATGTAAATATGTCTTTATGTTCTATTTGAAACTGAAAGAATAGAAAGGAGTAAGTAATTATGAATTGATAAAATAAAAGATCATTATTTTGTGTATAGTATGAAGTAAAGTGTAATTTTTATGTTACTAGATTTATTATTTAATAGCCCTGTTGTTTCTATCTTTCAGTAAAGAATATTATCTTAGTTGTCTTTAGAAAGACTGAAATAAATTGTAAGATAGACTAGATAAAAATAATGATGTGTGAATATTAATTGAAATTTTTCTATTTATTATGTTTAATATACATTTAATTCATATAATGAGTTTTTTCTTTATACTACGAATCTGGCAAACTAATATACAGCCTGTCGGATGGTAAACGGTCACTGTAGCCTATGGACGCCTGCGGGGGTATCACGTGCACGTTGTCGACCCTGAAGAAACCTTATTGTCTCTTTTTGAAGAACCCCATACTGCAGTCTCTAGGGAAAACCTCGGCAAGGTGCTTATTCCACAGCCTAAATGTTCTCGGGAGAAAATTCCTTTGAAACCGCACTGTACGTGACCATTTAGGTTCAAGTATGTAAGGATGAATTCCCTGCCGATAACAAGCGGTGCGAAGATAAAAGGTAACTGCGGGTATCATTTCAAACAGTTTCTCAGAACACAATCCATTATACAAGCGGTAAAACACACAAAGGGAGACGAAGTCTCGCCTTAGACTTAAGGGATCCATGCCGCATTAGTGTTTAGTATCCTCGATTATTCTCATAGCTCGTCTTTGAATCGAGTCAAGAAGTTTTACTATATACATCTTCAAGGGCATATGTATATAAGTAGGAGGCGAGAAGGTCGTGCCCATTCCAAATTTGTCTGGTGGATCAGAATGCGGCGTGGAGTCTTCAGTAATGCCCAAATACATTTCTGAGAGTATATATGCACCTTTTACAAGAGAAATAAACACCTCCAAGGAAAATAATTATAAGTACACCACGGTTCTGCCACCGGCAGATAAGTGGCAGACGAATCCTTCGGTAGATACGTTTTTATTAGTGTATGAATTGCATATAACTGTACACCGGGTGTTTGGATATTCGTTTGCTATTTTTCTAGGTCGCAGGTTTCAATTAAAACCTGACATAATCGGTATTTGTAATAGAAGTCCACAGGAAAAAAGTTATTACTGTTTTAACGATACACAATGAAAGATTCGAAGCAAATTAAAAAAAAGTATTTATTAAAATAAAAATACACGCAATCGAACAGCGATACTACTAATAAGGTTACATTTCATTCGTGATTAATTGCCTAAATATCATAAAAGTTATTTATATATGTATATTTTAGTTTTACGTACTAAGTTATACTAAGTCTATGATTTGTAAACGCTGTGTAAAGTACAGTTCGCGGTAAATAACTCGAACAAAACCATTGACATTGGTGTATTTAAGACTATTTTCTACGGGGGCCTGGTATTTTGAAAAAAGCGCATATACGCATTTGGTTGTATCCTTGTGAAGCTTCGTTCGGAGGTGGGCACGCCAAAAGTTTTTTTTATATTATTTGCCGTTGTTTGTATGTAATATTATGGAGGCAATCATTTTCTGGTCGCTCTTTTGGTAAAGTTATAGAAGTTATGATGATAATTTTAATACATATATAGTAAATTTAAGTAGTAAAAGGATGTTTCGCGCGCCTCTGCCGTTTGCCCATGCATATCGCCCGTAGTGTCAAGTAATAGAGTAATTCCACTGCGCTCATCACGCTGAAGCCCATACACAGGCCCAGCAGACCTCCGGTGTTCGCTGGAACGTCGAGGATATTTAAGAATAGACTGGTTAGGCCAGATAGATAGAAACAAAAAAAAAATATGTATATACTACATATAACAAACTACCTCTATACATTTCGGATAAATAAATACAATAGATTTCTATGAACTATTGTAATATAACCAAGACTATCAAGATTGTTCCACAATTTTATTTATATGAGACTTAATAAATTTAAATTTATTTGTATAACCAAATACAATAACTGTAAGTGTAACTGTAAGTAACTCATCCCATAAATTATTATGGGATGGGTGATTGTTTGTTACTTTTTCATGTAAAAGCTATTGAACGGATTTGAATAATATTTGGTATACTGGTAGGTTATATTGTAACTTAGAACAGGATACTTTTATATACCTATTGATACACGCGTGTGATAACTTTTAAATTTATTTATTCCGGGGATATATTTTTTAAAATAACTTACACAGGAATTCTGTGAGTCCGAATATTTCGCCTTTAGTCAGTCTCGTGAATGTGTCGTCGTCAAAATAAAAATGTACAACCAACATGTTTTCTCTGCAACAAAGTAACATATATGTATATCATTATATTATATATTATATTATATATATATATATATATATATATATATATATATATATATATATATATATATATATATATATATATTCTTTATTGCACTAAAACATACAGTAACAACAATAAGTTAATAACAATGTTAGCAAAGGCGAACTTATCTCTAAAAGAGATTTCTTCCAGTCAACCTAACGCAGTGGCATAGGAAGTAGATTAGTTATATATCAACGAATAATTTTTATCTAGTTGGATTTGTTGATTTAAGGAAGACAAGAAGATTATTATCAAGAAACATTAGTCTTTATGTTTATGGCAACATTATTGTGATAGCTTCGTAGCTTTGTGGTATGCTTTTTCGACTTATAAATCTCAATTAAAAGTCTTTGCAGTCAACCTAACACAGTGAATGATATTTAAAGATATACTTACGCAAAGTATTCCGGTGTCCTCTTAAATGTCTTTGCTAGTTGTGTTACTAATCTCTTATTCAACGGCGCTGTACTCATTTGCTCTAAATACGCTATCTCTGTACATGCTGGGAGGCAATCCATGCACTCTTTAGCTTTAATTTAGATAATATATAGCAAGGTAAATATTTATTTATTTTGAATTAGTTACAAGGATATTTTGTTAAGGCTGTTACATTTAAGAAAAAGAAATGTGTACAAAACTATGAATAAAATTTAACAACCTGCTTATGTTTTTCTTATCACATATAATCTTGACCAATTTAACCAAATATTTTTTTTATACAACTTAGAATGGCATACAAGTTGACGGCTCACCTGATGGAAAGTGGTAACCGTCGCCTATAGACATGAGCAGTACCATGGACATAACAGAGTATACTGTTTCGCTCATGATACCCCTCATGCGTTGCCATTCCTGAGGACTCGGGTGTTATTCCTCTGTACCCAGTAAATTCACGCCATATCCCACCCTTCAATCCGAAACACAGCCATGCAAACACAACTGCTTCACGGTTGAAACACGAATGGGACAGAGGTACCCAAGCAATCGACTTTTGTATGGGTCCCGCGATTGACCACAGTCTCACCTGATGGAAAGCGATGATGTGGTATAAGATATGGCTCGCGGGCCTACGGAAAGCTGTTTACATTTGCCTTAAATTGATGTAGATTATATTTAGATGGAAAAACAAGTAGGGAGAGAGTCCCATTCCTTGGCCGTACGCATGATGGAGAAAGACGTAAAGCTCTTCGTGTATATAAATGGTATGTCTACGACATAAATAATTCGAAGGGCCCGCGAGTTCCATCATAGACGACATCATCACTTTTGATTAGGTAAGATCGTGATCAATTAAGGACCCTTCAACAGTGAAAAAAACTGCTTACTTTTACTTTAGTTTACGCTAGCGAGATACTAATGAGAAATGATAGGTGAGTCAGATCAGTTTGCCCATTGTTAAGAGTTACTAATTATTGACATTACAGTAGTAAATAAAGATTATTATTTCTTAGCTTATAGCTAGTTTTGTAGAGACAAGGACGGGATTGTTACCAAGTCACTGGTTCTCATATTTTATTTTATTATTAGATTATTACTAATGATCTCCCTCTAATAGAAAATATAACATCTATTAATAATTTAAGTAATCATCGTCATTACAATATTGATCTGCTGGGCATGCATCCTTTTTTTTTTAGGAGTGGGGGGGGGGGAGGGTTTGGATTTAAAAAAGGTACATTATGTACTCTCAGACATGTCTTCTTCTGTTTCATAATTAAAAGCTCTGCTCGTATCCTGGTATGGGTAGCAGGTAATTTTGTGATGGTGAAATTGCTTACATATTTGAAAATCTGCAATAGATAAAATCAAGCATACGGTTCGCCTGATGTACGCGCGCAATACCAGATGTGTGAAAGTACTTACTTCGTACACTGGCAGCGCGTGACATATTAGCGTAGCATTTGGCATCCGCTTTCCCGCATACTCTTGTAGTTTTATTTTCTGAAGTACAACCACATTAGTTATTATGTCATTAAATATGTAATTATATCTGTTTTAAATTAAGATGTAAAATTAAGACTTACTTGGCATATAATAATAAACACACTGGCATTGGTTTATCATCGCATTAGCTTCGCATTCCATTTCGCAGTTCTTTAGAGTGTAGGTTCTGTAAATTTTAGCTTAGATGCTATAACTATGTAATTTTGAATCTTACCATACATTTCAATATACTTCCACCATAAGTAGGATGTCCTCTTCGGAGCCAAGTTTGTCTGTTACTTTTAACTTTCGTACATTTTTTTCATTCAATTTCATTATAAATGAATTCTATGGACATCTCATTTCTACTATTACGCTGTCTAGAGACTTATATAGGTAAACAACTTACTTACCTATAAAAAATTAATTCTTTTTCCTTGGAAAACAGGCACAACCTTTTTTGTATGTCAATGGACTGTAGCGTAGGGTGGGCATCGTGGATCCTTGGCTGAATGCTTACTCTGACTTCTGTGCCACTTCCGTATATTTCTCCTAGATTTGCCAGCTTTGGAGTTTCCGTTGGATTATGTAGAAGAATCTACAAAAGTAGGTGGGTATATAATGCTGGGATGGCTATCGCGTGTGAGAAAATCTTTATATCGCTGTGTAATAAAAATATTTCCTCTGTCTAGGTGTAATATACCTGTATAGTTTTATAATTTGTTTTTTTACAAACATGTTCATTAAATCTATTAGATTTTTAGATTAATTAGTAAATAAGGCTACTGCCTTATTTACTAATTAATTGTCATTACTATGACAAATATAAATTATAATCTATTTCAATAGAGCTCAATCAAAACCAAAACAAGTGAATAAATTGTCTCGACCATAAGTTAGACGCTGATATTTAATACTAGTATAAATAAAAAACAGGTGGGATGGGGGGGGGGGTTAGGAAGAGATTGTTAGCAATTAGGACCATTTACTATATACTCTATCCGGTCGACCTCCTCGTGTTCACCTTTATAAACCATCGTGCTGAATTCAAGATGTACTTATCACAATTCACTGTCTTGCCTATCATTCTCGCCTATCATGGCTCATTGGTGCCTGACAGCGTAACCCAGGCGGTGTTACCATTCTATTAGCATCCATTAAAAAAATTTATTAATTGATTTAATGTTTGAATTTGTTACTAATTTCATTTAGAAAGTGTTTTTAATTAAAGTCGATTACCTGTTTATAAAGTTCTATTAAATCATACTATAGGTATAATAATTTATCGTACCCTTACATACCTTGAAACCAGTGCTTTTCGTGGATGAGCAGTAGTATTCATCTATGTTTGCATCTAATATCAATGACAGGCCATGGTGAGTGCCAATTCCTATAAGTGGAACAGGAAATTTCACTATCTAACAAATCGAAAGATTTCTGCCATTTACACAAATAAAATAAAATCGTTAATTAGCCTCATTTTAAGGGAGTGTTTTATTAGAGAAATCGAATGATTTTTTCTAATGGAACATTGGACTATGGTAAAGACATTTGAGCTAGCCACACTAACACGGTTGGTGCGTCCAGTTGTTAAGATAGTGTAGGAGATTTAAAATTTTTAATCTTTTTATTTATATTATTTCATTTATTTCAGGGTTACCAACATTAATTACAAAGATATTTTGGTAAGGTAAATAAGTTACGTTCTTTTTCTATTGTTTATTCACAAAATCTGTCATAAACCTATTAATATAATAAATGCGAAAGAGTGTAACGATGGATGAATAGATATTTGATACTCTTTTACGCAAAATCTACTGAATAGATTTGAATGAAATTTGGTACACGGGTTACTTGGAATACTGCTAATATATACTACAACATGAGTCTGTGTTTTATGTTGCCTAACGACTGCGACATCACCTTGTATAGGTATTAATGAAGTATTATTATGATTAGGTAATTTAAGGTGATTTGTTATCCTAACAGATTACAAGGTATTGTTAATGAAATCAAGATTTACTTCTTTTTAAATACGATTAAAATTTTCACTGTATTATGTAAATAGTCACTATGAAAATAGTTTTTCTAGGATTTTGACAGTAAACAGTAAAAAGTATTTGCTGGAAGAAATCCCTTATTAGAGATAAGCTCGCCTTTGTACATTATGTTTATAATGAATTATAATTAACAGTATGTTTAGTGTACAATAAAGAATAAAGAATAAACATGATGCCACCTGATGAAAAGTTATAATAATTGCCTGTAAACGTTAATAGCCATATACCATAATACCTACATAATAAATACTTCCACTGTGATCTGCATGGTAAGTAGCTATATGTGCATCCTGTAATTTTTCTGCTTTATTAACTTGTAGACTACATTCGAGATCTCCCTCTGGAGGTTATAATCACATGATTATATTTTAATTTGAAAATATTAGCTCTATAATTATTATAAATATAATATATTTTATGTACAATATTATCATTGTATCGTTCTGTTATATTTTGTACATGACGTAATCGACTTAGTTTGTGACAGGGAATACTTATACATAATTGAAACTTTACTAATGGTATATAAAAACATGAATATTATTCACCTTGTGGTCTCCAAGGAAAACCATCTGGAGGAGAATTTTTTGGGTAACCACCTTCCGGTGTCCAGTCAACAGCTGGCAGTGGAAATGTCAAATTCAAGTCATTTAGGGAGGCTCTGCACATAAACATAAATTTATTGTTAAAAAATATTTTAAAAGTGTTAAAAAAGAGATGTGTTAGAAAACGGAAGAGTCTGTCTTGATTATTCGTATTTGAATGAGGATCCATGAGTTTACATGAGACGAGTTATAAAAGTGGATGAAGTAACAAATGTGTGTAATTAAAGTCCTCGTTACTCGGTTTGCTCTGTGTTTCTCTTCGAGGACACGGCGTGAAAATAATAAAAGAAAAAAAAAACTTACGGATTCCGGAACATCATGTTTCGATGCACAACGTTGAATGTGCAGCACAGACCTTCGTCGGTTAGCTGTGCGTTGAACAAATCACGACAGCTTCTTATATGGGAGTTCCATTCACATAATATTAACATCTCGCTACATGGTTGAGTTACCTGTGATTATAGGTTGAATGTGTTGCGAATAGAATTTAGGAACTAAAAGACCTGTGGGGTTGCTCTTGAAATAAATTTCAATAAATCGATATTGAAATTGAGAGCTTCGCACTCTCGAATTGCAATATTAGCAACATAATGGTTTCCATATTGTAACTTGACTGTGCAAACTATTGAAAACTGATACCAAATCAAATTACCTAATTTCTAACTGTTGTTTCATGAGAACATAATAAAATTATCATTGGTGATAGATTGGATTGATATCATTATCACTATATAGTATAAAACAAAGTCGCTGTCGCTGTCTGTCCGTCTCTATGTATGCTTAAATCTTTAAAACTACACAACGAATTTTTAAGCGGTTTTTTAATAGATAAAGTAATTCAAGAGGAAGGTTTATATGTATAATATATGCATAATATTGCAGAGAAACACTAATAAATGTAGAGGTTTCTAATGTGATGTTGTAAATAAACACATTTTTTGCGCTTACATTGCAAACGGTGGCTGAACCCCACGAGATAAATCAAAATAATGTACTACAGTATTGTACACCTTAAAAAGGGCAACAAAAAAATCCACGATGGTATTTGTCTATTTCTTAAGGATAACCACAAAAACTATTTTTTATCTTTTACATTTTATGGGGAAAAATGGCTTATTTATGAAGTGATTTTAAGCAATACACTATTAATTTTTACTCAATTAAGTACCTTATTTACATTGTCTATTTAATATAGATCAATATGGCCCTTTACAGCATGTTATTTAAATGATTATTTCCGAAAATATTGCAGATTTAAAATGCAGGGACGTAGCGGTGCGGCATTGTACCCATGCCAAGTCGGGGCGGGTCGCTAGTTAATATTAAATTCAAGAGTAGACCTGCTGATCAGTTTCATTTAACATATTGTTCATTTTTATAAATTTTAATTAAATAATAGGATACGATCCTATGTCACAATATTCGTTTATGCTAATCTTTGAAGCTGTATAACAGATTTTAATGAAATTATATTAATATGTGTTATTTGCTGCAATGTGAGTGGTTAGTGGTGCTAAGGGATGAAATTCCGTTTGTTGGGTTAGCTAGACGATAAGAATTATTTCTGAACAATGTTACAGAACAATTAACCATAGGTACAATATGAAAAAGTGTTGCCACCTGTAATTTTTTCTAACACTACAAAACATAAAGCCATTTTGTATTCAGTCAATCAAAAGGTAAGTCTCGACAATGCGAACCAAGCACTGACGTTAGTAAATATGTACTTACGTTTATGAGAAAGGATCGTGTGTAGTCCCAAGTAGCGCTTTCAGCTATGTTGTCCTCGAATATGTCGGCGTCATTTTGGGTCGTGCAGAGACTTACCAATATTTTTTTGTCCACAGAATTGCTAAGAAAAATTAATCTATAATAATATCTTGTAGTTATATACTGTATGGGTGGATAGGTATAGCCGGAAATATTTATATATTTCGATTTCTAAAGAACTTTTGACTTTATTTGTATTAAGGTATGGAAGATAAAAGACTAGATCACAGAATAGGTAATTATAGAAAGTTAAAACTATCTAGAAAGTAGCACACATAAGTGTGTACGAATTCAAAAGAAGGATTCATATATTTTTTTCTATTCTATTATAAAATTGTGGCAAATAAAAATACGATCCATTTACTGCCGCTTGTAGCGACCCAGTCATTATAAGTAGCAGTAGACAGGTCGCAAAGGAATTAACCATATTATGATTTTCAGTGGAGACCGCATAGCATCGACTTGGCAAGGTAATTTGTTAGGAATGGAGGCAATAGATTCCACTACTCCAAAGATCCATTCTCTCAACAAACTGAAATATCGAAATTGATGTGATAAGAATTCATTGTTACCCTGTCTTCAAGTATTCTTCTGCAACTGTCTTCTTTGCCTGGTTAACGTTACATATCGTGATAGCCGGAAAGGGCAGGTCCTTCAGCGGCATATTCTGCGGATTGATGCTAACAATCATTGGGGACATGCTCCATTTCGCATACACATTTAGAATGAAGAATGCGGCACATACAAGAGACGAACCGAATGCGGCCAGCCAAAAGAATCTGTAGCAATCAGGATATATTTTTAAGTTCTTATATAATAAGCATCTTCTGTATATTTACATAGATAGATATGTAAACGAGTTAGTAAGTAATAATATTTAGAATTATGTAGTCGTAATAGGTAACAAAAAAAAGATCGCTTTACCTTTCAAACCATGTTAATTTCCTCTCTCCAATATATCGCAGGCCATGTAAAGTTGATGTCAGTAGGTAGTCCCTAAAGTTTTTGTTAAATGATTTGATTTTAGATTTTGGTATCAGCCAACGTGAAGCTTTCTTCTGTAAAATGATTTTTCTTAATGATCCTTAATAATCCTTTTATAAATACTCTTTTGTAGGTAAAATAATTCAGCTTTAATATCTATTTAATTGGTCAAGTGTTCAGTTTATTAAGTAAATCTTGTTAAAATCTTTATAATGTATTTACCTCATATTTTTCCTTGCTTGTAGGTGATTGAGTATCCCAAACATACCACGGTATTGGTTCTTGTGTAGTTTTAGTAGTCCAATAATTTTGCTGCGAAATTATATTCATCAAACTTATAAAATATACATAATAATATATTCGTGCTAATATCAAGAATGTGGAAATTTGTGAAGATTATTATTTAGTACTCAAACAATAGCGGTTAAACAGGTGTGTCTCTTATATACCTTTCTGAACGTTTCCGGTGGTGATTTTCCCGAACGCATATCGACTCCGAAAACTGATAATCTGTCAGGGAATGATAACCGTGTCCAGAAGTGAGACGTGTGAAAATGTTTCTAGGGGCATATATCTAGGCCAAGACAATAGTCCGGTTGTATTATTACCACTAACTTTCATACGCGTGTCACAATTGTTCCTCGAACAGTTCAGTTGTAAATGTGGCAAATAGCAATTTGTTGCTCGATGAAATTTACTTAGTACTAACCTAATTTCTCATTGATTGCGGTTTAATCGTTTGATTGCGTCTATCGTGATAAATTGACCCTGCCACCTGAACTGCTGTCTTTTGATGGCAAAATTATATATTTTCTTGTTGCCTTACTCATCGTTCCTCTACAATCTTTGTCTATATAATTACGAATTGAAGTCGGATCGTAAATTTGGAGTAATAGATACTTTTAATTTTCCCAATGTAATTGTACCTTATAGGTACTAGACAGAGACTAGACTAGGTACTAAATGTAACATTCCGCATAGCTTTTTTTTTTAATATAATAATACCTATAGTAAAAAAATACGCGCAAGGAATAAGGTATTTATCAGTATTTATATATATTTGCTACAAATATTTATGATAATTTAAATGACCACTGAAATTACGTTATTTACGTAAAGCATTATGGCTAAGTTGATTTTGTCTTTTTTAGTACTACACTTTGATCTTAGCCAAAAGGCCGAGAAGCGATGTCTTTTTTAGTACTAGCTACTTATAAAATATCTACTACAGCTAGTATTATATAATTTCTTTTTTATTAGTATTTAATTACGTCCTCGTATTGGGAATATGTTGGTGGACAAGAATAAAAATTAGCATATGTCCTTCTCATTCCAAACACTACATGTGTACCAAATTTTAGTTTTAGAACGATTAGTTTTTAAGGCGTAAAAAGGCAAGAAACAAACAAATCGAATATATCATGGTGAATGTTCTTAGGAATTGTTTGGATTGATATCTGCTGCTGATTTTCACTACCGTACAACTCGCCATAAACTAAAGTTCCATCCCAACTATCTGGATGAGTGGCGGTCCTCCACCGTACGTTTTTCAATGGACTTTCTTCTACGCACAACTACGCATTGAAATCAACTTCCAGTAGCAATATTTCCGAACCGATACGATATCGTATACACACGCAGCACATCTGCAATGCCTCTGGTGTTGTAGTGCTCATGGACGGCGGTATGCGCTTACCATCAGGTGAGCCGCATGCTCGTTTGCCCCCTGTGTTATAAAAAAAGAATTACTTTCACAATAATAATATTTGGAAGGATTTTTTTTTACCGAGGAGTATATACATTAGGAAATATAAAATATGTATCCACATTAAATCTGAATCTGATGCTCTAATGTAGACACAAATGCATACATATTACACAAATGGTATGGTACAAAAATTATTCACACTCCCGTACATAGATTATCTCCTTGGCTTCACTCGTACTTTTTGCCTTGTTACTCGCTGGAAATTTGTTTTTAAAATCAGTTAGGTATGTTTTAAGTTTTTATACTATAAACAAAAAATGAAATATTTTTTTGTAATATTGGGTTTTCTAGACGTTTTATAATATTAGTTTTTACAACATTTTTATAAATATTTCAGTACGTTTGGTAACAAATGTCTATAGTTAATAAGGAATGTAGTGCTCTGATTATGTTTTGGGTTCTTTAAAAATATATTGATAGTATTATAATATTTTTTTCTATTTCATTAAATATCTATATCTGAAATTAAAATTTTAGTTCTGTATATTGAAACGATTAATTTATCATGCTTTTGCTAAACTATCCATTTAAAATTTTAATCCCATAAAGGTAGGTTTAGGGATTGGAAAGATAGGCCCCATGTTCATGTGTCCCAAGTACACTACTTTGCCGTAAATAGACCACTCAAATTTATTTCACGTTTCTGTTAAAATTTGCACGGAATGTAACTTTACTTGTAGTCTATCTATTTGGAGATCAGTTGCTATCATTCTATGTTCGTCACGCTATAGTTACGAGACTGCCAAGTGAAATACGTGATTATATCGATAAAATCACGGTCGTGTACAACAATTGTTAATTGGGTGAAGATTTTAATTACTGTTTTTTTTATTACCCATATATATCAAATTGGTACTAAACATATACATACATAATTTTATATAGATACGTATATTGTACACATACATACATTATATTTTGACGGTAACACAAATTTAAAGAGGATATACAATCTTTACTACTTCTTTTAAGACATATTTTTAACCTTTATTAAATATTTTGATTTTGTCTAAATACATTTTGCAGCTTTGCTCACAAGAATTAATGGTTAAAAGTGTTGTATTTGTTAAATTAGGAGTAACAAGATGTGGATTATCTGTGTATCAAGTTTTATCTCTAATAGTCCAGCCATTTAAGCGTGACTGAGTGATGAAGAACTTTACAGACGTAGTAATGGTTATAGACCTCGGTATTACCCAAGCGAATTAGGATGAAAAGTGTGAACCTGGGGCATGGTCTATCTGTTTACCAATTGTCAATTAAATCGTCAGTAATTAAAAAATAATTTAAGTATTGCTTTTTATGATATTATAAAGTATCAAAATATACTATCAAACCATTCTCTATATAATTTTCTTTGATACTATTGATACCTAACACTATTTATTCTTTAAAGTGGTATAATCAAGTTACGTCAACAAGTTCGATGCAAACACTGGCTTGCAATTTTATATTATCAATCCTATCCATCTTGTTTAGGTGCATTTTACTAGCTGGCCTTGGTTATTACAATTTATGCATAATATCAGGTGAGCAATTTAAACAACTGAAGTATTTTCCTTTCTATATACTTCGTTTATTACGCATACATACAATTATTATGTACAAAATGTTCGTTTAATATAATTTCCTTATAAAAGTAACAAAAAGCCACAAGGATAGAATAGGCTGACGCACTTGCACTTTGAAAAGTTCCTAAAAGAAGAGATCGGAGGAAGGAATAGACGCCTCGACGCAGACCTAGGGCGTAATGGCACACACGTGGTTCTTATAACCGCGAGCTACGGGCTAGCGCTGCGTCCAGCCGGACGGAGAAGAGAAGAAGAGCTTCACCAGTGCTGCTGAGGAGCGTGCGCAGGGGGAGCGGATTGCGCCGCCTGTTGGTGAGCCGCTAAATGGGCAGCGCGCGCCGCCGCTACCTCGGGAGTGTCTAAGATGCCGGAACCGTCATTTGCTAGCCTGATGTTGGCGGGTTGGTGAGCTTGCTGACCTTGCCAGGAAGGAGCTCCATTCCACTGAGGAGCAGGTGCATTCCACTGTTGGGGAGAAGGAGCATTCCATTGTTGTTGAGCGGGTGCGCTCCATTGTTGCTGGGCGGGGGCGACAGATTTGGCAGCAGAGAGTGCGGCGAGGTGAGCGGCGCGAGCTTGCGCTACTTCAGGGGTTTCGGCAACGGGAGCGGGGGCTTGACCAGCGGCATTCCATGCGGGGGCGGCGGGGGCAGCGTTCCACTGAGGAGCAGCGTTCCAAGATTGAGCGGGGGCAGCATTCCAAGATTGAGCGGGAGCGGCGTTCCATTTGGGTTGCTCAGCACGCTGCCAGTACTCTTCGTTGTCCCAGCGAGGATCGTAGGAGCCATCGTCGTTGGGATTAGGGTTGTTCTGTGCTGCTTGCTGAAGGGCAGCGAGGTGGGACGCACGGGCCTGTGCTACTTCGGGTGTGTCGAGGATGTTACGTCCATCTTGGGACAGAGCAATGTTGGCGGGGGGGCCAGCCCAGCCAGAGGCATGTGCTCCACAGGCCAACGCCAAGCAAGCTGTGACAATCTGTGAGCAATAAAACATAAAATTAGTTTTAACTAATTGTAATCACAAATATGTATATCTAAGAGTACTACAACGTATTACCGATAAAACATGTTCTAATAAGTTAAAGTAAATGAATCGTAATCGGACATTGCCCGCATTATCTGATCTTGAGTTATAGAACCTGTTGTATTAAACTTTAGCATATCCTTTATTAACCAGATAATATTCCGAGTTATTGCTGTTGTAGGTACCAATGCTGTACGCGAGTAATTGCAAACAGCGTTGCTTGTTATAGCCCTTTCATTAACTGTTGAACAAGTCGATACAATATTTATATAATTCTAGTTGTGCTGATAAGTCGACCCCGTTCTGGTCAGTCACAGGTGTCCACTGGTTGTTAATTTTATTTAGCTTTTATGAAAATGACAACATGACAAACATGACAGTCGTTGCTTATACCTGCTACATTGACTGACGATAAAATTGATCTATGATGCAAGAGAAGCGGTAATGTTTCGTAAAATTTTGAGTATTCGAGAATTCATAGAGTACATGTTTTAGATACGAGTACTAAGTATTTAATTAAAAGGCGAGTAAGTATATTGTACATATGTTTTTTATATTATATTATTATTCGTTTTGACTGTAATGTATAAAAATGTAACAAGTTAGAGTAAATGAATATTGAAAAATGATAAAATTCAAAAGTAAACAAGCTCTAGTTAACAAAAGACAAATAATATTCAGATTTCTCTTTGTAACAAAATGATTGTGCGTTTAAATTCTATAGATTTCGTGGGCGAGACTTAGTATTGAGTTGACTACGTTAAAATATGAACTAGTAGACATATAATTCATGCAATGACACAATAGAACCTAGCAAATAATATACTTGGAAGAAGTTGTATCGTATAAACACAATAATCTAATATATTTAAAAAAGAATTGTAAATATAATACATAATTTTATTAATTATTGGTCATTCTATATTAATTTGGCGAATAAATTATACGAGGTCAGGTAAGATTAAGGTCAGGGTTAAAAAATATATACATACAATACGATTATATATTGAAGTGACATTAACTGATGACAGTATAATTGAAAAATGCTGTTGTGTAATGTTTGCGTTAAATTAATTTTCGTTGCGACCCATTAAAAACAATACGTCCGAAAAGAAAAAAATTACGAAAAGACAGTTATAGATTGTAATATTTTGAATCTGTTTTTAAGCTTGATGACCGTGTTCTATGTATATATCTACAGAATCATATTTTACCTTTAATTAAAAAGTTTTAGGCATTACTATGTAGGTATGCCTATTATACAGTTAGATATTACAATATAGATGCATATTTTGTTGCATATTGGATTAATTACAGGTTAAACAAAAGCGTAAATTCAAAACGTATCTATTTACAACATAATACTGCTGAAAAAGAATTAAACTAAACAATTGTCTAAATAATAGTAATAATAAATAGAGCAATAGTCACAGTTAAAATAGTTATGTTTCCAGATCAATGTAGTACTAAAATGTTATTGTTATTTACAAACTAATTTTATAGTTTCATTTGTACTAATTTATGTCACTTTGAATGTTCCATTGAAATTTTAATTCATATACAAATATTTTCTCTTATTTTCAACATGTTAAGATTGATAATCGTTAAGCAAGTGAATTGCAACTTATGCAATTAGTAATTTTTCATGTGATGTACCTATTTAAATTATGAATGTCATCATAACTTTACTGAAGGAATAATAATATAATTTGAATGGTAGAATTGGTTAGATAAGACTGTAATGTATTAATGATTTGTCTTAGAAGCCTACCGGCATAGTGTTAATTGAATTATGATGCAATAATAAACCTAAATGTCGACCAAAACCCACATAAATGAACAAGTTATAATTACTGTGCGACTTTGTCATACAAAAGCATTCAAATGCTTTGGACAAAAATAGATACAAGGTTAACCTTAGAAAAGGCTTAAATGCAGTTAAGTGACATTAAACATAGGTAAGTTTATTAGATTATCTAGATTACTCTAGATTAATGGGCTCGTAGGCTTATCAGTTATCACCATAAATATTATTTAATTGGTGCTGGTTTATTTTACGATCAATGAATGATACTTATTATTGTCTAACATTCTCTAGTCTTTACGTGGATACGATCCATTATTTATTTATCCAGTGAAGTATACACGTGACCATGTATCTACGTTACTTATTTTTGTTTATTAATACTCGAAGCAAAAATGTGTGAAAGTTGACATGAGTAAAAGAAGAATTAGCTTAGGTTTGACGAATGATAGAGATTAGTAGGAAAATAAAAGAATTGTACCGACAAAAACAATAGGATTCAATATCGTAATAATTTGATCAAGCCATATTAATACTTTAAAGGCTGTATCTTTTTTATTGCTAATAGTTTCAAGTAAAACAGAATGATTATGTTTTCTTTAATCTCATGTACTAAAAGGCTAATTCATAAAAATATGATCAATTACTTTAAATGAGAATTATCTATAGGTATTCCTAATGAAAAAGTTACTGGCCAGCAAACTTATTCCACAAATGATCTAATGTACAATATTGTTGATGGAAATTCAATGAGATGAGTGCATAGGCGAGGAATTTGCGGGCGGGCTGACGTCTCGGAGTCACGTAACGATGTCAGGGCTCTGGTCCAGTTTACAGGCTATGCAGATCACCTTCCTCTGTGGCCCTTCCACGTCGCGGCTCGCTCACACAACATCATCGAATTGTTGATATATTTAATATGACATTTTATTACTTAGTACTTAGAATTAATTTAGGGTCATTATTAAACCGTCGTGACTTGATATAAATGCGATATGAACGTTTCCTAATTGAGATTGGTTTATGAAAATATCTAAAGGATTTCTGTGTTGATTTGTACTCAGCGTTATGCTTGTGAGAAATATCGAAGATTTTATGACATTAAAAATCATCTCACTTATTAATTAAGTATATGTTGTATAGAAATTAATAGAAATTAAGCGAAAAAAAAAGAATAAAACTTTTTTGTTTATGATGCAAAATTTTTTTTTCGAACATTAAACATATTATATAAAGCTTCATATTGGTGTTAATGTTTAAATTTTTGTATCATAAATTTGAACAGCCTGTAAAAGCCCAAACATCAAAATAAAATATAATAGATAGATGTTTATATATCTATGTGCGTTAGTCGCTTTGAATTGTGCAAAGTTACAAAAGTAATTTAGATTAGATCGCGTGCAATGGTTGCACTTTTCGTGAAAATATTTGCCCTTGACATACGTCTCTTATCTTAACTATGTTGAAATTGTCGAAGTCATGCCCGTTTATTCTGTGAAAATGTGATGTTTTTTTTAATGTAATAATTATTAATTACGACTTCATTCTTACAATAAAGTTATCATTCATTATATTTTCATTTTTATTGTATAGTGGGGAAAGGTTTGTAGAATAATGTTGATATAATTTAATTCATTAAAAAATAAAATAATTTTCTATTATTAAATTGATTTTTGAAACTCCTGACAAATTAAAATTAACTTTTACCTATTATATTGAGTACTAAAAATTAATTCAAAATAATTTAAAATAGATAATTTATTTAATTGTTTAAGTATATTAAGAACATTAGTTAAATTAATCATATATTCCCATTTTTGTTTTCAGTCACAAATAGATATTCACCCAAATAATAAAGTAGGTTGCATTGAGTGAGCGGCGCCAAGGTCTGAAGGCCACCCGAAGGTCAAGAACCAGGAAGCCTGTCTTCCGGACCTGCCCACCGTCACATTCTGAGACTGGTTACCCTCGCTTGTCAAACACATTTGCAGTTTTCATTTTTTTCTCTTAATGTTATGGTGATAGTAATTTTTGTTAGAAAAAAAAAAGTGATAAAATACGTACAAAAAATCTATTAGTTTAAAAATATTCGTAATAAACACACATGTAACTACATATAATTAAAAATAAGTCGAAAAAAAACACGTTTCATAAGAGTAGCTTTTCTTTAATGTCAAGTTTTTATTGAATTTAAAATCTGAACATAGAATAGAATAGAACACAAAATCATTCTGTCAATTAATTGTATTCATATTTTATTAGTAATTTAATGTTTCATTTATAATAATTATCAAATATCTCGAATAATTCCATATTTAAATGTTATTGGAAATTTTATTACTTTACATTTTAAAATGGCCTTCCTTCTGAAAGTGGTTGTCGTTGTCATTATCATTTATGGCTGATGCAATTTATTACAAGGATTCATAATAAACATTTTTCCTTCTAATTATTCTTTTGCAATTTCTGTTACTAGTGTTACTTTCAGATTCTATAATTTTATTTGAAATGTTAATAGAATATCATTATTTACAGGTATTATTTCAAAACTTCAAAAGACTAGATCCGCTCATCATCATAATTTTTAGACATAGGTAACTCAACGATTTTTTTGCGTCAACTCAGTAACTCAGGCGCATCTCACTACGCTGGATAGGAAAACTTGTATCGCTATACTATATATTTTGTCACATGTCAAAAACTGGACGAAGAAACCTTACTCTATATTTAACTGCATTTATATAGCTTCTATCCATTTTTTAAATATAAGCCATATTTCCTCGAGCTCAAAGCCCATTTCATCTTTCTTAGTAAGTTGACATATCCAGCGCAGTGAAGTGTAGCCATTGTTGTCTATGTCTATTAATTGTAGGCGTTCATCAGTTGAATATAGGAACTTCAAAATAGGAAAATCTCCTCGATTTTCCTATTTGGAAGTTCATTCTATTCTACTTTAGGTGCCTATTTGTGATATTAAAATTAAATAATTCTTATATTAGGTACAGTACTACCTTCCAGTAACTTTTTCCACATGAAATTAATTTTAGTTGTAAAAATATAGTAGACTTATTTAATTTAATTTACACATCCTTTACCTCTTCGTTGTATTATATTTCACGACTTGCTCGATTAATTCTGATGTAATATA